AAAGAAGCCAGTGAGTAAAGTTTTTCGTGATTCTCGTTCGGAAGAGTCAAGAACTTCATCTGAGCTCAAGCTACGTGTCTAGGAGCTGAGTAACTGGGTTGTAGATGGCTTGAGCATCCGTTAGCCCTTGTGGAGAAGGTTGCTAGCCTTATCGGAGAGGGTTTTAGAGAGACTTGGGGGGCTTGGGGTAGCCATGTAGAATTGATGTATTTACTCTGAGAGTTTGTGGACCTACGATTCGTATCCCTGAATATGCAGGGTCCATCACGTGACTTGGATCAGACTATATGTCTGTGCTTGCTGAAGGTGGGGAGACTCTACGAACCGATTACCATACAATTTTGTATGTGAATCGGTTTGCTTTTCCACGGGGTCTAAGCTCATATGGACAGGTTGACTGTTACTACGTAACATAATCCTCTTTATAGAAAAATTTAAATATCGAGAATTGTGTTACGACCAATCCTAACAGCTACTCAGGTGACTAAGCTTATAGTCACATGACCCAATATTGTCCTACCTAGAATCACTCAACTATAGATAATGGGATATAATAGGAGGCGATAGGATGTATAATACGAAGGTTTATATAATCATAATAGATTTCCTTTATATAGAGCTTTATGCTCAAAATCGATCATTTAGTATACTCTACTATTAGTTACGAATTACATCATTGTCATTACTTAAGTCCCTGCTTGACGCCTAGTTATAAACCACCTCGAGAGCCTAGAGCACTTCCACGTGATCTAGACGGCAAACCTCGTAACAACGATACGACACGATATAATACGATACGATACAATACCTAAAAACAGCGACGAGGACAAAAGCCAAAATCTCTCTCAAAAAAATTACTTTTACATATTTCCTAGTCCTAGTCCTAAGTTGCTAAAAAAAAAAAAAACAAACAAAAGTAAATAAAAAAACGCCCTAAAATGCGATGCGAAAAAATGCAAACGATGACTTGTACAAAAAATAATCCCTAAACAACCAACCAGCCAGCCAGCCAAATACCAACCAAACCGTCCGTCCATCCGTCCATACCTTCCATCCAGTCCCAAACCTGCCAATGTATTTATTTGTATTATCAGCAAAACCTACCCAACCAAGATATTCGTTACAGGTACAGGTCGTCCATTACAACCGCACGGCGCCGTAAAAATGCATATAAAAAAATTCCCTTCAATCCTGGGTTGAATCCTTTCTAAAGTTTCTTTTTGGTCATCTGATCTAATTTCATATGTCCAGAATGGATAGGTCGTAATTAGACGCATGTCCATTCGGCGAATACGCACCATCTAGCACTACGATCGGCTAGGACAAGTCCTCTCCATACACCTCTTTCTCCACACTTAATTATCGTCTCCCAAGTTCCCCCATCGCCGCCTTCTAAATTCGTACTGACGCCTCCGTTTCTCTCTTCCTTTCGCATTAATCTTAAGATCTTTCCACCAGGTGCTTGAATTGCTAGTTTGGCCGGTTTTTTACCAGTTCCTGAACCAGATGCTGATGAATTTGTTAGAGACATAGCGGATCCAGGTCGTATAAATGGGATAGGCGAAGTACGTCCCGGATCTGGCGATCCTAATGATAGTGACGAAGGATGCTGACGTACGGCGAACACAAAGGTGTTATTGATGGCTAATCGCTGACATTGTGGCTGTGCGACATAAAGGTCATGACGTTGGGCATGAGGCGTTGGATGACGGGTTAAAAACTCGTATGGAGGATTGTCACCCGTATGGATGATAGGCAATGCCACCGCCAATGCATGTGGAATGTCCTTGATACTGTGCATAAGACCACGTTTTCCAGCGTAAATTTTGAGTATGCCTGCTCCTTCGTCGCCAGGAAGTAGAGCCTTGATCGTATACCTCTTCTGACTGCCCACCCATTCTGCCTGTGCCAAAGCACGCTTCGTGATAATCTCACCGGTCTCGAAGAGATCTCCATCTGCATCACGTTCAAAAGCACGTGCTTCAACTTCAGCTACACACTCAACATCAGGCGGAACACAAAGTTTGATGTGAACGAGTTCAAGATCTTCAATACGTATGAGACTTGTATCGTATTCTACCATCTCTATCTCATTGATAAAAAACGCCGGACAAGCACATGGTAGCGCTAGAAGTACTTCATGTGCTACGGGAGGACAGAGATGCTGGTCAACATGTTGCTCCGGTATGTGAGTCCAGCACATCTCAATTGGCCGAGCCAAGAACCACCACGGTTCCGCGTACTGACTGCTGGCACTAGTATACTGGCTTCGTCGAGGATGAGAAGGACTTGCCAAGGAGCAATCCATCATTCGCCATTCTCCATCAATTACAACTGCGTTCCAGAAGTGATTCGGCCGAGGCATGGGACCCATATCCGGTACCTCACCTGGCGATTTCAAATATCCTCTAATGACCTCAGCATGAATCCCAACAGCTTTACACATATCCATAACTAGAAATGCTACTTCTTCAGAAGAGCCATGCTTGGTTTGGATCACCCTTCTTGAATCTGATGTATCATTGTCGAAGCCCTCTTCCCAGGTAATTTTCTCGCTAACCCATATGAATATTGCACGTAATCGTTGGATGTCGCTTCGATACGGCCGACACACATAGCCTGTGGCTAAGCTCATGGCATTAGACATCGGCGGAAGACTATTAATAAACCTTGTGTTCTTATCCACCAGGCTGAGATTTACTGCCTGGAAATTAGTTGGCTCAACCACAGGATTTCCATCAACCCCTTCGTCACCATCACACCCCTCAAGAAGCTCTTCCACGGGACTTATGGCTGGGTAATCCATCATCTGGCATCGCTCTTTTCTTTCAACCCGCTCAATCCTACTTAACGAATTCGATCTATTAATGTCTCGCCGTACCTGAACCCAATCAACACCCATGGTAACACCACCGGATCCAGTTTCATTGGTTGGATTAGTGTTCGGAGTATTTCCAAAGCCACCAGCTCCCATCGTCGTGACACCCGCTGGAAATGAATTATGGGCCTGAGCTCGTGGTCTTGACGACTCACCAATAGAAATACTGCTCCTTGCGCTCGCAGCACCTGTTTTCGCGGATTCAACAATTCTTTTGAAGAACCCCGTTTTCTTGGTTTTAGGTGTCATGAGGCCACCAAGCGCAGCATTAGAATCTGCAGGAGAACCTGACCAGCCAGGTGGTGACTGCATACGCGAAGGATCCGAAGCGTGGCTACTGTGATATGAAATACCGGTCATTGGCGTCTGGGATCGGCCAGTAGTGAAATCAGGTTGACTGTTATTCATCCCTAGATAGTTGTCCTTCCGTGAACCAAGTGCACTATGAGCTCGCCCATACAGCATTTCCCGCTTCCTCGCTAAACTCCCGGCGCTAGTGGAAGAAAAGCCACTAGCAGAAGGACCACTCATGAGACTTTTATCAGTCATTTGGGTACTTGAGCTTCCATTGGTGGTAGTGCTGCGAGTTCCGCTGGAAGAGGTCGTTGAGTCCGTCTTATCAGTCCTTGTTGTGAAAGATCTTCCTAGCATAGCTTTTCCAACTTCATATGCAGATTTTCGGTGGCGAAGCTTGGCTGGCTGCATATTTCCGCTTAGAGACGATTTTGGTCGGCTGTCATGAGCATATGAACTCGATTTAGGGGGAACCGCGGGCCGAATATCATCTTCAGGGGGACGAGGCGTTGAAGAATACATTTTACTTAATCTATTTTCCATCCTTTGAACATAATTGCTAAGTTGAGGTGGAGGAGTATTTGTAGGTTGATAAGGTTGCACATTATTGGCGTATCTATCATCGCCTACAGAATTATAATCTTCAGAGACTCCGATAGCTGTATTGGTTCTAGGTGCCCTTTTCGTTGATATATACGTTTGATCAAATGCCTCGGGAGACCATGGGTCGATTGGTTCCTCTGGAATTTCTGAGTCTCGAGCCACCCCCATGTCTGCCAAAGAGAGCATTACATCATCCATTGCGCTTCGCAAAGGAGAGGGAGTGCGGCCCGTACCCGCCGGTGACGGTGGAGATGGAGATGTTGCCGATGGCATTTGGTACGGATTCGGGCTGCTGTTATGAGTATCTCTGATTGCCTGCGGCGCATAAATGCTTCGATGAGGTGGTGGAGGTGGCGGTGGAGACGAGTTCCCTGATCTATCAAATTGCGGCGCAGGTGATGGACCTCGAGAATAGCTTTGGTAGCCAAATGATGGAGCTGGGGAAGGGGCACGAGATCCATAATGATGGGGATTGGGCGATGGCGAGCGAGATGTGTAATGGTTGGGAGCAGGAGACGGACCACGAGAACTATAATGGTTAGGAGCAGGAGACGGGCCCCGAGAACTATAATGGTTAGGAATAGGAGACGGGCCCCGAGAACTATAATGGTTAGGAGCAGGAGACGGGCCCCGAGAACTATAATGGTTGGGAGCTGGAGAATGCGCGCCAGACGTATAATGGTTTGAACCGGGAGATGGCACACGAGATGCATAGTGGTTGGGCGCAGGGGAGGGACCACGAGGGTTGTAGCGGTTGGGAGCCGGGGAGGGTGCGCGAGAAGCATAATGGCTTGGGGCAGGAGATGTCGCGCGAGATACATGGCTTGGAAAACGAGAAAGTGGTGCTGGCGAGCGCGTTTGCGATTGATAAACCTGGGCTTGGGAATGAGGAGAAGCCCCCCTTGCTACATTATTGTATCCGCCCCTGGCGGCCGGCGATGGTATTCGAGCAGTCGAGGCTGCGAGACGTTCCTTTTCCCGTGCCTCTGCTCTCCTCAACGCCCCCATATCCGGCGCTGCATAAGCTTGAAAGGGTTTTCGCATCGATTTCATCTTCGGTTTTGTCGGAGCTATCGGGTTTTTGAAAGGGTTAGGACTTGGACTTCGATCCGGCAGGGGACTCGACGTTCTGCTTGTTGGTCGGAAATTCTCATCTAGGACTTGTACGAAATTCGAAGGAAAGAGGCCCATCATCCTTTTGTCCCTTCGCAGACGACCCATCCACCACGATCCATCTCCTGCGTTCAAACATTCTATCAAATCTCCCTCGATGAAGCCCAAGTCGCGTTTTGACTGCGCCCACGGATGGTTAGAGGTTGCAGATATTTAAAAGAAACCGTAGTATACAATTAACTCACCTCCCCGCTGAATGAATATACAGCTCTGCACCAAACAGGGAACTTGGTAGGCAAAGTTCCCGGAGCTGGTGTCATGGTTGAGGACGGTTGCGACTTGGTATCCAACTATCCTGCTATCGGGATGATGATGTGATTATCCGATGAACGCTACCCGACATGGATGCAAATCAATGAATGAAAAGTCGAAGAACGAATTAACTCAAACTCTTCAGCTGGGAATGGAAAATGCTTCAAAATTTCAAAATTCCAAATTTCAGATTAAACATTGAATGAGTGAATATGGGTGAATTGTTATTGGAATGGAAAATACAGTAGAGTAGGTAGGTACTGGAGTAGAATTTCTGGGAGATATCTAGTAGTCAACTTTCCAAATTAACAAAATAACAAATAACAAGTAACAAGTAAAAAATGACAAAGTGCCAAAGTGACAAAGTGACAAAAATTAACAAATGTACTCCTGTATTGGCGTGGATCTGTAAAGGTGTATATATCTGTGTAGGTGTATATGCAGATTGTAGATTTCAGAGTTCAAATTTCAGCTACCCGTATAGCGTAGGAGATGGCAATTTGTTGTTTAGATTGGGTATATTATGATTATGATTATTATTATTATTCTGGTTATTATTATGATTATTATTATTATTATGGTTTTGCTGGCAGGAGAAGGTTCACAGAGCAACGGCCTATCCCGAATCCGACCGCCTCGTCATAACCATTGTTTACTGCCTGTTAGTAATAAGTAAATTAGACTTACTCGTACATGTTTATTTTATTATATTGGCAAAGAAAAAGAAAATCCTTCGACAATTACTATTTAATTGGATATTTTTATATCTTACTTAAATCATCTCCAATTGATACATCGTTTTCGATAATTCGATTAATATTTATTTGATCTGATCATAGGTTAATATCCTCGACTTTTAAACTTCATGATCACCACCACACTCAATCAGCCCTCATAATGACCGAATCGGGAGCCTCACAATATCAGGTTCTGGAAGAGTTAGGTTCTGGCAGCTTTGGTGTAGTCTATAAAGCAATCGAAAGGGCTACCGGAGAAATATGTGCCATCAAGCATATCGACCTCGAATCGAGCGAAGATGATATACAGGAAATTCAACAAGAGATATCAGTCCTCAGTACCTGCGCCAGTCCATACGTTACTCAATATAAAGGAAGTTTTCTACGGGGTCATAAACTATGGATTGTCATGGAATATTTGGGAGGAGGTTCATGTTTGGATCTGGTATGATGATAATCACCCAGAGGAATAGATAGACACATCGCTGACTGCGCTTAAGTTAAAACCTGCGCCATTTCACGAAACTCACATTGCCATTGTTTGTCGCGAGATCTTGTTAGGTTTGGAATATCTCCATCAAGAAGGAAAGATACATCGGGATATAAAGGCTGCAAACATTTTACTCTCGACCACAGGAAAGGTTAAATTGGCAGATTTTGGAGTTGCCGCACAGCTTACAAACATCAAATCGCAAAGGAATACTTTCGTCGGAACTCCTTTCTGGATGGCGCCAGAGGTTATTCAACAAGCAGGATACGATTTCAAGGCAGATATTTGGTCCCTAGGAATTACAGCAATAGAGATGGTGAATGGAGAACCCCCGCATGCCTCGATACATCCAATGAAGGTTCTATTTCAAATACCTAAAGCACCAGCGCCAAGGTTGGAAGGTTCGGATTACAGTAAGGAGTTTAAGGATTTTGTGGCACAATGTTTGGTCAAAGACTGCGATCGTAGACCTACCGCAAAGGAACTATTGAAGCATAAGTTCATCCGTTCTGCAGGAAAGGTTGAGGCTTTACAGGAGTTGGTGGAAAGAAGACAGGAGTGGGATGGAACAAGGACTCGACCATCGCATCCTAAGTTCTATGAAGAAACACTGTAAGCATGTAGAAAATCTGGTTCTTGAATCAGCCACTAACGAATCCTAGTAACACAATGAACCCGAAATATGAACCTGATGGATGGGTCTTTGATACAGTTAAGGCTTCTACTATTACTGTAGCACCATCAAGAAAAAATGGGAGCAAAAGGAGAAAGCTTTCTGTCATTCATGCAAATGGTCAAGGTAGTCAAGCTCCTCCAGAGGAGGCTTTCAAGAAACTGGATCTCAAAGATTCTCCCTTGGAATATTCTTCGCCTCCTTCACTACCAGCTGATAGAGGTACTGTTAGAAGGCAGCCGCCAGCGGTGCAACACACTTCTCCAACCAGGCCTCGAGTGGATAGTACGCAGAGTCAAAACAACACAACAAGGAGACCGCCCCTAGCACCGGATATGAGCTTTGGAAATACTGGCTCAACAGTTCGATTATTCCGCCGGGTCTCGAATAACTCAATTTCATCTAGACCAAGCAGCCCCGAAGATTCCGCTGATATTCCATCTCATGACGAAAATAAGGCACTCGTGCAGGTAGCTGAAGCAAACACCAAAGAAGCTTACCTAGGACGACGTGCTTATGCGAAAATTATCGATCCAGCATTCCAAGAAATGCACGCACAAACTGGCGATCAAGCTAAAAGACAAGCATTATCCCGTCTAGCCGATGCCTGGGCTGCTCTCGATGCCGTGGATCCAGAAGGTGAATATCACTTACTGAAGCTTTTGATAAACAAGATAGAGCAAGAACCCAAGCTTGCTTCCCACATCTCTCCAAACAAAGCTTTGGTCCTGAGAGATGGAACTCCTCAGGGATCACCCCAAAAACCCACCAATGGAAAACTAGTACTAGCAAATAGTAATCCACATCTCAAAAGTCACCGCAGGAGACAATCTAGCGCCATGCCCGAAGTAGAGACAAAGGAAAAGTTAAACCTACCCGGTCAAATAGTGCCAGGAATGGAACACACCAAACAACTTGCAGATGTATTATACGCGCGCTGGGCAGAAGGGCTAGGGAAGAAGTTTCCAGTCGTGTAGGGTAATGACTCATGTACACAAATTGTAAAGTTACTGTATGTAGTATTGAATGGGACAGGACGCGAGGGGAGTTGTGGCATATGCATTTTTCTTTTATTTTTTTGTGGTAGGGAGGAGAATTAATAGGTAGATACCCAATTTAAAGATTTATTTGTAAGATATGATTTTCTTGCGAGCTGACAGGAGTGTGTGGGTGTGTGGGTGTGTGTGTGGTCGCTGAATGATACTTAACTGGACTGGATTTGGCTCAGCTCGGATATTTATATATATGGGGTTCCAGGAAAAGAACCTGAAAAGGCTACAAAGAGCTAGCTAGCTTTATATTATCTTTTCAACTAGGTATAAAAGCTATAATCTACTCCTCCTCTTCCTTCCTCTTTCCTTCAACCTCATTCATTCATCATCCTTCTTCAGCATCGCTTTTCTGTTGAAACGAATTTTGATTAGGGCTTCCTTCCTTCGTTTCTTCTTCAATATTTATTCAGTACATGGTGAATCTCTGGGTATGGTCTTTTACTCCTTCGACATTAGGGGGAGAGGTTTTCCACATTTGTTATACAAATAGAAGAGAAAGAAGGATCTTCGAATAATATCAAAGGGGGGGATGTACAGGTTACAGATTTCTATCATCTATAGCCATCAACCACTTTACTTTCTACATTACTTCATTTAAAGATACAGCTACTTCTTCTTTTGGGGCATCAAAGATATAATCTCATATAATACAATGGCCTTAGTCCTGCTAGTTACTATTTCACATATCTAGCTAGCTCTGTTGAGCCGTGTCTTTTCAAATTTAGACTATTTATAAAATAAAAGTCCTAATTTATTTATTATACCTTGAAGTGATAAAGACTGAAATGTATATATACCTAGGTATGTAAGGTTATTTATGCCTTCTGCGACAAAAAAAAAAAGAATAATAATAATTCACGTCTATCTATGAGTCCAGAACGCAAGCTCAAGTTCGCTCAATGATTTTATTAGAACTACGACGACATACAACTATGAGGAAATAAAAAATATCGATAATTCACAGTACTACTTAGATAAAGAAGCACCAAACAACCAGACCCTTGAAACCCAAAAAAGAACCTCATCAATCATTATTCCCCCATCTATTAAACCTCCATCAAGGCTTAACTACCACCTAATCAAAATATCCCATCTCCCTCAAAAACTCCACATTCTTCCCCACCGCCTCCTCTACCTCTACGTCTACCTCCTTCTCCACCAACCCATCCCATTCCCTCGGCTTCCTATCCTTCCCCAAATTTCCCTCCGAGCTAATAAGATGCGCCACCGGCCACAGCGGATGCATCTCAGTGCGCCTCTCGAGATCCTTTTGTATTAACAGAAACCATTCATATGAAGAAATCGGTCGAAGTCGATCGCCCATATGTTTATTAACCAGATCCCAGAATTTTTGCATGGAGATTCCGCAGTTTATATCTAAAGTGTACTTTTGATTTTTGGGAGTATGAATCAGAGTATTAATGGTAGAAGAAGCAATGAGATCGGCGTGTGCGACGGTTAACCAGTCATTTTTGCATGGGAGGGGGTAGGCGCCTATGGTTATGGCGCCAGCGACATATCGCCATAGGAAATCGGTGGTATTGGCGACTCCTTCCTGTGTGGTGCCGATTATTAATCTGGGCTTGACGATGGAAATGTGATGATGGTTTTGCGCAGAAGTTGCGGCTCGTTGGGCAAACTTTCGTACTAGTAGTTCTGAAACGAATTTTGTTTGACTGTATCCGTCTAGTCTATTTAATTTCTTAGCAGTAGTATTATCATCTGTTTCTTCTCCGAAATCTCGACCTCCGGATACGTAAACGAATTTAGGAAGGGAGATTGTGCCGGAAATATTCCTAAGAAGGTCGAAAGTTGATGTGACGTTCGCGGCTCTGAGAGTGTGGTAATCCGCATTCCAATGTACTGAAGCTCCATTATGAATTATCGCATCGACTGTGTTTAATTCTTGCCATTGCCTAGGGCTCAGGGCTAACATTGGTTTGGCGGGATCACCGGTCCAGATTTCGAGTTTTGCAGCGAGAGTGTCATTCCACCATCTTGCGGATTTGGCTGCTGCTATGATTCGCTTTTTGCCAATTTCTTCGCTTGAGGCGCGCACATGAACAATGACCTTGTCGACTCTAGGTTTTTCAAGAAGTTGTCGAAGGATTTGTGTACCAAGAAAGCCACTCGCGCCTGTCAGAAAGCAACTCCGAAGTGATGTTGAATCGAGGCTAATTGCGTATCCAAATGTGAAATCTCTTTCATTAAGTCCACAGTAGGAGCTGTCTCTATCGGACTCTGATCTTTAACTTTGGCCGCAGTGCGAATATGCTTTGGAACGTCTGAGATTGTGGTCTGATGGTTGATGAGCATCGGCATAGCTGTACTAACCCCATATTCTCGTTTGATGAAAGCTGCCAGAGACATAATTTTAATGGAGTCTATTCCCACAGATGCCAAGTTGACATCACGCCCTACGATATCTGAATTGATATGCGAAGATGGCTTTTTGGTGATTAGTTGTGCAATCTTATCGCTCAGTTCTAATGAAATATGGTCATCTGATGATATCAAAGGTGCTTCGTCACTTTTGGGATAAGTCTCGGCTCTTTGGATCAACGGAAGACTAGTGAGCCATTTGGTGAGTCTAGGGCGGTCCAATTTTCCAGAGGTATGAAGGGGTATGGTTTTCATAGTAATCCAGGAAGAAGGAACCATATAACTTGGCAGATTTTCTATTAGATGATCGGCAATGCTGGACCATTTAAATCCGGAAGCTTCGAGTTCCAAGTGAGGGACGACCGTGATACCGCCGTTCTTCTCAAAACTAGTTGGAATTTCGAGTTCGATAATTGCCGTAAGCTGATCTGCATACGGCCCCGAAGTAGGCAATACAACCATAGCTTTTCTGACTTGCGGATGACTGAGGAGATGATGCTCCACGTCTGCTATTTCTATACGAAGTCCACGAAGTTTGATTCGAGTATCCTTCCGACCGAGATAACTGATCGTACCATCAGAATTGTATTGAGCAAGATCGCCTGTTTTGTATAAACGTGCAGGACGTTGGCTCGAGCTAGAGTTACGAGCCCAGCTAGGACTACCGATGAAAACAGCTTTAGTTTTTGCTTCATCGTCGAGATATCCTCAAGCCATTGCTGGTGATTCAATTAGTAGTTCACCAATCGCACCGATAGGTAGAAGACGGTTCGAATCTTCAACATCGACGATCCAAGTAATTGCACCAGCTCCACGTCCAATATTTGTGGGCGAGGTGCTTGTAGAAATCTCTGAGTTTACTACGCTTGTTCTAGAGGGAGATTCAGTCAGTATTCGTAAAATGCTATAGGGGAGGTTGTTGCATTGTGATGGGCGTAGCAAGTGAAGAAAACGAAAGAATAGGATTATAGTCTCCTATTGATACCCTGCGAAAATGGAAATGAAACTTACACGCAACATTCGGTGGTTCCAAAAGCATTAATTAAATGAACACGATCCGCCCAAGTCTTAATGACATTAGCAGTGATAGGCTCTCCACCAAGTGTCACTCTTTTCAGCGAGGGAACTGAATCGGGTGAAATTGAGCTTATATACGATGGTGTAAGATCCGCTGTGTTAACATTCATCCTAGCTATCGCTCCCACGATATCTGAATTTCTTTCCTCCTCTACAAATTATCGATTACGTTAGTTATTTGTAAATCAATAAATAATCAATAATACTTACCAGATGGTATGCAAAGACAGCCTCCAGTCATAAGGGTTGTTAGAATATCCTCAATAGAAGTATCGAAGCTATATGAAGCGAACTGCAGAAATCGAGATGTGGGACCGAAATGCAGCGCTTTGCCATGATCTCTCGTACCTGAGCAATATGCTTCATGCGTCACTACTGTACCTTGGGGAATCCCAGTAGTACCGGAAGTGAAGCAAATATAGAGAGGGTCTTCAGGGGCGACATTGCTCACAATATCCGCCGGCACTGGAAATAGATTCATCTCGCTCTCCGAAACGACAACTGTTTTACCACCTGGGAATAATTCTAAGCACGACTGTTGGACGTCGCTTAAGCAGAGAATCAATTCAGCTTTGACTTGTTCAATAAGTGAAATGAGGCGTGATCTAGGATGGTAAGGGTCGCAGGGTACAAACGTAGCACTAGATTTGATAGTGGCTAATGTAGCCACGATAGCCCACTTTGATTTCGTGAAGGATAGTGGTATCTTGCTTCCAGGCCCTACCCCTTATTTTATCATCTGAGAAGCTAGTCGAGATGAAAGTTTATCCAACTCATCGCGAGTCAAATCACCATCCCAAGAGGAAATCGCTGGAGAATGAGGATCTTGCTTCGTCATGACGTCAATAACTTCGTGAACGCAACATTTCAATACATCTGGTAATGTAGAGTTCCATTCCCAGATATTTTGCAGGTCAATCTCGCTGATGGAATTGAGATCCTGGACAGTCTTGCCCGCATCTTCATGGCACAACTGCTGAAGGACATGCTGGAATTGGGATAGTATCCTATCCATCTGCAGAGTTGCGATAACTTTCGAGTCAAAGATTGCCTTTGCCTTTAGCCCATCTGAGGTAAGATGACACTCGAGAGTCAAAACATTTGTGTCCCAAACGGTTGCGTTTACGAGATCCATTTGACGTTGCCCCATGAACGATTCATCGATGGCTGAATTTTCCTTGGATTGTATGACCAGGATATTCTGAAATTCGCACGCCTTCTTCAGTTCCCCTCCCATTCGTTGGATGTTTGTGAGACCCATATGTTCGAATGGCATCATTTTCATCATTTTAGTTTGAACTTTCTGAAGTAGGGCTAGGGCTGCTTCGTGAGGTTTCAATGTGATTCTGACCTATAGAATTAAAAAAGTCAGTACAAATGCCGCAAGAGATAAAAAGAGAGCACATTTAACTCATGTGACCGGGACGATGGGATTCTATCTCAAAACATGAGAACCAAATGCTCTAATCAATCTTGAATGCTGTCATTAGAAACAATGAGATGCTTCCAATTTGCTGTTTGGATGCGAAAGTTCAACTAGAACGTTGAATGTGGTATTTAAGGTCACATGAAGACCTTGGGGCTGACAAACTTATCCTCATCAAAGAATCATAGGGAATTAAAATTACTTACCGGCACGGTAGCTAGTGTGGGCCCGACTACTCTAGTGAGGTCAGCCGATGAACCTGTACGTCCCGCCAGAACTTTTCCAAACACAATATCATTCGAGTTAGAGGAGTTACTGATCGCAATTGCCCAAGCTGTCCGGATAAGATTGGAGATTCGAAAGTCGGAATTAGCTTTTCGTGACAGCTTGATGTCTTTAATGGCTATTTCACTGGGCTGCGGCTGGTATCCAGCTTTGATGGTAGGAAAACGTGAAGGTGCTGCACCTTCACTCGTAAACTCAGATCTCCAAAATGCTTCTGCTGCTAGTTGATCTAGGTCGAGAGCAGTCTTGATAAATCGGTTGAACTGCACATTTTGAGGTTGATTGGAGCCTACAACGTTCGTACATATTTTTTTGAGCATCTCATATTCCTTTTCCGCCTGCTGAAGCATCAAATTTATACTCCAGGCATCGTATATGGTGTGGTGCAAGGTCAGGACAAAGAAATATTTGTGACAATGTAGGTTCGACTCTTCAACGATGCAGAAACGACTGAGTGGAGTTCCTAAGCCCATGGCGAGAGATTTGTCGGATTCCAAATATCGTTGGAGGTTGTCTTGCGTGTTCCATAAGACGTCTTCGGTCGTAACCATCTGCAGCAGACCGGAAGATTCATGCTGTATGATACGCGTGGGAAGAATTGGGCTTGAACGCACGACTTCGTTCCACGTAGCGCGAAATTTGTCGATATTAGAGTATAGATCCTTGGATAATTCAAAGACATGTTGTGCAACATACGTACCAAGATGACTCATTGAGAGAGCCATGATGGCTTCCTGAAAAGGGGTGCACGGGTACAAGTCTTCGACATGACTTGTCTTGATACCACCATCAATGGTTGCCTTTAGCAGCTGATTACCTTCCCCGACCATAGAAAATGCCTCTATGTCATCGCACGCAGTAGCTGTGGAGCCATTAATATCTGCGAAGCTTTCTGCAAGATCTGATAGGATTGGTGTCTGAAATATGGTTGCAACAGTCAGGTCAATGCCCTCTTCTCGCGCTGCTGCAACGAGCTTCATAGCAAGAATAGAGTCTGCACCAAGTCGTGTAAAACTATCCTTTCTTCCTATATTTCCTGGTGGTAGTTTCAAAATAGCGGACCACAGACGCTGCATTTGAAGTTCATTCTCCGCCAAAGGGGTAGAGTGCGTAGCTTCTTGACCTGAATAATACGCAAACTCTGAAGTCGTTAAGCCGGCTGCAAGAGTCTGCAGTCTTTTGCGGTCACACTTCTGAGAGATAGTGAGGGGTATTGATGATAGAGGAATGTACACTTTAGGTATCATATACTGAGGTAGTGCGCGACTCAAGCGGTCAATGAGTGATCGGACCTTAGATTTTTCACGACATTCTTTGAAAACACAGCCTTCTTCTTTTCCTCTGCTGCTTAATCCATCTTTAAGACACAAAAATGTTGCTAGGAATGGCGATCTGCCATCTACAGGCGTTGCTATCACTGTGGCGAGATCTATGACATTGTCAAGATTTTGATGCAGGTGAGTTTCAATCTCCCCCATCTCAATTCTTTGACCATTTAGCTTGACCTGTGCACCCTGATTTATAGTTAGTATACGCTATTTTTGGAAATCTTGAGATCAATCAATAAAATATTTATAACGGGAAAAGAGATAGTACACACCGTATCCTTTCGCGCAATATACACGATCGACCCATCAGCATCCATCTTAACCAAGTCACCTGTTCTATACCATCTTTTCCACCGGGTAGATCCCGTAGGGACACTGGATGGTGTAGGCACGAACGATGCTTCCGTCTTTTCATTGTTTCTAAGATATTCTCTTGCGAGAGGCCCGCCAATCAACAACTCACCAGCAGCCCCTCGCTGCGCCAATTGATCGTTCTCGTCAAGGACAAGAAAACTTCCAATAAAACCTGATCCAATTTTAGCGGGATTGACACCTTTATGGATAATTTCAGTACCAATACACATACCTGCAACATCAAAGAGTTAGTATCGAGAACAATTTCGACGCAAATCAAGGGATCAGAGCTGTACGAGGAAGTACACAGGATCTAGAAGATGAGGGATTGATGTAGACTTGAAGACACAATAGAGTATGAAATGAAAAGTGCTTACAACAGCATTCGGTGGTCCATAGACTTGCAACAACTGTAATTTTCCAAGCCATCGATCTAGGTCTTCTTGGATCAAATTTTCTCCGATAAGTAGAGTCTTTAATGTCGGCACAGACTCTGGAAGAATCAATCTTCCCAAAGCAGTTGTCATAAATGCTGTATTGACTTGCATTCTGTTTATTGCTGATGTAATGTTGTTCATTTTCTCTTCATCCGATGGTATGCAAACGACGCCTCCAACACCCAAAGTAGTAAGAATTTCGAAAACCATGCCGTCAAAAGTTTATGCTGATAACTGAAGACAGCGACTGCGGGCATCCATTTTGGCGAAACGAGAGAGGTGACGCATAGTAGTGCAGCACGTGGCATGCTCTATGACGCATCCCTTTGGTTCTCCCGTACTTCCAGAAGTGAAGATAATATAGACAGAATTGTTGGGCTGTACATTGGTACACAACAAACCTTGGGGAAGGGCTTCGAGCATCGATTTTCCCACAGCAAACGTTTGGTCAGCGAAGCCCGTAAAGGAGCGAAAAAGGCTTTCTGAAAATAGCATCACTATTCCACCTATTTGCTTTACCAATTTCCTGATTCTGTCTTCAGGATGATCGGGGCTCATAGGTACAAAAGCCCCGCCCGCCTTCATCACTGCCATCATGGCGACTATAGCCCACATAGATTTTTCAAAAATCAGTGCAACCTTAACTTCAGGCCCAACCCCTGCGGACTGGAGAAGATATGCTAGACGATCAGATATGGAGTGTAATTGGGCGTGAGTCAACTCTCCATCCCAAGATGTCACCGCCAATTCAGCTTCACGGCCCTGTGACTCCTGTTGAATGACCTCATGAACGCAAGAGTGCACCTCTTCAGCTCCAGTCTCTTGAATTGCTAGTTGACTTGATATTTCTGATATTGATAGCCCTATATTCCCAACTAATGTGCTTGCATCTGACAGACGAGAAATGATGTTATCAAATTGTTGAAGCAAAGTGTCTACTTCGCGATCAGATATTATGTGGGAATCATAGCTGGCCATTGCAGTAAATCCACCCGCCATCAAATCACATTGCATCATTAAAGGATAAGCATTTAGCTTTGCCCAGTGATCATTAGTATTCTCTCTGGCGCCGAATATACTGCCGATATCTCTCTCTAATCTGGGCTGAATGACGAGGAGATTCTGGAAACTGCAAGCCCTAGCGCAATCCGCGCCTAGCTTGCGGATGTTTTGCAGGCCAATATACTGATGAGAGTTCATTGCGACTCGAGAGTTGTGGATCGAGGCGAAAAGATCTTTTGCAGATTTACCATCTTGGATGATTACTCGCATGGGCAACGAATTGAATGTTGGACCGTTGACTTTTCTTAAATCAAGACCTGAAATTTTTGAATTCCGTCCCGCAAGTACGAGACCAAAGGTAGCTTCCGTTGCAGCAGTACGTCGTGCTAATAGTATAGCCCATGCGGCTTGTATAATTGTGGAGGTTGTTGCACCAGCCAAAAGGTTTTCTTTCACGTGAATAAACCGTTCTGAATAACCATTTGCACGTGATTGCTGCTGCGACGAAACAGCAGGAAACTGCATTCCAGAAGTGGTCGCCAGGTGGTTTCTCCAAAATACCTCACTCTCTTTCCGTGACTGTCTCTCGAGTCTCAATTGATAAGCAATAAAGCGCTTGAACTCCTCCAGCGGTTCAAAATTCTCTCCTCTATATGATTGCTCAACCTGTCGAAAGATCAAACGCATGCTCCACCCATCAAGAATGGCATGATGAAACGTCCAAACAAAGTACGAGCAATTGGATTGACGGTTATGGATGAGGCCGTATCTCAATAAATTCTTTCCAAATGAAGGGAAGATCTTTTGGTCTTTGCTCAAGTAACCTTCTAGGTTGACATCTTCTGACCAAATAATAGGCTTTACCGCCAAAACTACTTGGAGCAGGCCTGAATATCTCGTTTGTACAAAACTAGTTCGAAGTGTCGAATTTGAATCCACTGTAGTCTGCCAAGCAGCCTTGAACTTACTCGGATCAATGTTTGTTGGAAGCTTGCATATAATCTGAGGAGTAAAACTGCCACATCGTTTCATTGACAATGCCAGCAGCCCTTCCTGAAGAGCTGTGCATGGGTAGGCATCAACAAAGTTCGCATCTGATGGCATTTATCGTCGAATTTCGTCATGTTCTTGTTTGGGGCTGAGAAGAGAGAAAGGATTAATATTAGGGTCTTCCCGTTGACTGAGATAATAAAGTGCGTCTATGTTTGACACCAAGGGACGCTCCCTACGAAGCAGGTCGGAAAGATAGTGTTTAGATTCTAAATCCAAATCCATCACAGTGTCTGCTCCCTCAACTCGATCCTCTTCGGGCGGACACTGGCCCTTATGAGCTAGATCAGGGAGGTAGTGATTAGCTATCAATGCCATGATGTATTATAAACAACTCAATCTTAAGTCCAAATTCAATATCACTCAATGCTTGAGACTAACCTTAGATGTGGCAGGAAATATTGACCGTGGAAAAGATGCGTCTGTGATTCCCGAAAATTGTAAAGTTCGAATTGAGGTTGATTGTTAAGTGCAAGAATCATACAAGCGAGTCTATTACCCACTCCTCTTTGGTATCACTTGGTCCTTAAGTATTCAACTACATTTCCATCACATGGAAATTTAACAGTCCATTCATAGAGCACTCGCCATTCGACTTTGTCCCCCCTTGCCTTGTCTCAGCTAGCATCACTTTCAGCGTTCATTCAATATAGATCAACGGGTGATTGAGTGTCAGCGTATCCTGCGGCTTCGAGTGTCATCACTTCCGATCTAATACGCATCCTTGCTCTTCGACCACATTACCCCGATTACCTCGATCTCTACACGATGTACCCCTCATTATTGAACAGTTAATATTGAAATACAGGGAGCCCCCTAAGCATTTAGCATGATCAACGAATCCTGATTGGACTATGCCAAGTACTAGTCCTATAATGTCAAGCACAGTGTAAAGTGAGAGGCCACCGATATACTTTTGGCGGCTCTTTCAGCTTCAAAATTATATTTAAAACCAAATGTGGTGAGCCCTAGACCTAAAATTGTGTCTCCCAACACCGTATTGTTCCTATCTAGTCGTCGAGCGATTAGTTATGATGAGGCGTCAAGCAGGATTTGCACTATAGGAAGCGACGTATTCAGTTTAAAAATATAATATTCTTGCATAAATTCCTCTTGGATATCTTTTGGTTATGATTCATTGGCTAATTCATTTCTCGAATGTCTCGGGATATGCAAGTCTGGTTCAAGGTAAGGTCTTACTTCAGGTGAGTACAATCATCTCTAATCTCAGAAAATTCAGAAAATATGACGCTGCGACGTTGAAATTAGTGCTTAGTACCCCCCACGATTAAGCTGCTCACGTGTAGGAGAGCAAGACAAAGATTGGAGATATATACATCATTGCTGGCGCTACGCTTTTTTACGGCTTGCGCAACGATAATTTTTTAGGGGGAGGGCGCTTGCCGGACCGAGCGAGTTGAAGATCTGCGGGGTAAGCTGGAAAGATCTGAGACAGAGGGCGGGTCTACCCACATTCCTGGAATTATGCAGGAGATGAAAATTCATAGTCTCTGCACTGTCGAATGCTGATTGCCACGGGATGGACAGGTAAGATTTTAACAAAAAAACCATGAACAAATGCATTTTGAGTGTTAATTCTGATGCCATTTCAAAGTTATCCCATTATGGAGAAAGTTAATTCGAATACGGCTTTACTAGTCCGCTTGCTTTGGTGTAACTTTGTCCACGAGGAACATGTATCAATCATTAATCGTGAACTTTTTCATCCACTTGGCAGGACCCAAGGACGGACACGGGCATATGTCATTATAAGACAAACATAGCACGCCAAAAGAATTCCCCACACATCAAATTGATGAGGAGCTAGTTCGGATCAATTGAGCTTCAGCGTGGATGTCACAAATCTTACGTAAATGTGTCTGGATCCACTCTGTACATCGTGATTTTGAAGCATTAAATAATCGGATTTTGCGTGTGTATCGGAAATCTCTTCACTTCGTACGATCAACAAAAGATGCTCATAGAAAAAAGGGAAATTAGGATGTGAAACAGATCAGCTTTTGGAACCTGCAACTCAAGATACTAGTAATGAGTAGCTGTTATTAATGGTGATCATATGGTCTGATTAATCTGATTGCGACATAGAGTAATTGTTACTGAATATCACAACCTCACAAAATCTTTGCACTGGATTGACCAGATCTCATGGAAATGAATGCAATGCAATGCAACAAAAAATCCCAAAAGAACGTCCAAGTCGTACGCAGATCCTGTATAAAGTATAGTATAGAGAAGGAAGACGTTACATTGCATCAAAATAACCTTGCCATTTGCGCAGTTTGTCTCTCAGTAGCGCAACTTCATGAAATTCACACCAAGCCATCTGGTGCATGACGGCTGAAAACTATCGTGTAGTGAATCATCATTTTCACCATTTTCAGACTTCGTATGTATGTCACTCTATAAGTGGTAGGTCGAGAGACCAGAAATCGTGTCTTACACAAAGTTACCTTTGGCAAATGAGCCTCACACAATTCGATAAAAATCACCTTCTCCTGTATTATTATTCCAAGTTACTCCGTCATACATTGTTATATAATCCCGCATAATTGAGGCCAGGAGGCAAAGTCTTTCGATTTCTTTTTCAATTATATGGCCGTTAAAGACTAAATCTGCTGAAACTCAGAAAGAGCAGAAAGATCCAAGATTTCTGGAAAAACGCTCGTCAAAATGGTTCATTGTTAGCACAATATGCGTTGCATCCTTCAGTGTAGGTTGAATCGGAAATCCTGATGCCCAAGGGAATGAAATGCTGACGCCCATATTCTAGGATTCTTTTATATATGGAGTGGTCATTCCTGTTCTTCCTAATGAATTGGAACGTCGAATTGGGGTTGCAGACGAGGACCGTATGAAAAGCACCTCCTCTTCATATAGTTTTCTATCAAATTATGAAGCTAATTCCTCATAGTGGAGTTCTGGAATTCTATGCTCTTGACAGCATTTGGCCTTGCTCAATTGATAGCGAGTCCACTTTTCGGATACTATGCTGATCGAAATTCATCACGACGAACACCATTGCTCCTGGGATTCTTCTCTAATGCTGCTGCCACGGCTGTCTTATATGTTGCACAGAATATATGGATACTGGCTCTGAGCCGTTTCCTTCAAGGACTTTCGGCAGCTGTTGTATATACGGTCGGCTTTGCTTTACTTGCAGACACAGTTGGCTCAAAGGATATCGGACAGTGGATGGGATACGTGATTTCGAGTCTCAATATTGGAATGCTGATATCTCCAACCATAGGCGGCATAATGTACGCAGGGCTTGGATATGCATCTTTGTTTGTTGTGATGTTTATCCTTATCGCCATCGATATCATTATCCGTTTGTTTATGATCGAAAAGAAAGTTGCGGCGAGATTGAAGAAGGAAAAAGATGTAGGTGAAACCCAAGCGTATGGGACTTTTCAGCGTAGTGTTGATGAGGCCATTTTCGAACAACAAAGTCCTTCTGTCTCTTCCAACAGCAACGGAGCATCTGAACCATTGCTTGGGAATAACCAAAGCCAGCCTCCACCTGCAGAAGACAAGATGCACCCAATAGCTTTGGTGACTTTGTTGAAGTCTCCACGTATATGGGCTGATTTATATGGTGTTTGGGTGACTGTATATTTGCTCGCAAGTTTCGATGCAGCACTTCCAATATTTGTGGAACGAAAATTCAACTGGGATTCTACCGGTGCCGGCTTGATATTTTTGACCATAACATTCCCTATATTCTTAGCTCCGATAGCTGGTAGACTTTCAGATGTCTGGCCTTCTCGGTGGCTCACGGCATCATATTTCATCGTATCTGCCATTTTTACAATCTTGCTGGTGTTGATACAGAGAAATAGCACTGATCAGATTGTTGGTCTTTGTATCCTTCTTACACTTTATGGTAAGCTTATCCTATTTGATAATCATGATCATCGTATTCCACAATTACTGAAGCAAGTCATAGGCATTGCCAGAGTCTTCGGTTCATCGCCACTAGGCGCCGACTTGAGTCGAGCAGTAACGGATATGGAAGAAAAAACACCAGGCATCTTCGGCAAAACAGGAGCTAGCGGACAAGTATTCTCCTTATATACTAGTGCTAGTGCAGCAGGAGTTCTCGCAGGTCCTGCTTGGACGAGTTTTGCCTTTGGAGAAAGAGGTTGGATATTTTTCGTCTCAAGTCTTGGAATCTTGACTGCAACTGTTGCAATACCAGCTGTGAGTGAAGGCTCTGAAATGAAGAAGGATAAACAAAGCTTATAAAATCTAGGTATTATTTACTGAGCCTGAAAAATCTCCAAAGACAGACGACTTAGAGGTGGCTACAGAATAGATGTTGATCTCACTTACTTTGAAAAGTAAATCTATGAACTTTCGGAAGAGCCTATGATGAGCTAGGTCATTATGGCGTACTACTGCATTCGATAAGAAAGAACTTTAGACAAGATACAAAGTTTGAAATTGTGAGCAAAACAAATATAAGACAAGAATTCCATCCGTGTTTCTTCATATAAATACAAAACTTTGAATAATCATTGGAGTAGAGTGACAACTGTTGATTTTTTTATGGTTCTGACTACCTATGAAATAAACAAGATTGCATGCTAAGCTTACGTGATCAAGATAACCAAACACAATCACGTGAACACGAGACTTCAACGAACGCGGTCTCTATTTCTCTACTTTCCACTTCCCCCATGCAATCCAATTTTCTCCAAATGCCTCCATGACTGACCTTTTAGATATCCTCCCCCATTTTCCCACTCAAAAATATGTACGACTACTTCCATCACTCGAGAAGAATCTCGTCACCGTCGCAGATTTACTCACTCTAGATTGTGTCGAGATAGCCAAACGTGCGACTTTACCACTCTTGGATGTTAAGAGGTTATGCGCGGATGTTTTAGTACATTTAAGAGAAGATCTTGGAATAAATGAGGTGGAATCTGGGATTGAGGGCGGTGGAGAGACTGGAAATAACATAAATGGAAAGAGAACAGGGAAAACGTTGAGGAAATCGGGAAAAGATGTTGTGGATAAGTGGGAGGTTATAAGTACATTGGATGATGATATGGATCGCGCTTTAGGAGGTGGAATTCCAACGGGTTATATTACGGAGATCACAGGTGAGAGGTATGTGCCATTTTTATTACCTTACTTGTATATTATTGTTCTCAACTACATTCCACTGGCACAGTCTTCAGACTAACATCTATTCTAGCGGCGCAGGCAAGACACAATTTCTTCTGACCCTCCTCCTCTCTGCGCAACTCCCTGCGCCATATGGTCTAACAGCTCCGACCCTTTACATATCTACCGAATCTTCCCTTCCAACGACCCGTCTCTCCCAAATTCTACGAACTCATCCACTTCTCGCTTCTCATCCCTCTCCACCTTCTCTTGACAAAATAATCTCAATTGTTACACCTGATCTCGAATCTCAAGATCATATACTCCGGTTTCAAGTTCCTGTCGCTATCAAACGTCATGGAATTCGATTACTTATACTCGATAGTGTAGCTGCAAATTACAGAGCTGAATTTGAAAGACCTGGTATGACTAAAGGAGGTGGAAATATGGCACAGAGAAGTGCTGAATTAGTAAAATTAGGACAATTGTTGAGAGATTTGGCAAGGGAATTTGGAGTGGCTATTGTAGTCGCTAATCAAGTAGCTGATCGATTTACAGGTGGAGGTGGAAAAGCAAGTCCGTTGGTTTATGGTCAGCGAAGGGAAAGGGATATGCGAAGTAGTCCACTTGCAAGAAGAAGCTTGGGCATAAATGGAAATTTTTCAATGCCATCAAGCTCAATTAATGAACCAATGTCAAGTATACCCGGTAGTCCCATAGGCGATCGAACAACGTCTCAAAACCACCCAACCATAACCCCAGACCCAATGTCCCTAGACCATCAACAAAGATGGTTCACAGGCTGGGGCGATGATCCACATCCCTCGTACACTTCATCCAAAAATATCAAAACCCCCTCTCTAGGTTTAATATGGACAACTCAAATAGCATGTCGAATAGCACTGATTAAAAAACCCATCTACGGACAAGCAAGAAATCAAATTGTGGAAGAAGGGGAAAGAGGTGAACTGGTCTTGAGGAAGTGGAGGAGATGGATGAAAATTGTTTTTGCGGGTTGGGCGAGAGAATGTGGTGAGGGTTTGGATGGGTGTGTGGAGTTTGTGGTTAGGGGGGAGGGGTTATTTGCTGTTAGGAGGGGAGAGAGGGAGGAAGATGGAGATGAGGGAGAGGGAGAGGGGGAGGGGGAGGGGAAGATAGTGGTGTAGGGGTGGGATTAGTGGGTTTGGTGGGTTGTGGGGTTTGTGGATTTAGATGTAGATATTTGATAGATATTTGGTAGATATACCTTATAGATATTATGAGAAAGTTGGGATTTCGAATCATATGCATAAGGTTTTCATAGATGTTTGGTTATATAATCTCTAATAATTAGATATAAAAAAAAACCTTTATTCTTCTTTCTTTGAAAAACAATCGATTTTTAAATTATTTTTTTATTCTATATGATTCCAACCCCAAATTTATTATAAAACTAATTATTTTTTTTTAAATAATATATTATATTATAATATAATCTAATCAACTTTCTCCTTCATTTCCTCTTTACGATATACTATCGGGATATATATATCTCGACCTATCTCTTTTACGATATACCTTGTAGATAGATGAGGTTGCTGTGTTTATTGTTTTTGATTGATTGAGATGGTGAGATTAATTCGTATATTATGTACCTAGATAGGTATACTATTGCAATGACTATCTATATCGCAATCTTATATTCATATCTCACTCACATCTCTCAAAAAATAAAATAAAGTAAATAAAATCCCCAGAATTGTTTATGCGTACTGCTATTGCATTGCACTATCCTATCCTATCTATCCATCAGCCTATCTAACCATCCATCTAAACACGAATCACAAATCACAGCACCAGTCTGGTAACCTATTCGCTACCAACTATTCGCTACCAACTATCAACTACCCACTAACTACCCTATCCAAAAAATATAAGATATGTACAATGAAGAGAGATTTTCTGTAATCTTTTTTTTTTTTTTTTTTTTCCCTTTCTTTTGTCGTGGCCTGTGCGTCGTGTATGTATGTATGTATGTATATCCAACCAGCAAAAGTAAAAGCAAAAGCAAAGCTTGAGATACTAGGACTAGGTACCCGTTCAAGTAAAGATGAGCGAGGAATGATGTGCTTTCATGTATCCATGCATGTATACATACATGCATACATACATACATAACCTAGCTTTCCCTCAGACCATTCAATTCAATGCAGTCCAAAGCAATACTCAAACCAACAAACCTAAGAAGTCTTAAAAGTATTCCCCAACAAACTAAGCGACGAAGCCGAACCCATCAACCCGCCAGCCGCCATATCAGCCATAAACCACGCATACCTATCGACCATATGGGAAGCATCCAACCACGGCAAGACCTCCTCCATAAAAGCATTCTGCTGATCCGTGGTACCCGAGGCTTGAAACTCGGTAATCCACAATGGACGATTACCACCCGCCGTATAGGCATCCTGAACATAACTCTTAAAGTATTCGATATTGGTCGCCGAATCATACCAGTGGATGCAGACGAAATCGATGGTGCAATCGGTGCACGCCGACAGGAAGGATTTTAACCATGTGAGTCCCATGGGTGAAGGACCGTTTGTGACGGCGGGGGCTCCGAGTTTGGCTTTACCTGCGAACGGTTGCATGTGTGTTTTGTAGCCGGCGGCGGCGTCGGCATATCCGAGGTTGGCTTGCGTGCTTAGGTCGGGTTCGTTGAAGGACATGAGGTGTTTGGTGCCGGAGGCGATGGCACTGGAGGCAGCGGCTGACCAGGCGTTCGTGAATGTACTCTTCATGCCCCAGAGGAGAGGAACATATTCGATACCGGAGGTGGAGAGACCGTCTGAGGTACTACCCCAATTGTAGGCCCAGGCTACTTTGGATGATCCGGTGAATTGTTTGACGTAATCGGCGGTGTTGTAGGCTACTCCGCGTTTTCCTCCCGAGGAAGAACTTGAAGAGGAAGCGGCAGCGGATGCTTTAACTACGGCTGAGGTAGATAGGGTGGTAGGTTTTGCAGTTGTAGAGGCAGCTTTAGAGGTGTTTTGTACGAGGACAGCTGCTGCTGCTTCAGTTGAGACCTTGATAACGGATGTCGAAGATGAAGAAGAAGCTTTAGCAGAGCTAGAAGCTACAATCTTAGATGTAGTTGGAACTTCAACAGATGGAGTAGATTGAATCACTTGACTTGTCGAAGAAGAAGTGGTAGGAACAACCACGACACTTGGTACTGCGGAAGTAGTAGATGGCACAAAGACCGCAGAGGAAGAAGAAGCAGAACCATGACCATGACCATGACGAGTGAAAGTTCCCACGGCATGAGGAGCACCCGTTTCAAATGTACCATCAGCTTGCCTGGTAACGGTGATTTCTTCCGTGACAACATGTATTTCGGTTTCGTAAATTGGAGCTGCGAATGCTTCTTTGACCAGCAAAGAGGAGGCCAAGATGGCGAGTGATTTGATGTCGAATGAACGCATGTTGTTTGTTTTGGTGTTTATATCGTTTTTTTTTTTTCCGATTTATTTGTGTATGTGTGTATGTGTGTATGTGTGTCTTGTTGGTATGTGTATTCCTGAAAAGGTAGACTTTTGGATAATGAAGAATGACTTGTTTATCTTGTTGGTTGATATCCAAATGATTGAATCGAGAAAGAATGTAAATATCTCAAGCAAACAATCTCGATGAATGTATTGATAGAGAAGTGAAGGAGTGTGATGATTCAATCAATGAATGTAAGGAAGAACAAATAAGTCGACTTTACTTTTGATCAAGGGAGGGTTGAAGGTAAGACAGCAAGATGGATCTCAAAACGATGATTGATGACTTTAAGGGTACTGTAATGGTAATCTGGTGGGGAAATTCGGAATAATTTTGTAGGTAGATCTGGGGGATATTTTTAGGATTTCGTAATCACATCAAGGCGTAATCATTAAAATGAGTGAATGAAAGATGATGTTTAAGATTTGGATGATTTGATGATTTGACGGATAGAAATCCTGCGCAATCTTTCAAAGATACGAAAAGAAAAAGAGGATGAGAGACCCAGACTTGGACGTTGCAAATGAGCGGGTAACGTGAGGCTGTGAAAAGGGAAGAAGAAGAAGGGAGCGAGAAAGGAGGAAGGGTAGATAATCCTTTCTTTATATTCTAGATGTGCTAGGTAGGTAGGTAGGTAAGATGCCAACTTGCCAAGGGTATATGGTATGATGAATTGTAATGTTACCCCTCACTCCCTGATCCAAGTGAATATTCTGACACGACTCTTCCCTTTTCTTTCTTTCTTTCTTTCTTTTTACCCAGTGAGATGTGAGATGGAGGCGGGAGGGTAGTTGAGACCCCTAGTCATTTATTGATCGACGAATAAGCATAAGGGATACGAAAATATATAGTGTGAGTAGGTAGGTAGTAGTATATATAGTATGTAGCTAGTCATATCAAAAAAGTCGGGCGGGACGGGATCAAAAAATGAGGGAATTGTGCAAGGAGTAATAATGTTTGTAATATTCTGTGATTAAAAAGAAGCAGTTGGGAAGTCGAAGCAGAATGAGGCAGAATACGGAATAGTTGAGGATTCATCCGCTTCACAACATAAATTCTCATCCATTCATTTGGAGAATTTTGCATTTAAAGCACCTAAAGCATCTAAAGCATTTTAACCCGACCTTACCAACTGACAATACGCACAATCGAACAATTTAGAAAAACCCCAAAAGATTATCAAAATCATTGATTGATTGGCGACGAGTCAAAGAATCTAGAAACTCTAGTCAGGTACATGCAGATTTTACTAGGCTAGGTACTATCCATCTCCATTCAGGCACGGAGCACGGCTTATTTGTTGGCTTATAGGCTGAGCGATTAGCCTGCGCGGATAAACAATTCTCACTGGCTGTATCACTCGTAACACTACAGTGATAGTCAGGTACCGGTGTTTGGTGTTTGGTGTTTGGTGTTTGCACTGGTTCATCGCATAGTGATATGGCGATAGGATTGAGTGATTGATTGTGCACGACATAAGATTTATATGTCTGTCAGTTAGTCAATGTGTTTGAAATATATTAATTAGGATTTTTATTTATCTGGATGGATGGATGGATGGATGGATGGTAGGACTTTTAAACACTACATGAGTGATTTCTGGGATTTGTTGTTTGTGGTTGTCTGTTGGTTTATGGTTTTTCTATCCTTCTGATCATTTGTAAGGTCATGGATTTAATGAAATGATTCATATTCGTCTGTTACCTCAAATATCTAGTTCATAAAACTTTTCATCCTCTTCCGAATCAAACCGATGAACCTCTTATTAGTAGCTGATGGCCGAGCTATTACTATTACCATTACTATTACTATTACCATTACAATTACTCTTACCATTCAAAATCTTCCCCAACTTGTTCATCCGTCGTTTCATCCATCCATCCATCCATCCATCAAATATCATACCTCTACCAAACCCTTTCAATCCCTTCTCCGAGCACCCACCTACCCACCCACCTACCCCAACATCCACTTCAAACTCCCCATCCCAGCGCGTGCGTAAATAGTTCTTTACCCGTGCTTAAAACTACCCGTGCTTATGCGTGTGCTCATGCGCTAATGGCTGATCCAGGGGTATTTACTCCATTTACTCTAATTATTAATAAATTCTTAATAATTTATTAATAATTATTCAATTTATTTAATCTATTTTCAAAGCTTGTCTATACTATTCATCTAGACGATCCGATCACATTCGGTGGATTGATGGCGGGGTCTTGGCTTGTTTTATCTATTTGTACTAGGTACGTACACTTTGTTTATTTGTGTTGTTTGTGGAAATTGAGGGGAAGAGAGAAGATGGGAAGGATGGGTGATGGATGAAGAGGATGGTGGAATTGGGTGGAGTGGAATATTTGAGGAGTTTTTTGTAGGAGGGGGGAGAATTCAATGATAGATAGTATGTTTCTTATGGTAGTTATGATGTTGAATTATAGAACAGAATTTATATTCTAAATTCCCAATATTCAATCAAACAAATATTAAATAAGTACCTACCTATCTATCAAACCCGAACAACTTCCCAAGAAAAGAAACAAATCGCGCAAGCAAACGGCTGGGAGACGTAATAGCGTGTACACGCAATACCGATGGCGCATCTCAAGGGCTTGGATAATAGAAAGACGGGATAAACCTACAAACTCGGGAATAAGAGTCGGAATTTGTCACTTTCACTTGGGATAGAGTAGCTTGATCTAGTGAGTATAATGAAGACTTTGGAAAGAATTCTAGATTCTAGATTTTATTAGTAGTTTACTTTTACTAGAGTATTGGTGATCTTTTTATCAAAAATTAATATTTGTTATTTATATCTCTCTATTTATCTAGATAAGTTAAATCCTTCTTGATCCTCCCCTTCTGGTGCTTCAAAATTTTTATTGCATCTTAAGATTCTCCTCTGGATAATATCTCCTTACGCACTCTGTATTTTATAGTACACTATAAGTAACCCACCCATACACTTCCTTTCCCTCCCTTTCCATCTCTTCTCTTCTTTCCTTCTCTTCCCTTCCTCCAACCCCTCTCATTCTCATAAATATTCTCCGACATACAACTCACTACTCTATATATGTAAAAAGGGTTCTTTTTGGAATTATTCACATCGCATCGCATCGCATCGCATCGCATCGCATCGTATCCTATCATCACATTGCATAATTAAGACTTACATTGCATAGGTACTTGAGTAGGTTTTACTTATCCAGTTCCTCGACATTTTCTCGCAAAACTTTGCTGGTCAGATGTTGCTAATTGTATGACTTTATTTTTGTGTTTATGTTTATATTCATGTGATGGTGATGGTGAGGGTGAGGGCGATAGTGATACCTACCTATGAATCTATCCATCTATTTTTCACAACCTAACAACCTAACAACTCTATGCATGAATAAGGTAAATACTAAATTCCGATACCTACCTATGCATCTGCAACGTATGTATGTATGTCTCTCCTGCATTTAATCTGTACCTTTCACTATCTAATTCGAAATCATACATATATATATATATAGCCAGGCAAGCATGCATTTACGAGTTTACTCAACACTGACTACATAGTATTTCCTGCAGTGTTAGTTTTTCTACTCTGTTACTGGTAAGATTACCTAGTATTGTAAGATTATATCTATTCCTTCCAATACAACACGGAATTTCTCGCGGCATCCCGAGATGGGATCTTATGACTAACCTTACAGCTCGGGAACACTCTTCGTCCGAGTAGAAAAGGTTTTAAGATCTCAGTTTGCACTAGTTAATGTCGAAAGTTTGTTATGTGTGGGTTGGAAGTCTCATACTTGAATTTCTAAGAGCTACGCAGTCAATCATGGATAAAGTGTCTTAGATCAGAGACTCTGCAGTACTTCCAGAAACACTTTTTTTTTTTTGGTATGATCACGTGCTTATCACGTGAGTTTAATTCGATTGATGTTACTTTCAAATATTTACTCAGTGGTATATTTGGGAGAGTACGTAGTAGTCTTCGTATTCTAGCCTGCCAGTAGAAGATGGATATTAGGTCGTCGTTTCAAGGAGTCGAGAATTGAAAGTTTTTGTTCAAAGTATCATTATGCTGGAGTAGTAAGCTTACGCCAAGCTTGGCCCCTCATCAGCTCAACCTACTAGCTAGGTAGAATTGCTTCGAGTTTTGTTATCCAACAGATGAAGGTGGGACGATATCGATCTGAATCTGAAAGGAATCAGGGCTTGGATCGACATGTGTCCATAAACGCACGGCCCAGTTTCTACTCATATTTATATTCTCAATACATCAATCAGGAAGAATATCGGGACTCTAGAATTAGAGTCTGCTTGATGTAAAGTATATCACGTTGAGCCTCATCATACACATCATTTATTCGAATAAACCATCATCACTTCCTAGACAACTCGACGTCTTTTTCTTCCAAGGGATTCCTCCATGAATGGACGTGCGCTTCAACACTCGATCACTCCAAAATTCATAGCAAAATGTCTCTTTTAAAACTCTCAGGCTTCACATACTCGAGATCTCTTGCCTATTTTATCATCTTTACAATCACATTCTCGATATTTTCTTTCATACAACAATCTTTTGTCTTTGGGGGTAGATTACGTCTTAAATCTCCAGAAGAAATTATTGTTTTCGGTGAGGGATTGTTGAAGTTGGGCATGGATATTCATATGTGGAGTGTTTTACGTATGTTTTTTGGGCGATTTCTTTTTGTCGTTGTCCGCTAGATTATATTATTATAATATTCATAGTATTAGATACTATGCTATGCATTCTATAAATTCTATCATCATAGACCACACTAAGGTAACATAAAGATCACGGCAAACACAACTAACAAAAAACGTCTCAGCCGCCGGAACTCTTCTCCCCCTTCAATTCCTTCCCATAGTAAGGAGAAAATATATGAACCTGCACAGATACGCAGGAAGAGCCCTCTTTATAATGCTAATCATCGGAAACACATGTTTGTCCCTCCTTCATCTTCCTCCTCTAACTTGACTAACTATATGAAAAGGTGCTTTTGGAATTGGCCATGTTTCCTTTGGAGGAACACTCGAAACTAGAATTTGGATCTATACACTCGGTGTCCTGGAATATTTCGCCTTGTTCAAATCTTGGATTGCAATTCGACGAAAGAAAATTGAAGAACATCGGATTTGGGCTATTAGGACTTGGGGATGGGCAGGGAGTGTAAGTTATTTCGTTTCACCCTTAGCTCCTATCATCTGATATTATATATCAGCTACCTCCAACCGAAGTACCCCGTTGAATACCATCAATTAATCCCATTAAACTAAAAACCCCCCAGATCCTCACCATGCGTCTCCTCATGATCCCCTTCATGAACATCGTCCTCTCTCCCTATACCCGTACCTTCTACTCCCTAACCACATGTTCTGCCCTCCACAACTTATACACAGCTCATTCATACCCCCTCACAAATATCACTCAAACCTATCCCATGTGTGAAAATATCATTTCGGGAGTAGGAGATTATCAGGATATTCATATTCCTATTGAACTGGGATTATTCCCGCCAGAACGTCTGGTGGCTTCGTTGAATATGGTTTTTGGGACGGCGGGGTGGTGTTCGTTGGTTTTGCATTTGCTGGGTGTAGAGGCTTGGTTGCAGTGGTCTGGGGGTGCGGAGGGGAGGAAGAGGGTGGGGAAGGCGAAGATTAAATGAAGGAGCGGAAGTGGGGGGAGGGGGAATGATGGAGAGGGATGATTATGTTGGAGAGAGGTAGAATTGAGACTGGTAATTTGGATGTGAGATATTAGGGATCTTGAGTTGATGGTATTATTGTGAGAACTTTTTGAAATAAAAGCTCAAATTAGAGAAATATCATTGTCTTTAATCACACAAATCATAAAGTAAGGACGTTTTATTTTATTCATAGACTACTTGTCCTCAACGCCATCGAGAAAGAAACGAATATTTTGCTATTCTCGAGTAGCATCTAAACTCAGCCTGGAAATTATAATCTTACCTAAATAAAATCCCATACCCACTCTCAACTCCCTTAAATCTTCCGCACTATAGAAGTCAGATGTATTCTGGATGAAGTGTTAGCTATTAGCATGCTTATAAATCAGTTACCAATTACTATCACAACAAGAAGTCCATCTTACCTTGAGAATTGATCTCGATCTTCTCCATCATCACCATCATCATCATCATCACCATCAGCTTCAACTGCAGCATGCACTCTTCTCAGAATATACTAAGTATTAGCAGCATCTTGAGTTAATTTATCTTGAGAACCAACAGCAGCTATAGTAACAAAACGGAAAGCTTCAAGTTGAGTAAAGACGGTTTTTACTTGGAGAGCGATAGATTGAGTATCCTCTTCATCCTCAAACAGAAAATCACCCTGTATTTCCCTTCCCTTCCCATTCCATTCCCTCCACAAAACCAGCAAATTCCTTCCTCCTCTAATTACCCTTACAATCTCACAATCTCATCAATTTATTCATCCACTCATCCATTAACCCATTTATTATTTAACAATTATAGTAATTACCTACTATCCCCATAACATCGAGAAATAATTAACAGTTTCTTTCCTTTCCTTTCCTTTCCTTTCCTTTCCTTTCCTTTCCTTTCCTTTCCTTTCCTTTCCTTTCCTTTCCTTTCTTCATTCCAGATTCATCTGGAAAATAAGATTATTTTGGATACTTATAGTACCTAGCCTGAGGTACTCGATTAATATATCTTTTTAAAAGTGATGTGGGTTGGTTGAGTTTTTGGCCTGGGGTTTGGGTATGTATGTATGTTTTGTTTGTATTTATACGATTTTTGATTTGTGATTTTGAGGATTTTACCAGGTTTTTTGACCTTGGACTTGTTGAGTGTGGTTTTTTTTAGTGGGATTAGGATTGTTGGGGTTCTTTATCTTTGTCTTTGTCTTTGGCTTTGGCTTTTTATGACCTGGTGGACCAAAAAAATGAGGTGGGATTATGAGTACGATTATTCGTGGCTTCTGGTTTCTTTTTGACTGGTGCCATGATGATGTTTTTAGATTAATGGTGTTGGATGTTTGGATTTTTGGTTTTAGTTTTGTTTGTTTCTCCTGGAGTTTAGATGGGTTTTGTAGGTAATGAGAGAGAAGAAAGAATCTAGGTGAAAAAGAGCTAGGCGAAATTCAGGGGAACCGAATGAACAGCTAATGTGAAATTTATTGAAGAAATGTATCCGGTTGGTTACGGTGGGAACTAATAAATACATTTAAGGATTTTTGTGAATTGGGAATAATCGAGACGGGGGATGGGTGCTTATTTAATTGAGTAGCTTGAAAATATAAGGAAAAGGTGCATTCTGGCCACAAGAAATAAAAGGGTTAATCCACTCGTGCTCATCAACACCATATTATGAACGGAAATTTGTGCGAAGCACATTTTTCTACACAGAAGTGCAAAGTTATTCAGGCTCCTGATATGTGAGTTGCAAAAATTATCATTAGAAATTTGTTTACGAAAAAGGATCGTTTGTAATACCCTTCCTGACCGCCTCCGTAACCATAGATTTAATTGCTACCCCGAATTCAATCCCTGATAATTCTGACTTTCAAAATTACCGCGCCTTAATCTGGTAGCGGGGTGTTAAAGATTGTATCGATGACATACTATTTGCGAATCAAACTCCTGCTTCCATGGTTAGTAGGAGTTGCTCAACACCAGCCTGCGAACAGCTACAGCTACAGCTGCAAAATGTCTTTCTTTGTCCTTATTAACCTAAGCATTTAGGATTTTCAGCAATCTATTTTCCTTTAGTTTCCATTTGCTCAAGCATCCGTCCAGAAAAAATCAACAAAATCGATGGTCTTACCATCAGCTGCAGGAGAAGAAGCCGCAAGAGCCTTCGTCTTTGAGAACTACTTTCTTCCTTTCTGCACTCCCAAAAATTTTTTCCCCAGTCTTCCTTTCATTCTCACGAAAAGCATTCTCGATTCCCTGACGATACCGTCTATTTGCTCGAGCAAAAAATGCCGCATCTTCTGCAGCATCACGAGGATCTAAAATTCCGCGATAACGACGTGGAGTTGGTACGTATCTTTTATCGGAAGATGAAGCTGGATGTTCAGGCTTGGAAGATGGATGGTGGGATGTTGTAGTACTGGATTGTGTGTTGGTGGCGTAGGAGCCATCGAACATTAATGAGTCTTTGGTTTGAGTTTCATAATTCCAGTTCTCGTCTGACATGATTATATCTGAGGAGGAGGAAGACGGTTTGTTTTCATCAAGGATGGTTTGGGGATCGGATTTGCTTTTTTGAATCTCTTTTGAAGGTAAATTCCTCTCATTCGGCATGTTTTTTGAAGGGCCCTTTGGAAGCTCCATTGTCACGAAGCAACTGTGGGCTGGATAACAATTTGGGAAAGCTGATTTTCCAAAATTTGAAAGCTTTGAAATTGAAAAGGTTTTATTTGATAAAGGGAATTTGGTTATAAGGAATTTGTGAGGAAGAGATTCGATTTTTTGATGTAGGCTAGAAGAAATTTACAAGAGCCTTGTAGCTGCAAGAGAAAGATATGACATCGTGTTCTTTGCTGAAAGCCGTACGGCTAGTATCATTCATTCCCATTATAGACTTAATGCTTGATTGAATTCCGCATCTGCGTCTAGATGGTGTTTTGAGTGAATATATCGGAAGAATCTCCAGAAGCAAAAGTTCAGAAATGCTCTCGACTTGTCACTGCACAACTTTCGAAAATTTCTGTGAAGTTTAGGTAAACTTGTTGCGGTTTATAGTGAGGTCCACTTAAAAGAGAGTATAGAGACTTCTTGATATCAGTACTATCATATATTATTGAAAAATCCCAGTAGGGCTATGAACTTTAGGCAGTAGTTAGTGAAGGCAAAGTCATATCGGCAAAAGTTTGCAAGTAATGTAAGATTAGTAACTAGAAATTTGTATTGAATACTACCTACTGCGTGATACATGCACGCCACGCCATTGTAATTCCACTAAAGAGTTTCCTTCTGAAAGTTTGATGATTAGGCATTCCGCTACACTGCCTATGATCAATTCGTACCAATCATAATAGGATCGCTAATTTTCTTGAAAATACAAGCGGAATCTTAAAACCGCTCCACCCCGCAGTATTATACCGCCCTTCCCCCGAGCAAAATAATTTACAGCTAAAGGAAAAACATACACAGCATAAAAACTTCCTGCTAGTCGAACATGCCCAAAGAAAACGAACTCACTATGCATGATATCTCACATACCCCCAAAAGTTTTGACCGTGATGTTTTGCAAAGTGACTATGCACCACTACTCTCATAAGTTATAGTCATTTCTTTTTCAACATTTCCATGACCAGATGTCATGTTCCTTTTCGTTCTTTTCATCACTATTCTCGTTTTCTTCATCATTGTTATCGTACTCGTTGAAACTATCCTCTGTCAAATTACTCTTCACATACTCGTCGTCTTGAAGTCCTGACGATAATCCTGCTGCCGTCTCCTCCTTAGGATGTCGGTCTGCAACAGAAAGCATGTTCATATATTGCATACCCTCTTCAAATCGGCCGAAAGTGTGGTTGTTAGAGGAAATAGCACCTTCATCAATAAATACGGAAGGTAGAAGCTGTGGTGCTGCACCGGCAAACGGTCTATTTCGAGGGTGATGTAGGAGTGAAGATCGAGCACGGTATGAACGTGGTTGGCTCTCTAAAGGTGACACAGATCGCGAGTCTCTATCACGATTGCTCTGGTAGTGTCTTGCAGGCGTCACAAATCTCGTACCAGTATTTGTGAGGATTCGAGACGGTGTCTGAGTTGATAGCTCCCGATTTCTCGTCCACATTCCCTCCGTACGAAGAGTTCGTCGTGGACGAGGAGCTCTTGGTGGAGATATAGTGCGTGTATTCGGGGGAGTCTTTGGCAGTGTCCCAGAGGTCTCTCTTTGTGCTACGCTATTTTTAGATGCACTTTGTGATTTCAGCTCAGGGGTTGTAGGTGTTGAGCCTTGGTTGCTGTTGACAGATGCCATCTCGATCATGACAAAGTTTCTTGATAAAATAAGACAGATGTAAATTGATGTGGACTCTTCTTGGCTGTTGGAGAAGATTACGATGAAGAATATGGTGAAATTTTTTTAATGGAGACTGGTTGAAGCAGAGGGACTATCTAGTCTTATATGGATGGATGCTATCATACAGTACGGTCACGGCTATATGCGCATGTTCAAGAACCCGTTTCGCGAACTCTGACGACGGCTTAGTGACGTTTCTACTTTCTTTAGGTTTAGCAATTTACTTCTATTTATGTACGGTATAATACAAGCTATTTGAACTTTGTGTACACGAGATGAATTGGAGATGGTGCAATGCGGCTCAAGTCCTGAAGCGAAAGGCAAATTTCACAATTTACATGCCACGAAGCTTTTGATGACTAGCATACGGCTAGTTGCAACCCTACTAGGTCTATAGAAATCCAAATATGTGGTTTTCAAGAGTTTCTTGAAACTCTTGTGCTACCTTCAAATTTTCTGGTGTTTTCAGATTATTGTAGAGCTAAACCTTTGCATTAGATTACTTTGCACGCTTAGTCTAGAAGAACATTGCAAAAGATGGAGGGTCCTTAGAATGTTTCATTTACCGGCTGAAAAAAATAAATACAGTGATGCTCATAAAAATCCATGGCTACTGCATTACTGTGCGTACTGACAAATGCCATTTTCATCCATTGTTATTCCAGCATGAGATTAAATTTCTGCTCTTCGACTAATCCTGATCACTTTTATGGTTATCGTGAAATACTTAAAAAGGCATACCTTCGTTTTTTTGTCATTTTGAAAACTACATATGCCTACTGCCTCCCATACTCCTTGGTTCTCGCTTACCAAAAGGATGCTTCTTCATCCCACTCTGCCTTGTTCATCTGGCAGAAAGGCTCCTCGGAATCCAATACATTTGTACTATTTGAAGTGATGTGATCTATCTGCAGAACGATGGTTGACGAAGATTTTTTTGAAGTGCCATGAAATTGAATGTTCGGCACCGATCCATTCGCACTTTTGTCGTCGTTGTGATGGTGAGCCTCGCCAATAGAATTCCGATATTGCTTATTGACATTGTGATAACTAAAGGCCATGTTTTCGAAGTCGTGGGAGATCATTTTAGTCCTAGCTGCTAAGCTGTTTCTATTATGATTTTTTCTGCGACTACCATCAGGTGTTGGTGAACAAGGTTCATTTTTCTGTCTCTCTTTCGGAAGTGTAACTCGCGTCGAATGTGCTGCTCCAGGCGGGGATGCCCTGTACTTGGGTAAAGGTGTCTTGAATACATGGCAGCAAAGGGTGGTCTTGTATTTTTCGCTTTTGGCCATATTCGATGGCATGCTACCAGTTGTAGCATGAACTTTCTGAGTGTCCATTGTTAACATATCAAATGGCGGAAGAGTTAAACGAGTAAGGTTTGTTGCGATTCAGTGTTTGATAAATAAGGTTAATTATTACTCTTTTTACGATGGAGATAGAATAAAGGCGATGGAGAATAAGAAATAGAAAAAGTGCAACTATATATTATCTCCGTCGAAGACTCGGCCACAACTAACGTTATGAGACAAACTGATACAGTCAGTTATTTGCGCGAGTTTATGGACCAGAAAAAGGTATCACCGTAATCGAGAGAGAAAAACTGAAAATTTTCCGAATTGTCTTGGTCTTGTTGTTCAAAAAGTTGGAAGTCTAGTTTTAGTAGTCTTTCTCTATATATGAAGGATGTTTCAATTGTATTATGTTCGAAGTTATCTGAAACGTAGTCTACTCTGAGATTTATGGTCACATCTATACCAGAAGAGGAGGCCTTGATGACTTACTCATTTTGGTATTTTTTATGGGGCTAAGTGTAATTTATGGACATAAAAACAGTCACGCACTTGCGTAGAACAGCCTTTTCTATTATTTATCAAGAATTGGACTGGATCAAAGGCTATATGGTTTGAATCCGTGTACATTACCTTCCAAGGTGCCTTATTCGTCGCCGGAAGCTCAAAATTGGCATTTGCATTAATGAATCTTTTCCGAAGCTTAACTTGGAGACACTTATACATTCTGGATTTCTGGCTTGAAGGCCTCCTTAATATCTTCAGCATTGATGATCTATTAGATTATCCACTACAACTATCGATACGCTGGCATCCAACCTTGATGCCCTGGATCCATCTGATCTCCATAGATGCATATTCAACCCCCGTATATGTCTCCAGAATCCTTGCTCATCTCACAAACTACATATCTTAAGTTTTCCGCTAGGTGAAATAGGAAAAAAGATAACGGAACCATGCATATGTTATGTGAACCCAACGCTATGCAACTTGAGAAGATCTCTTGCTTAGATTCCTTGCACTAAGAGTTTCACGAAGCTTTGTACACCTAGCCGCGAACAACTCAAATATCCCGACAATCGTAGCCATTTTATGGCGAAAAGAGGCCTTTGGAGATTCAAATTCCGGCACATCCGTTTCCTCGCTTCGAATTCTGGTTTTGCCAGATTTGCACGCCATGAGTAGACTATCACCGAATTTGGCATTGTTTCCTTCATTTCCAGCAAGAATTTCCTGTAGCTCAACACTTTGTGTGTTTGCATATTTGTTTCCTTCAATTGCCCTTCTTGGTTTCCTAATAGAACGGTTTCGACGTGAGATCGCAAGCACTTCCCAAAATCGTGCGTTTGGGTCAGAGGGCCCAAAGGTATGACTACCCGCTAGTTTTATCGCTTATAAAGAATTCCTGTTAGTCGCTTTAGACGTATGAGGTTGCTTACCGCTTAAATCATCCTCCTTTGTCCAAATATTTGGCGGTTTGATGCTTGTGGACATATTCGATAGAGATGTCTCGAGTGAGTTTTGGTGGAAGGTTTTATTGTTAGCCGCTATTTCTGCTGCCATTTGGTCCTTATGATCAGGCATTTGTTTACGTTTAGATGTCATTTCAGGTTATTTTCTTGCTGAAGGTAATGAAGATCTCCGAGGATTATGGTGGATGTCGACATGGGAGACTGTGAAGAAATGGATGAATGTTGACTTAATAGAACGTTTGCGTTTAATGCAATTCTTAAATAGTGTCCAAGGACTAAATGCAATTCAGTTTATGTTACGTTTTCTTCACTTACTACGGTACACTTGGTACTACAATTGTCAGGGAAGGTTCTTCAAGCTTCCTTCTAAATTTCCGAACACGTCTACTATCGGATATATAGATGGGATGCAAGAAATTAAGAATGGATTGACTAATATACAAGCAACCCAATGTTGCTTCCCGTAGGTTGTTTTAGCTTCGATTTTGCTACTAGGAAAATTGTTTTGGTGTTGAGAAAAGCGGACAGCATCCCATCAATACTCGCCCCGTTCCACAAGATTTTCATTGAGGGATCTCCAAACACTTAAATTTCTAAAGAGTTAGTGATATCCTCCGGGCAGTTTTTTGGCTTGACTTTGATATGCTTACCTTCTACACCATGCATGACATGATGCTTTTTAGGGCACTATGAGATCCAACATCTTATCCTTTTGTATGAGTCAGAGCTAATAATATCACAAACTTATTAGTATCCATATCGAGCGATTGGCTATACAAGTATCTTTAGCATAGACTGTGTTCTACAACATCTCCTATCTACTCCATCTGATTGGCACATTTAACTAAGATAATTCGCCCTAAACCTAAGTCCTAGTCTCACGGGCTTTCCGGGAAGGTCCTCTTTGTCTTTTAGTTTCTTGCTAGATCGAACGAAGGGAGGGAAGATTACCTGCAAGCACTAACAAAGCTCGATGTTTGCTGCCCTTACCGACCTCGAAACTGTCATGTGACGTGTCAACCGGACGATGCCCAACATTTTTTGAGATTTAGGCTGGCTTTCCGGTTTTGGTATTTCGATGCCCTTCGTAATCTCTTCCTACTCGCCTTTTCGTGCCAAGCCCCTTAGCCGCGCTTGGAAGTGCTTTTTCCTTTGTTGCCCATTACGACAGAGAGTCACGGCATCTTTCTGCTGATGCTTTGATGGACCTTTCGTCTGCAAAGGTAGAATTTCTCGAGATTAAATCTTCTCGAAAGCGTGGTGGTGAAGGAATAGAATTAGTCATTATGCTCTTGTGAAAGATGAATGTGATGAATTTTAATACTATTGAAAACGTTTTCTAGTTTTTTGTTCCAATAAAGCCCCTCTTTTATTGGATATTGCTACGATGGGTGGTGCTCGTGCTTTTAGAGGATGAAAATTCCGAAATTTCGATGTTTATTAGATAGACAGTTTTTTTTTTCGTAGAATCAAGGCTTCACGATGTTAGGTCGTAAAGCACCGCTCAATATCTGCAAAATATTCATATCTTTCTTGTTGATATTATACAGTGCGGTCGATAATCTCTGTGTGAATCATGAAAGATATTCTTTCACGGGAAGGTGAAGTACACCGAAATAAGTCAGCTCATGCTTCATATTGATGTGGATGGTGGTATGTAGAACTCCGATATACATCACAGGTTTACACACGGCTACAAGATTCACCTACTGCTTGGGGCGAAAGCGTGCGATTGAACATAAGTACAAGATAATTTGTTAGCGATTGTTATTTGGCGTACGTATCATCTAACCGACTTGAGAGGAAAGATTGGGCATCATCAGCTTCAATGATCATTTAGGAGACTAAAAGTGACAAGCCACGCCGAATTTACTCTCAATCACTAGGTCACCTAATTTTCGAGACATGCTTGCTTGAAAGTTTCTTATTATCTTTTAATGAAAATCTAAGCAAACTTGACTTTTGAATCAGTTTGAACTGGCAATTAGTTTCCCGTATGTATTAAATAATATCCTCACGGAACAATCACAACTACAGTTCACAAAGATCATAAGCAGCAATTTTGATTCTGGTATCTATCTATGTTTGAAACCCGGTAGTTGTTGTAGCGCTCCATGATTTCTTCAACAAACAAGCTAACTCCTCTCCCTTTAACAATCAAACCATTTTCCCCCCTTACTAATACAGTAAAGACGGACTAACCCCCTAGGAATTCCGATGGCATTCAAGGGTGAATCTAGAATACAGCTCGGAATTCCGACTTTGCGTTGCCAATCGAGCTGCTTTGAATCTAATACTTCCGCCCACTTCTTTGCTTGAAAGTTCCTTTCGTGCCAAAGCTTGGTTTCAAGTGCATCGCCTTCTCAAAGAGATGTCGCAACATTATTTTCCAATAGGAGCGCTTTCTGTTCGATACGTCTACTTCAATTTGTTCTTCCACATTTGCCTGGATCCACAACTTCTTCTCTGACTCCACCATACGATGGTAGTATTGTTTGTTCATGGGACTGCGCATAACTTGGGGGTTCTTTCCGGATAGATCTGTGACGTTAGTTCCGAAGCGAACGTGTCGTGTAATACAAGGTCGTGATGAGGTAGACATGTTGTCAGTAATGTTATCTTAAATATTGTTGAGATCGAGAAGTGGCAGGCAGAATTTGTATGTAATGAATTCTGTGAAAGGTATTTGAGTGGTTGGAGCATAAAATTTTGGAGAGGGAGGTTGCTTTATCTATCTACTCGTAGATGCGCGAGTTTAATTTTATCAGAACGTATACAGATAAATAAGGTGCAAAATTAACTTGAATTTTATAATGACTTGGTTGACTAGTCTCCTTGAATCATACGCGTGTGTCATCAAACAACATCAAGGAAGCTGTGGCTAAATCCTCTAATTTATGGAGAATTATTTTGACCGTAAGAATATGGTGAAAGATTGATACAAGTTTGCATATACTACGTGAAAAAAATCAGCTGATTATAATTGTTTGGGGTCGGGAACTAAGAGTGACAATTCGCCTAACCAGCCCACCCCTTGATTCTGAGATGGGGGTTGAATGAACACATTAAAGAAAGCTGAATTTTAGCTCATCAAGTTTTCACAATCGAATCACCTCCATATTTACCTATCGTAAGATGAAGGCAATTTAAGCGAATCGAAGGAGTACATTTGGGTCTCTAGTAATTGACCAGTAGGCTGGTGCACCTTGCCGATATGGGGCTGGGCACATGCTGGAATAGACCTAGGGTAAGCAGTGGTAATATTTCAAAGATTAATATGCTATTCTATCTCTACAAAACAAAACACTGCCATATATGATATCTCTGAATACGAGATTATGTAGCTAGAATATTGTAACATTCACTTGAAAGAAGATATTTGAAATGCATTCTCCGGACTATCATATAATAAATTAAAAATAACTTCAGGATCAAATGATTACTATTAAAAGATCACATGATTAATTCCCCTAAGTAGCCTGATACCAAAAGCTTTTCAAGAATAATACCCTAAGAAATCTCTATAGGTAAGATATCCATCCCTTAGAGGCCAAATACCCCGGGTAAGGTACGTATGCCAAGCCCTATGCCGATATTAGCCTCTAAATGTACACGTAACAAGTCACTTAAGTGAACATCGCAGTTGAAAAATTTAATTTATTTTGCTATGCAGGTGTATCTCTGTACCCTAGTCGAAACTAATCTATCCTCATATCCTGGAATGGACATACTGTTTATGAAATCCCATTACTTGCCGGAAAAATGAAAGCTCGCCCGCCAGTTTCGCCAATCAATCAAATCAAATACCGACCGCTTCAACAAAAAACAAACCATCTAATTCATTGCCACTACTCTTGGATTAGTAGTATAGTAAGGTCAGGATTCAGCCGCCAACAGTGACTACATCTCCACAGACTCTCGTCCCCCTTCCCAACATCATTCGCTAAGATGTCTCTCTTTCCAGATAGCTTCTAAAGTTTGGATTTCCTTGTCTAATTTGGAAAATTTTTTTCCTCTGCAGCGACCGAGCCAAAACGCATAGCCTTTTTTGCGTCCGCAATACGTTTTGCCACCTTTTCGCGGCGAGTCTTCATGGCAAAAGTTGCAGGGGGTTTACCGCCTTTCCCTTCTGTTTCGTGTGCCCCCTTCGTTTCTCCTTCTTGCCAATGCACATGGACGGCCTCAGTGTTATTTCCATCAGTCCCATCATATTCTTCATCGACTTCATGGTAGCTAGCTTCGCAATCCAGCTGATTGCATTGTCTGGGATACTTTTGTTTCCATTGATTGAAGGCTAGGACGACCATTCTTTCCCGCTCTCTTTTCTCTATGAGGTGGAGCCGATCGTCGATATTTCCTTGGGTCTTTTCAAGAGTGTCTTCTGCAAGCTTGCTTGGTCGCTGTGCGTAAGAAATTTTCGATGAGGAGGATTTTTCAGAAGACATTGTTTGTGAATTAGGGAAGTGAGATGATTTTTTTTGGAAGGAAAGCAATTTCGGAAATCGCTCTGAAAAGAATTTTTCAAATGGACCAATGACAAGTTCTGTTTGTTTGGAATTGTTCGAAGGTTTTGGTTCTTGTCGACGGATGATGCTTTTTTAAAGATAGAAGCAGGCGCAAAGAAGTCTTTTATTTCTCATCCATGTACGTACGGCCTCGTATCCAGAAGTCATGTTTCTACCGTAGTGACCGTACTGGTGACGATACGGTCAAATAACTGGTGCGCTCAAGTTAACTCCTAGTATCTACAACGGCTAGCCGTAACCTTACGTGTTTGTGCATATTGGACAATAGAACTAAAAGTCGAGATAGCATTAACCGTACATAATATATTTTGAATAGTTATATCATTCATACGGGGCAAAAATGAGCCGAGTATAATTGTATTCAACAGCTTCTGTCATGTTTTCTGCGTGGTCGGAATCAATCACGATCATTGTCGCTGCCTATAAAAATGCCTCCCTAGCCTTTTGTACAATTTCCTTCTTAATAAACAGTCCTATTTCTGTACATGCCAGTGTTTGCTTGTTAAGTGAGCTGCCTATGTGTATCACCAGAAAAGTCTATGCCCAATACCAAGACCATAGACTGCCGAATTCATCACGAAATTATGCTCAATGAGCCGATTACGATGATGCAATATACCATCATTGCATAAAGTAGCCTCTAAAACAACCAACAATATTCTACAAATCCTCAATACAAACTAAAACCCTAGTCAGTGAAATATTTATTCATAATTTTATTTTTGTTCAGAATCTCCTCTATAGCTCCTTAAAAACTTCCCTCCAGCTACGTACAATACCAATCTGCAAACGTCAATTTCTGCAACAACTTAACATCAATAATACCGGTGGTAGATCTAATTCGCCCAAAACGACAATCCCTCATCTTGAATCTGCTTGTCCGTCTTTAGAAAGTCACTCTCTTTCACGCTGGATGGAGCCCCGGCGGTGCTCGGGTTTTCCTCGCAATATGCTGTTATTTCGATGGAATTGCTTGCGGATTTTATAGGATCAGAGATAGTTAAATGACCGTGGTCATCTTTGCTCCCAGAAGCTGAGTCATCGGAAGTTTCGGAAGCGTGGTCAGACATTTCTGATGAAGGAGTCCATTGCGCGTGTGGCGAATTATCAGGCAGCCTATGTGTGGTGTCCTGCATTTCTAAGTCCAATTGCTTATTCTGGATTTTGATGATTCCCTTGTGATATCTTTTATTCACCAAGTAGATGTACTCGTCGGCAACCGCATCTCGGAAGCGTTGAGGACAGGGCGCCCCAGGCGGTTTCTTTTCCATCGTGCTTTGGTAGAATAATTAATGTAATGGGGTTATTTCTGTGATGGTGTTATGGATATTGCTTTTCGCAAATGTAAATGTTCTTGCTGATGGAAGTAGTTTTGAGACGAGTAAAAGGTCTATTTATGTTACCTATTTCCTTTCCACGACATCCCGTCTTCTAAGTCTAGAGACCACGCGCATTATGGTGACTTTATACAGCTGCAAAATGATAAATACATAGAATTAGCTTCAGAAACTCAACACTAGCGTTTAGTGTTTATAAGGAGTCGTACTTAAGTTCCTCAATCGGCTAGTTCGTCATGTGAACGAATAGATACTGTTGAGTTTGGGATCAGGAAGAGAAGAAGTGAAGGCTGATTATAATTTCAAGTCTATGGAGGAAGAAGCATCTAGATATTTAACGTAGCATTCCCTAGTAATAGCAGGAAGTCGTGTCATGAATGCTAGACTAGATATTCGCAATCTAATTCATAGTAGTAGCTACTGTTCTCATATACCTCTATCAAGCAAATCACAAGTCAATGATCCGTCCGATGATTCATCTGCTTGGAAATATCTTTATCCGTGAGATCATGGTATGCTCATGCGAAATTGCTAAACAGGCTCCTGAAGATTGTTCCCAAGCGCTGAAATACCAGCAAATTCTCTTGGATTCTGGGGACCTGTTTATTTGTAAATTAATTAGGCTGCACAAAAATAATCCACAATCCATAGATACGTAGGTAATCCACTCTATAAATAACCTATTAGGGGTACTAATTACTTGCTCCATAGATAATCCACAAAGCTTTATAGATATCCACAGATTGGGAAATAAATAGATGATATAATCTTACAAATAAATAAATTATTTATAAATCATCTATTTAAAATTTTTAAATTATTTATTTTATAATTAGATCATCTGTGGACTATTAGAGTAATAATCCGTCCTGCGGACATCCGTTGCGAAGCCTATTTGGAACTAACACTGATTGAGATCATTTCTGGATTTGCTGGTCGGGAAGACATCAAGTTGTATTAGAATATCGTAAGGTGAAAGAAACTAGAAATAAAACAAAAATAAAGATGCTACAACACAGAGCCGAAAAAGCACTAACTTGTAATCTTACTAACAGCTGGTCTAGAAAGAAAATTAAACATATTTTAGCTGAGTAAGTATATTACTACAAGACGCCTTCCGAATCATCTAAACCCAAATGCACTTAAATTTCGCTGTCCAGTCTATCCGTCATATGTCATGAACTCGCCATAACCGGGTATACCAGGACCAAACAATCCAACCATATTCCCCTGCCCCCAGCCTGCCAAGATCAGGCGTTGTCTCTAGCCAGACATTCAGTCAAATTCACCTCCGATGAAGAAGCCTTAGTACTCTTCGATTCCCCTGTTGAAGTCGACGCAACGCTTACACATTCGGAGTCCAACTCATCGGGCCTTACAAGTCCCCAGCCTCTTTCTAGGAAACTCTGTCTTTCAATAATTGATTCCACATCGGCACGGTCAAGATTTCCAACGTTATCATTTGGTACTATGTCCGGGGATAATAATCCACCAACATTTCTCGTTTCGCCTCTTGCACCATATTGTTCCTTTTTCATCCCTTTTGTTCCTTCAACCCATCCGAGAGCACTCTTCAGCACTCTTTCCCTGCAGTATTCTTTGAATTTGTTATCACCAAAGTATACCAGATTCTGAAGGAATGCACTTCTTTGTCGCTCCCGGTGGCGACGTTTGACATTCTCCGCGGCAAAAGTTCGAAGCGCTGGTCGAAGCTCTACTGTGCCTACATGCTTTTGCCGAGGTCGAGGCGTATAATCTGAGGTGAGCTGGATATTTTCTCCCTGAAACGTTGACTGTGGCGAAGAGGGGGGTGAGAGTGTTTCGGCGAGAGAAACAGCGTCAAGAAGAGCGCAATTGGCTCCCTTTCCCAAGGTAGTCATGATACTTGAGTAAGATATTAGTCACATGTTGCCTATATCCTCAGAAATTATAGATACATACTTAAAAACTGCATCTCCAATTAATGTAACGTTGGTTGAGTCCCACGGTTTTACGGAATCGCACTTCTTCACCATGTGGAGATACACAGTGTTTGTCAAACACATCTCAGCTAGTTGTAGAAAGTTGGAATGTATGTTGCTGTCGGCTTTCGAACGATTGATAATCTCAGCCTTCAATTCGGCTGGAGTTAATTCTTCTGGTGGTTTGGTTTTATTGATAAAGGCACTCGCTGGACTGCCGTAGCCATACATGATAAATGATTCACAGGGTTCGATATCGTCTGCTGTATAATCTGTAGCCCAAGGCTTCATTGGATTTTGCCATGAATGTACCAAAATATTCTGGTTCCCAGGACAAAAGGCCTGCCATGCAGTCAGTATATAGTAGAATGCAATTTTTAGGAGGCTTGGGGACACGTACCATAACTCCACTATGTGAGCCCGCCAGTTTAAATGTTTCCGGAGTCAACGGGATCTTGAAGTATATCACTGCCACATCGATAGGCCTTATCCTGGAATTCGGAAACATTTGTGCTCTGACTCTAGAATTTATACCGTCGGCGCCAACCAATAAGTCGCACTCGTCTATCGACCCGTCCGTGAAGTGACACCTTACTACTCCGTTCGGCAGTGTCTCATATCTGTCAAACTTTTTGCCAAATCGCGCAAAAGATTCGCTCCAATGCAACAGGCCTTCTCGAAGACGCCAGCGCGATACAGAAAATTCATCTTGTATCTCAGCTGGTAGCCACGTGAATATTGGATCGCCTGTGCTCTTCACGAAACTCATCTCCTGACCTCCGCCTGGTTGGACACCAATACTGGGCGCAATCTCCTGCCACACATCGTGTTGAAGTTTTCCTTTTAAATTTCGAAGAACAAAAGAAGATAACATAACCCGATATCCCGAGAGCCGGTCTACTGGGCCTCTACTACGCTCATAGAGCGTAACTTTGATGCTCGGAACATCGGTAAGAAGTTGACCTAATGTTAGACCACTCAGTCCACCGCCAATGATGATGACTCTGAGGCGTGGGGTGTTCTCAGGTATAGGCATTGTCAATAGCTGTAATGTAATTAAAAAATGGAAAATAATTGAAAGAGAGAGAAAAGGGCTTATAAAAGATCTTTAATGAAAAGATGTTGTGATCAACCACGCCTTTGTATCACCTACTTGAGTAGGGATCGGCTTAACTACCGAAAGCCCTTGTCCAACATCATACTATTGTACAGATAATATGGTATTGCATCACAGAAACCCCACAAATGGTGAAGAATTATCGAAACAAGAGTCAGGCCCTCGAAATCGTATGGAACTCGCCAATTCGAACATTGTCCGGAACAACATGACATGATAAATCATGCCATTTGAAAGCATGTGGACCCGTCCACCCCATTCAGTGGGCTTCCAGGGTCTAAGCGAAGCAGACTAAATTACTAAAAACATGTGTCAGACTACCAACCCGCGAACGAAAATTTCCGAAAGTCAATTTGTAAGACAGCTGGAAAAGAAAGAGTCTCTGCATCTCGGTAAGCATAAGTTTATATAAACGCCCAATCTTCAGCATTACATCTTAAATAGCTTCGGCTAGCACTAGACTGGATACGATATCAATACGTGCTTTTCTCGGAAGTGGCCAATTTATTACTGAAAGTGCACGTAATTTGCCAAGAATGATGACAAGTCACTAGCATACCAGACCCAAGTGCTTTTCGAATAGCGAAACGCGGGTGTGAATTCATGGGATATTCGGATTTACAACGCTTCTTCGTTATTTTTATCGCCGTGCGAGCTAAATTCTTTCCAGAAGAAATCACAACACCCATGCATGTCGGAGTGGTTTGACCTTCTTGGTAAGACGTGGTGGATCCCGATGGATTCCGCTCCGGATTTGCCATGCAGGGCAGGGGGCTACTTCAGATCTGTGTTGAACTTCAATAAACGCACAGCTAAACCAAGAATGCGACAAAGAAAAGTATGTTATGTCTAATGGTCCGGATGCCCGGATCCTGGGAAAATACATTAATACTAATCTCCATCAATTGGATCGAAATAACATACATCGTATGGCAATAACCAATACATATTAATCCGCGGACATCTTATACACCCGACGGTGGACTCTCAGAGCGAAATATTGGCTCCGCCGTGCTTCCATTAGATGAAAAATATTGCTGTAATTTCTGTATCTCCGCTTAGCTTTGTGCAATAAGTATAAGCCCCCCGTATTTGAGAACTCCGGGCGGGAGGATCAAAGTTCCCCGGTATGTTTTGTGGACCATCAACGGGAGCTTCGACCCTACGTGCAGTCTTATTTCCAGATGCGGTCACAAGTGGAAAAACTTTATTTTTGGCTACATCTCTTCTGGCACCTTTATTATCATGGCGTAAAGAACGAGAAGGGCTTGGCGACAAGCCAAGTGACCTCTGAGGTCGGATATGAGCATCATTTCCCCTGGTAGGGAGCTCAGTTCTCCATAAAGACCCCACAAGCTCCTGTGGCCGAGTCAGTAAATTACTTCGATACATGACATTACTCTGTCCACAACCGAGCTCTACCACAGTGTTTTGCAGATATTCATCATCTTCGCTGTCTTCATAGTAACTACTCTCAATCTCATCAAGCAGGCCCCGAATGCGGTCTTTGCGGTCGCCTGATATAATAGTAGTATCAAAGGATCCAATAGTTGCAGGCATCAATAAGAATCCCCATTCATGGGAGTCTTCCACTTCATCATAAAGTTCTGCACCTTGCTTCCATGAGTGCCTCTAGAGCTTCAGGGATGCCATGGTAGATGGCATAGCGTAAAGGAATGTATTCGAACTCATCACGTTCCTTGATGGATGCACCCTTCTTGATGAGCAGTTTAACAACCTCCAGATTTCCGGTTTTGGCAGAAATTCATAAATGGAAACCATTGTTTCGTCGATAGCGAAGACGCATCCTTAAAGGTTCATTGTAAGGTAATGATTTATCCACAATTTGGACATGCCCGTGTTGACACGCAAGACAAAGGGGTCGATAACCCCCGAAGTCCGTCTGATCAATCGCAACTACTTTTCCATAAAGGACTTTTACATTACGCACAAATCCTTTCGCAACGCAAATGAATTGGTCGCCAAATTTCATTCTTCTTCGGCATATGCCTTAGCACTTATCAGTAGGCTGACTATATCCTGGTTGTCAGAAGCACAGGCATAAATGCAACAGCGTTCAACATTCTCTGAGTCGGTGGTCCACAGCTGCTTTTCTCTTAGTATCAGCTCGACCACACCAAGATTTTGGCTAATACAGCAAGATGAAGCGGTGTCAAGCTATATATCAGTTTCATATATTGGCGATTTTCATCGGTTCACGACTTCAACATGTCTGCCGAGCAACACATAGTAGAGAATTAGCTTTTAATCTCATTGACGCTTTTTGAGTTGGCTTTTCTGTTCGAGAGGGACTCCAATATTTGCAATTGAACCGGATGCATATGCGCAGAGAAGTTGGGGAGTTGGAACTTTTGAAGAAGGTTTCGAGGTTGGCGCTTTTTTAAAACAAATGTTCCATCACATTTCTGTGGCTAGTCTCGCAAGTATAGTGTAAGGCAGTCATGAATTGGTTATCTCATATCTAGATTGATGCCTTGAGTAAGCAAATCGGCACTAAATTGGAGGAGATCAACCATTCTGTGTCACCACAATGACAAGCTACAGCGAGAGCAGTACTTTGATTGTCACTATGAAAAGTCTCTATATCGTTCCCGTTCGAGAAAAGGACCTAAATTTCTACTCTAGGTCCTGCTTTAGCCACGCCACGAGAGTGGGCGTATGAAACTCATTTACTGAGCTGAAGTCGATACCTTGTTCAAAGTTTATTTCTTGTCCTCGCTTCAATTGATGAATGGTGAAAATTTGGGCCAGCCGGCCTTGCCCGGTCAGGAGTTAGGAATAGGTAATAGGCTGGTAGGACTGGGAGTGTTGACTTTCCTTTGTCGAGTAGGCCAAAATTTCTTCCTTCAAGAATGATGAAGTGTATCCTCCTGCTGTAACGATTCTCCAGAAGAGGAAGAGGAAAGCCGCCTTTTAACTGAAGGTTCTGAATTGGTAGAATTTGAGGTAAAGCTCCGACTACGATATACCTTGAAGCTATTGGAGTCTAGTAGCAGCTTTGTTTGGGTGAGATAAGGTCATGACTGTCCGAACTAGGGTGATGTCTAAAGATGCTGGCGATTGTAGCATAGACTTGGTGACACTTGTTTCACAACCTTCATCAGGATTGATGGTATTCTCCGTTGCTGGCTTTCGGTGAATGAAAGCGGGCAGCTAGTTTGTATGGGCGAGACTCTTGTAATGTGATATCAAAGTCAAAAACTGTTCCTCCAATACTACTTGCCAACATAGATTGGCGTTCGCTTTCCGAAATTTGTGATGCTGTGAAAATCACACATAGTGATTTTGTATCATATACAACCCTTTGTATTAATCTTTTGTTCCCTTGAGTGCCAACAGAGATTTTTGGGTTCTTGCATCCCTACTATTGATTGTGATGAATGAACTATCTCTCTTTTGGGGAGTTGTGCGAGTTGAACCCGGCCTAATCCCTAATTTGAAAACCTGCAGCCCTGGTGTAAATAATATACTGATTATAAAGCGAATTGTTCTATCCTGCGTTTTTAAACTTTCCCCTCAGAGTGTAGAGGCCTTGAATCGTCGTCCCGATGAATTGAGCAATCTGCAGGCTCATGCTGCGACACCAAGGAAAGTTGCCGGATTCATTGTGGATAAGTTGATCGCAATGATAGATTCCAAGTTTAAATGGGAGAATTCCTTAAAGATTATGACCGCTAAATCTGTAGAGAACATGCATAGGTTAAAGTTCGTGGAAAGGCACGGTGGTTGCACTGCATGCCAAATCTCGCCCAGGAACATTTAACAAATCACAAGCTGAGCTCCAAGACCTATGCCAAGAACTTTAGCTCAGAATGACGACAAGGATTGAAGAAACATATCCAATAAATTTTGCAATATGTGCTAAAAAGCCCCCAGACCTGGAAGTTAACACATGAAATCAGCCTCATACTCATATTGCGCCCACGAAAATGCTGTGTGAAGTAAATATCCATGAGTGTGCTAGAGGTCTTATCGGAAATTCCTGTACTTCAAGAGTAAGAGAGAGTTTGCGAAGGATGCTTGGATCATAGTACAAGAGTGTTGGGGTGGCAAGATATTGTTGCTCGAAAAATTATGTTAGCTTGAACGGGCTGGACCAAATTTTTGAACAAGTTCCATATCGGTTGTCCCGGGTAGGGTTGGTCCTCTGCAAACTCGGAGGCTCTTCCTAGGCTATAACACTAGTTTTTCCTTGTACTCTCGAAGACTCATTTTGATCACATATTTTATTTCAGGCACTAAAACTTGATAAGCCCAACTGCATTTACAACTACACTTCTTTACATCAGGCACAGCTCAATATACCTTCAAGTATTACTACAAATCTTTTTCACCGCTTTCCAAATCAACAATGGCACATACTAAGTAGAAATGTTTGAGCTCGATCCAAGAAAGTTTGAGGGTCTGGATTGGCATTAATCATTACCAACTTTCGCTATGAATGAAGTTCATCCATGAATTACTGGACATTCGCCAGTCGAGGATATGGTTATGCCCTTTTAATCCTTCTTCTATGAGACAAATTACTTCCCAAAACACCTCTTATTTCTTTTTCTGCTCGTAGTTCTAGCTCTCGAGCTCGGTACATTGTGAGTAAGTTTCCGGGATTAGGCAATGCTTTAGACACTCCAATTTGATGCTAGATTGGACAAGGCTATCGAGCGTATACGCCACCACTGCTACTTCCCACATCCGCCAGTCACCACGAGCAGTGGAGGGCACTCCATTTTTCGCTCCTGTGTGGCTTATCCCTCTCAATGAACTGGAAACCCATTGTTGAAGCTAATGATTCAATCTTAACATACCAGTCCTTGACGCTTAAAAACTACGAAGTCTATCGGGCACTATTTTTTGTGGTGAAGCTTCAACTTATTAAGAATTCATATCGACTCAGTACGACATCGCAGTATCATATTATGTCTAAATAGAGGCACCCATTCCTGTACTATTATGAATACTTTCAATAAACAGCGACCAGGTTTACGGGAGGAGCATCGTCGAATTATGGAATTATTCCAGCTTGCTACATTGTATGGGCCACGTTGTCACGTGAAAAGGGTATCTTTCCAACTCCTTTATCTCGGCCTGCTAGTAGATTTGCATCAAATTTGAAAGAAGTTATTATATCTACGTCTACATATTTGCATCGCTACTGTTGTCATTGGTCATTCTTACCATCACATTTTGAACAAATTCTATTTATAACAGGAAAAATAGCAGTAACAATTAGGAATAGAGACCACAACAACACCTCTTCATTCCTTCACAAACTTTCCTCCGAATAACGAACCCCCTCCAACAGCACAAAGCCCAAAATCAAAGATCCCAATCTAGTTTAAGGAATGCGCACAAGATCACAAAGAGCATCCCCTTGTGCTTGCAACAACCAATTTTATGGGCTTCATGAATAAATTAGTGGATGTGAGGAACCTTAAATAACTTTTGCATGAAGACTTCTATCTCTGAGAACCATATTCACTAATTCATGCTACTTACTCAAATGATGGACTAGGGAGCCCATGACTCGGTTCAACTACAATTCTTGGCTCAATTTACCAGCACAGTTGTCTCTCATCTTACTGAGTCTCACTGCAATATGTATCTATAAAAGCATAACCATACTTCTATCTAGACAAAAGTAGTAAGCTTAAGATCATACACTAGAGAGGGGACTGTTTCGTAATCCATCCCTAGTTTAGCTGCGTGTACCAACCAATTGATGGTTTTACGGATAATTCAAGTTTCGAGACATACCATCATATCTCCTAGCATTACTATCTACTTCGATTCTTGTATATTTAATGGATTAATGATTTCCATAAAGCTAACAGCAAAATATGGAACGACAACGAGAAAGCCTATGTACTCAGGATGATTTTAAACCCTGTAGAGTTCATCTCAAAACTATCAGATCTTTGATCTATGAACTCAAGGTACATGCGGAAACTCGAGAAAGACGATAAATCATGAAGCCATGAAGCTAAGATTCTCTCTTCCCAATGCTTGATCTCGTAACATTGGAGACGCTGTTGATACACACTTCCGAGTTAGAATTAGACTCTAATTTTGGCAAACAGTGTGCATGACAAGTAAATGCAGAATTCACTAGAACTCCGAGATTTACTTTGAATTTTCCTGTAATTTACAGACCTATACGAGTAACCTGACTCCACGTGCTCCCTGTTTTGACCAGTATTCTCCATGTAGATGGCACCTTTAACCCGCCCCGGAAAAAATAAGCCCATCTCACATTCAACCATCCTGGCAACGATACATCACATACGGCCATTCACCTTTACCCCAACCCCCTGCTATGAAGTTACTTCCCTACACCGAGAAGCCTGGGCCCGCCTCAGCTTTAAAGATCTTTAACGTGAAAGATATAGAGAACCAACATTGGGTCGCCGGGGACCCTCCTATTCTGCAAATTCCCCCGTCATAGAACTAGTAGATTAAAGATATCGCAAAACTTTGTAGATTTGTCACCTCCTTTCAGTGAATTTTTCAATTCCATATAAACCTTAACTTCACGCCTCATAGCACTAAACATTATCTTCCATCCAAAGAAACAAGCGAACATCAACTCTCTCCAATCCTCTCTTCCTCCATTTTTCTCTATTCCAACCATAAAGCCAACGCAGCTCGCCTCATCCCCCTTTCAGTCAATTCCAGACAGCAAGACACAGATACGATCAAAGAAACTCCTTCCCGCTTGATTTCAACCACGATTACAGATGTCGAATGACGAGATCCTACACAATTAACCGAGAAAGCTAGATTCGTTTTACTCTCGTACGAGGAGGGATTTTCATCTTGTCTCATCTAATCTACCCTCACACTTTCAAAATCTGAAGTAACAAATCCAAATAACAATAACAATAACACACCCTCCGTCATCAAACACTTTGCCCACCTCATCTTAATTCAAAGTTGTCATGAATTCTCTCGTATGCCAGATCATCAATGCCAGCAGTTCTCCACATGTAAAACACTTCTTCCGAACCTTCTCCACATGTCAACTATATCCATCATGAAGTTTAAATATAGGACAACCGTGTAATGCAGCCAAGGCTTTCCGCATAGTGGGGATGAGAATGGAGGGGGTGGAGAAGAATGATTTACAAATACGAGGAATGGCCCCAGAGTCACTCCACTTAGAGGACTCCGTTATCAGGGATATTCAACTGCTGTTACGAGTGGGTGGATATCGGAACCCCTCCTCAAACCCCGCTCTTGTTCACGATGCTTGCATGCAAAATCTTCATGTTATGCTGCAGACTTTAATTCATATAAATTTTAATATTCCCAATCCATCCTACCTCAAGCCTCCAACTACTCCACCCATATATACAAAGAAAACATTAACGAGCTAAGGCTCTAATGCCCGCCTCGTCATATCAACATTCCATACCGATTGCAGCCACCCATTAAACTCCTAATCATTACCCGAACCATCCGTAATTATCAACCTTCCAAAGCATGCGCCTGTTCCGTTTATCCAGGAGTACCTGCCTCACCCTTCTCATCTGTTCCTCGTCCTAAACGAGGTTCTTTGTGCACGACTTGGTGTCGTTTCGTGATCTGTTGGCCTGCAGATTTGTGTGTGGTTGCGTCGCCGTGTGATGCACGATCTTCATGCCCATCTTCCAACAGCCGCTCCGACGTCTTAGTGATACGCAGATATGCTTTCCTAGTTTCTTTCAACTGATAGCACTCATTGAATCACCAAATTCTCATATCCCGACCTCTCTAAACCACCAACAGCTTTCTCAACTCTTCCATAAGCACCGCCGAGTTCCGTCACTCTCCCTTCCACAAATCCTACAAATCTCCTTAGACAAAGCCTCTCACTCCTACTCGGCAAACCCATCATTAATTTTTCATCCCCACAACTGCCTACTATTCCCGCTCTCAAAACTTCATCTAATCTCTTCTGCATCGAAATATCGTCTCTGAGGATTTGCAGAGCTTCCTTCATTTTGGCCTGCACTTCTAACTTCAACTGGCTTCTCGAAATTTCAATAGCTTCCGGGCTAGGTGCAAGTTCGCTTGTCTCCGAAGGTGATTCCGCAGATGGTGTCTCAGTTTCCACACCTGAATCCCGTCTTTGACTCGAAAAGATCGCTTCCATAGCTTCACCCAGCACACTCCTACTCCTCCTGACTAATCCCATCTTATGAATCATGGTCTTACCAACCAACTCCCTCAACTTTGTTAGTGTGATAATGATCAACTCCTTGGTATCGTCACTCAGTTTTCTCGTCCTCCATATTGCCATTTCCTTCTTGCCGAATAAAAAGGCCAAGTTCGTGGAGAACCGCGTAGTTAATAATTCTTGGTATTCCAATAGCAGTATAGCTTTATTGATGCGGCGTATGAGGTGTAAAGTGGGAGGTGGTAGCGAGGTTGATAGCGATGATGAGGAGGCGCTAGTCAAGGAAAAGTAACCGGAGTCGGAACAATCGAGCTTTTGGTCGCTATTGACGGATTTTCGGAGGGGGGACGCAAGTTCCGGAAAAGGGAATGGTAGGGAGGAAATTTGAATTCGGGTATAGTCTATTGGCTCATGCGTGTCGAGACATGGAACGTCAGTGGTGGTAGTGTGAGCTGGTAGGTTCTGTGGTGTTTCCATGATAACTTCATCGTTCACTGGTGATAAGCTGCGAGAATTAGGTGTAAAGTCCTTGGGAGATGAGTGGAGAGAGAATCGACGCAAAATTTTCTTTATCGTTTTTCGTCGAGGTCTCCTGGTTGCATGAGGTGATTGTTCGACGGAAGGGTGACTCGAATCCCTGTCCTCGTGTTCTTCGACAACTGTACTCGAAACAATAACTTCCTCCGATATAGAAGGTGGTGATGAAGCAGACTTAGAAGTAGTGATATCAATAGTATTCATATCTTTCCCAGCCAGAGGTAACGAATGTGACGAGGAAAATAATTGGGAAAGACGGCGTGTGAGAGGCATCTTCGGGAAGGATTCGGCCTTTCTTTTGACTCTTTCAAGAAAAAAAAGGTGAGTGGGTATTCCTCCACAAACGTTGACAACAGGTTCTAGGAAAAAAATAAAAATGGGTGCCCAAGAGGCTCGTGATAGACAAATGACAAAAATAGAAGGTACGAATAAAGTATCAATCAGTATCAATCATATAACATAAAAACACAAAAGAAGCAGTAATACAAGGAAATCTTAAAGCGAGAGTAAAAGACGAGTCAGTGAACGAGCTCAGCAAGTAGAAGATAGAAAAAACGGTCAACGATTGAGACAAATGATTTCTAACAGTGATTGAACTATAAAAGGAAAGAGCAACAATTAAGATCAACCCTCTCCAGAAAAATATGTGGCCAAGTCAAATACTCGGTGAAAAAAATGGGAGTGCGGGTCAAGGAGATAATATGAGGACCCCTCCTAAGTCCTGTTCTCTCGAAACGACAACAGAAAAAAGGACAACCAAACCGTGGGACACGGCAAGTGGGATTTGTGGATCGATAGATTTGCCCTAAAACTGGAGACTGAGAAGGGCGCACGAAGGAAGTGACGTGAGCGATTGTTTGAGAAAAGAGTATGGAAAAGAAGACAAGGAGTGAACTTAGGATGCGTAGAAGAACAACAGGTGGTAACCTCCAGGGTGTAATTTGGCTGAAAGGAAAGAAAGATTGTCGATGTGAAGAAGTGCTGAAGATTTTTGAAGTGAAAAAATCGTTGGGTTGGGTAGAGACAGCACAGGTACACGCCCCGGATAGTGTGGATATAGAGTCGTGGAGGGGTTATATCGACCGGGATTCTTCCTCACTTGTCGATCCGTATCTTAATCGTAGGGTTATAAACCCCTGTATTGATTGTGATAAACAGATTGATAGGCTTCTGTGTAACTAAAGAGGAAGGAAATAGATGTTTGGAGTTTGCAGCGATAATCATATGATGCGTGATACGATATTATTTTATTAATCGAATAAGTAGTCAAGGGAATACGATCGATAAAAGCAAAAAGACGAAAGGAAAGGAAATACCCATGCACAGAGCCAAGTGAGGGAGAAGCGAAGGCACGGAGTGGAAAAAAAATAAAATGTTACTCCGTCTGGAGTATGTATTCAGCCGTCTTGCATAAAAAGGGCGCCATCAGTACCCAGTATGGACTTTTGATTATTAACATGGAGGAATGTGAAACAAATAGTTATCGACTACAGATTGCAGTCTCGGATGAAAATTCTGTTCTTTTGCATGCTCTTCTTGGTCCAAGGTGCAATTTGCAACGTCCAATCCGTACCTGACTAGCATTCCAAGGGGTTTCTAGAAAATATAGCTGTAAGCTTTTCGTTTGAACAACTTATTGAAATAAGAAGTTAGAAGTCGCCTCGTAATATAAATAAATAAAATAATGCACCGAGCCATGCCGTGTCTTAAAAGTTTAGGCATGTTTTGTACGCAGGCTACAACCATCTCAAACGGACACAAAACGCGGTAGTAGAGATTAAATTCTCCACTTTGGTTGATAGTGGTATAAATGGTCCAAATTTCCCATGTGTTTGGACAATAATAGCGATGAATGGGATTGATGGGTCGCTTCGGTCATGCATGCTATGGAGTAATTGACCAATAGCCCACATCCATTGGTTGTGAGATTAATGATTGATTACTGAAGGAACGAAAATATTACAATAAGTACGTACATGAAGTGAGGTGATGAAATCAGATCAGATGGAATTTGGAATTCGGTTAAGATGAAGGGGTCATTCCAGCAAACTCAAATGATTTCATACTTTGTAAATTAGAGTGAACAGACATGAAAGATCAATGTAATCTGCAAGTATAACTGCGGTTAAAATTACGACTTGAGATTGCAGCTAAGATTGTAAAGTAAAAAAGCTTCATATATGAAGCTTCATTAATTTCAATTTTCACGGTCACCTGGCTGTAAGTCCGACTTGGCTTCAAAATACATACGAGCAGACAGGTATTCATTCGTATTATTGGCGCCCTGATCGCAATGAAGCTCAGAATGCTCGTATTTTTTTGCGTAAACGTCATCAATGCATAAACTAATGTCAGTAAAATATATCGTGCTTTTGTGAGTCAAAATTAGCTTTTAAGACGTTCAATGATTAAATAGATGATGAAATGAGATTCAAGAAAGACAACATGAAGAAATTCTAAAAGGTAGGTATGCAAACAAATAAGCACAGGAAACTTCTTTTACACAATCTCCATTTTGGCCCCTTTTTGTTTCCCTATTACACCTTTCCAACCAGATTACCAACTTCATGTCCGATGCCAGCCCATAAATCTCCGTCCCAGAAAATCCCTCATCCCATCTCATCCCAATCATTCGTTTCTCATTTCGCATCCCGCACGGTCTCTTATTTGAAGTGGATACGCTGCGCGTTGCAACAATGATATGACGATAAGGAAGCTTATCTACTCATCATCTTCAACATCAGCAATCGTTGCTTCAACCTCATCCAAATTATCCTCCTTGGGAACAATTCCGCCTTTCACTTCAGCAGCTTTACTTGTAGGTCCTGGGTGACAAACTGTCTCTTCCGGATCGGTATCTTCTTCATCGTCTAATCCGTCATCCGCGGGTTCGTCTTCATCGAGTTCATTATCATCACCTTCATCATCATTGACAGGAGCGACTTCATCTTTGTCATCGGTCACGTCGTTTGCGACGAATTTGCGCTTTTTAGTTGGAGGTGCCGTTTCTGTACGGAGGAAAGTCAGTAGGTTCGAAAGGGGTATCGGCTGCGAAGGGCTGCAAGTTGACAAGTTTTAGCATGTCGTCGCATACCTTGAACTTCGTCTTCTTCTAACTCTTCCTCATCCTCGTCGCTATCATCTTCATCTGAAGCAGCAGATGCCGCAAATGCCGCAGCTGGTGCTTCAGCATCGGAGTCTTCATACCTAATGAGATTTGATGATTAGTTACGATCTCTCGATGAAATAAACGAAACAAATCAAACAGGTACAGCGGGTGATGCGATGCGATGATCGACCTATCAATAAATATCAAACCATAGATGCAATGCCATCAGGAAACTTGCGACCCGATCTAATAACACGCAATAGCTGTCTCAATGCGATGAATTGCACCATTGAAATCTATATGCGACATCACAGATCCATCGATGAATAGGAGATGCAACACTTACTCCTCTTCCTCTTCACTCTCATCCGAAGGAAGAGCAACGAGCTCCTCATCGTCAGCCTTTCTCTTTCTTGTAGTCATATTGATGCTGATGTATATTGATATCTTTAGAAGGGATACTTGAGAATATGTATTGAGTATAGAGATATATAATGATTATGTGTAGATAAAAATTGATAGAGATGAGATGAAAAGTGATTGAAACCTGCAGAAGTCGGGGGGCAACAGGAGCTTCAGCTGGGGAAAGAGGAGGCGCTTTACTGGCTAACACCACATTTACACGCACACGGAGATATCATATCACACTTGTTCCCTTGTTCCTGTAAGCAGGAAAGAAAGCTCGGACGTGAAGCTCCTCGGAAGAGTTGGACCAACGTCACTGATTGGAGATTTAGCTTGGAGACACTAAGGCTAGTGTGAATGTGGATTAAAGAGATGCAAGTAACCATAGTTGGACTAAGATTATGCAAGGAATGCATACATAGTTGAAAAGCAGGGAAAGGGGAAGTGATTGGTGGGAGGGGATATCCGATTGTGTAAGTAAGGAAAGGAGTACAGAGCAAATACACGCAACTATTGGATAACTGCGGCTGTTGAGAAAACAAGAAATACCGGGTACCTGCTGCCAAGAGAGTTGTGCTTCTTTTAGCTAAATAAGCATGTGGGGAGATGTTGTGACGAGAGCCGAGTCGGGAGTTCGGGCTCGAAGATATTACACGTGACTATCGAGCTTCAGTCTTTGAAGATCAGGAGATGAGAGCTTTTGGAGATGTCATATGATCGGAAGTACTTAGCAATGGCTACACAAAAATTAGGCCTTGGATGAAACAACAATCATATCTACTCACCTTACTATTTATCCCTCGATCACTACTAGGGCCTCCCTTCCACTTTCGTCTTCATGAAAGTTTTCGAATCACTACAGCTATTATGCTATTCAAGCCAGTGTATATACATATATATAGTGTATTTCACGCATTTTTCATTAATTCTATTCGCACCTACCACAATACATTTTCATCAAGTTTCCATGGGAATGTGAGCAAGTGCAACAATAGGAGGAATAGCCGATCAGATCTAGCAATTTGTGTTTAAAAGGTGGATGTAGTTGGCCAAATGATTACATGCCCATGCATTTTCTTAAAACGCCCTTCTTTTTTACGAGGACCTGGAGTAAATTTTGTTATCAACAGATATCTCATCTCATGTTTTCTCTCTTCTACTTGCACTGCCACTGTGTACTGTGGGAAACGCAGCAGGATTGACCATCCAATAGTCATATCCGCATAGCATCTTCGCTTGTACAAATACATTCTATCCTTTCTACGCTGGACGGCTCGTCAAATAGAGTAGACTATATTTGCCAAGATACAATCAAAACCCCCTTTTCATCGATGAATTACCCTCTCGCCTATCTCAATCCACAACTATATTCTATCCTTAATTTTGCTTTCATACTTTCTATAAAACTAGCCCTGTGTTCGTGGAAATATAGCCATGCGGTCGCATTCGACAACTAAGTTAAAGATATTTAAGGTTGAAATCACCATTCTGCAAGACAGTCTAAATGGTTTCGCGAACTTCAGGTAGTTTATATTGATAACATGACTAGATCATTGGTATCTTTAAACAACTGTAACTAACGCTGAACACTATTTATTATTAAATTTAATCTAATATTGATGATTATTTCATTTTACCTATCAGACTTCAATATCAAAGATCAGCTAATTTCAACTAAGACTTTGCCCAGAGACGAACTTAAATCCATGAGGTCTACTAAGTCTTATATGCCTTTGGGTCTTGAAATTGTTTAGGAGTGATTCATGGCTTGTGGATTTAGTAGAAATGGGACGAGGAAGAGACGGAGCGGGTAGCATTAGTGGCTCGTTACCTTGGAGTTAATCCAGCCAGTCTAACACAATGATTTCCTTTGTCGTGTTTCCCAGCTCCTTACACCCCATATCCTCTCGAGTTAGCCTATATAAACACATGATGTGACAGGATCATCAAGTATCGAAGGTAACTACTTCTAAGTGAGAAACCGACTTGAAATAGCATCCCACGTTCTTTCATCCAGAAACTGCGGCAGAAACCGACGTATTACCTCCTGCACTTGACTACTAGCTCAGATATACCATATATGATCTGAAAGGGCGGTATTGGCTTGTTCTTATTTTTTGATCGCAGTGTCTGCTACTTGCGGAGCTTGGAAATGAGTTAGGATGTAAACTTGATGATGAGCAATGGTAACAATGGTGAAATTACCTGGCTAGTTACTTTGTAGATCGACCAGGGAAATGACGTTAAGAGATCATATAGCGTAATTAGTACTTTGGGAATAATTGAAAGCTACCTGAAGCTTTCTGCTCACAAATTAGAGTATTTTCATACTAAGGAAGGGAAGTAAAATTCAACCAAAGATCTTTTACCTTATTCTGAACTTTAAATACGCAGACACATCTCAGGACTACAAAAGATTGAAAATATTCGTGGCGAGTTAAGACAAATTGAAAGAACGTTCTAATCCTTCGCGGCTGATGGCGGGATACCTTCCAACGTTCCTTCTAGATTTTTTACGTGCTTGCAACATTGATCGCGGCTTAATTAGCGATGTTGGCAGTGGAAAAATGATTTCGTAGCGACAATACATCTCTACGGGTAGCCTAAAATCGCCAAGTTACTGAACTAGGTTCAGAGAAATCAAAATCTTCAAAGGTGCTACAGTATATGGCAGCAAAGACATTCACATCCATGCACAATGAACATGGGCAGCTATGAAGGGGTTTTCTATAGGAGATGTGATGAACCTGAAATGATCAAAGTTCGGAGGAGTGAGCAGCAGCTCGCTAAAAAAAACGGAAAGTCTCACAAGCTCATAGTTCAAAGCCTACTTAAAGGCAAGCATAGGAGGGAAAGACCAATGGAAAGCATCTAACGTTAATGCAGTTAATACCTACTTAGAATGAAGTTTATACTAACGTGGTTATCGAGGTCGATATTAGAAAGTTTCAACAACTTTACCATCGGGGCATTACTTCGGCTTGAGGCAAAGGAAGATTTGCAGAAATTACTACTGGAGCTATAAATACCTAAGAGTTCTATATGAAAAGAAAGATTTCAAGGTACCGGGACTGCTACAGCAGCTAAGAAGTGCTGGGAACTCTAGATCATAATCCAGTATCTTCTGAAGTCCCCAGTCGGGACAGACTGTCAGTAGATCAAAGTTTATTTCACAAATAGAGCTATGTTGGCCAGCATCCTAGCATTCATCGAATTTTTTAGGCTACAAGCTAGTTTCACTAGTGCATTTTGGCTAAACCCTAGTCAACATGAATCCCGATCAACCCTACCACTACTCCAGATTCTAAATAACGAGCTACGTTTTCGTTATGTGAGGACTGATTTCTTCTGTTATGCTTTAGCTACCCTACAGTCTTAATTTACAAAAAAAATATTTCAGAATCTCTCTACAGGGAAAAGGTAAGATTTAAGTCTTGCAGCCTCTAGCTCTTTAGAAGTTAAAGAACCTTTCCTTTCGGCGCCCCAAAATATGTGAAGCAAAATACTAACACTACATTTAGAGAAACAACCATACCAAAGACTGTCGACATTAGCTTGCATTCATTATCACTTATCCAGTATGAATCACATTACTGGTGGAAAAGTTTCTGCGGTCTAAAACACATAAAACACCTGAAATACTTAGCACTTACTTTCCGTGGAACCCATGACGAACAGATCGTCAACAGTTCAGATTCTTCAAAGAAATCTGTAAAACAATGGGTGGAGCAACACCTTCTGGTAAAATTCAGTCTCCAATGGTTTCCAAGTCTACTTGGGAACAGTGCTTGAGCAACATTTATATTAAGTATAAAACCAGAACTAGGTACTGAGTAATGAGGGAATTCTCATCCACAACCAGCTCTGTGAAACAATTATCTCTTTGGCTATTACGTTTCTTCGGATAAATCTTTCAACACACACTTCAAAGTCCAATCAACAACGCAAATATGTCACCGCGCTGGAACACTAGTGAGAGGACTTATCTCCTCAATCTAATGGATGAATTTTTCGTTAATGGAGAAGTTCGTGATCCGAGTGTGGTAGATTGGCCTCGGGTCATTCGTACCATGACAATCGAGCAGGCACGACATCGCCCAGATGGTGCTCTGTATGAGCAAGACCCATGGCCTATTAGAACATACAACATTGAATTGCTCATTTCAGCGTGGCGTCACGCCAGAATTAGGCGTGAAAAAGCAGCTCGCAAAATTTCCGATCAAATCATGCAGGAGAACGACCCTGAAGGAGGTGAGAATGAGCTCAGTGACGATTTCCTGGACTCACCGCCAGACAATGACTTTGAAGCCAGATTTCCCGATAACTGGGCGAGAGAGTTTGAAGAGATTCTAGCACCGTTGAGACACGAGTGGGCTCAGCAAGCCCGCTTAGCGGCCCAGGAAGAAGTTTTCTACCAAGCCTTCAGACAACTACTTCATACAATCACTGATGGAACAATTTACCCATTGTCACAAGAAGACGCAGCTGACAGCTCAGCGCTATTCTTAAAGAGCCCGCCGACCGTCCTTCAATGATTGAGGCTTCTAGAGAAGTATTGGCAAGAATGGGCGCAGAACGAAACCTCCAAGCAGATTTCTGGGCCGACTTTGAGAAACGTTTCGGCAGTCAATAATCATCGCAGCGTCCATCTCACAGCGGTGGTGGAAAGTGAACATTTGGAACACGAAACTTGACATAAATTAGTGAGTAGTTACTAGCGTGAAGTACCTGAATTTTTAAATGAGGCTGGTTCTCATCGCATTTACACAATTTCTTTGAATTAAAACATTATTAAACCCCAAAAAAAAGAATTTCTCATCCTCCTTGGTGATAACCGTGACTGTAAAGTGAACAATGACCTGTAGAAATAAAGGATAAATGTATTTTCATTTTTTATTAACTTTTAGCTCTCGGCAAAGTAACCAGAGAAGCAACTAAACAAAGCAGATAACCAACAGAGGCAAATTATTGTTTATATCAGCTTGACACAAAGCGAACTAAAGCATGGCATGTTCCTGTAAAATGCAAATAGGCCGCGGCGATTGTCTCCCATTATTCTATCATCCTCTTGAATAACTGTATATCGAAGGTAATTAATACACTATGATTTTGTCTGTTAAAGTTATCCGTCAATTATTAGTAAATTGATTAGAACGGTGGCAGAGAAAATATGTTTTATGACGCTACACTTTTCATACAGAGGGAAACTTAGCCAATTCAAGATTTCACTTCAAGGACTTACCCTAATTATCTGATATGTAGAAGCTTTTATACATGAATTGATCTCAATATTCCATTTGTGTTGGCAGTTCAATACATACATACATCTACGGTCCTTGATCGTTGGGAGTCCAGAAATTTGAAAATATAGATGAAGCCTCTGATTAATCCACAGTCGCAAGTTTTTTTTTTTTTTTTTGAGGAAAACTCAAGCCCCTTACAGCTCTAATTCCGACTCAGCTAGTGTGAGTAGAATATCGGTGTGTTTTGTCATTATGGGTATTTGGTATATGTATATTTGTGTTATTACAGGGAGTGGGATCATCCTAGACAAGGACGACTTCCCTAACTTGGCGAGAAGGATTCAAATATCGGAGTATATCTCGCTGGTAATTATATTTGTATATCACTAACGTCATGCGTTAGTATCTTATTTCGCGCCTTAGTATTTAAAGTTTAAATACACTGTTCAAACCTTAAAATTTTCTATATATTGAAAATTGTTCTGAGAAGACACAGTAATGACATGTAATCTCATCTCTGCCACTAACCATACATATCAGCGCATACATATCAACGTATTTAACTTCAAGGTGTCTACAGATTCTACTCAGAGTATTCGTTCGTAAAAGACTATATAAGATGAAACATGTCACGTCGATCGATGACGGTAATCATCATTGAGATAGGGTACGAGCCCTAACCTAGTGAAAACACTATATTGTTAGCTCGGTACCATGGCGAATGAATAAAATAGTCCGTGGAAAGTCTAGATACAGCGAGGTAGAGACGACTAGCTTGTTAAAAATAATAAAACTGGGTACAGCTAATGTCATATGTAACGTATGTTAGATCGATCTTCGTTTACTTGCAGCGACTAAAGTCCATGCCGAGAAAACTGTCTCTAGTTTGTCCGGGCCATCTACTGAAAAAACTGGGTTTCCATGATGCAGAATAATATTTGCGTACGTTCTGTTTTAGCTGCAACGAAAGTTCGTAAAGTTGAAAGAAAAGAAGGGGAAAAAGGTGGGAAGCTAAATCAAGACGCTATTTCCACGATTCTAGGCTCAAATCTTAAACTCTCTAACAATCAAATACAATTAATTCCACCATATCTAAAATCCAATCCTTACAGAAATTAGTATTCGATTCCCAGATTCGACAAAATAAATAAAGGAAAATATCCCCAGCCAAGGGCGGTATTGCTGATTTTATATACAATAGCCTTGCTAAGAACTTGCCCGATTGGGATATAGATGAACTTATTATATTGTACTCTCAAACATGTATTTGAGATATTTTACCTTCTAATTATATAATTAGTATTTTTTCAATAATAGAACTTGATTCTTAATGTTCTATTCACAACTTTTACTGTCTGAGGAATTGTAGTTGGTTGATATTATAGTGAGTGCATTGCAATATAAAAGAGAATTATTTATTTAAAGATTTACTATTTTTCGTCTTTTAAGAGATAAATAATAGATAAATCTCAAATCTACTCTACTCTTACACACAACTCAATACACCTCAAAAATCCCATCTCCACACTACATATATTTCAATTTTAGCAAGGTGATGAAATCGCAAAGGGTCATTATATGATTTAAAAGTATATTATATTATTTATCTAAGTATTCTGGTGTTCTTTTGACGCAGTGACGAAAATAACTTCGCAATTGTAGGAGATTTTACATATCTACTAAATACTTACCTGTACTTCGCCCGCGAAACTCGTTTAAGAGAAAAAGAAATTTATCACTTACTTACCTTTTTTTGTATTTATTGAAAACTTACCTGTATCAACTAATCCTAGAAGCCAAAGAACAAGAAAGCAATGGAAAATGAAATAAAATAAAAAAAACAAAATAAAAAGAACAAAGTAAAACAAAAAAAAGAGAACAAACTTACCTACTACCCAAACCCACCTCAAAAACCCCCCCTCATATCCAAATTATCAAAATCATAACTCGAAAGATCAAAACCCGGCGCAACAGGCGACCCCGAACTCGACTCCTCCCCACGCTGCGAACGGTCCTCCCCCCCCTCATCCGCAAACGCCTTCTCCTTCCTCCTCGCCTCCACCCACCTCTCATAAGCCAGTTGCGCCTGCTCCCTCGCGAGACGCGTATCCTGCTCAATCCGCTCTTTAAATTTCTTTGCATCCGTCGCTACCATTGCAATACCATAGTAATAAGCCTGCGCCGGACATCCCAGCCACATGAGGAGATCGACGGTGCTGCATTCCTGGACACCTAGACCGATGGGTTTTTCCACATCGGTTCTGAGACGCCCGATGTGTGCTTCTTGGTTTTTGGTTAGACAGGCTTTTTCGGTTAGTTTGATGCAGAGATGTGTGAAATGGAGGATGGCGTCGGGATCTAGGGTGCCTTGATGGAGACGGAATTCGATGGTGCGTTTGGAACTTTTGTAGGGGAGGGTTAGATTGCCTATGTTGAATCCAAGGCGGTCGGTAAACTCTGTCGTGAAATCTATGATGAGTTGCTCATAGCTCTCGGAAGAAAGAATGTGGTTGAGGAAATCAAGGCGTGTGATATCTGGATTTGCTTGGCCGAAGGTGCCCCAGGGAAAAGCTCGACAAAATTTCTGCTGGTATCCCTGCACACGCTCAGCAGGGAGAATTAGCCTTATTTGTCATTCGTAGGTATATAAAATCGCAATGAGGTTGCGAAGGACATGAAATGTAAATCCATTATACTCACTGCCAACATGAACATGAAGGCCTGCAGTGTCATTAACGCGGACTAGATAGTTTTTTCTCAACGTTTTGAGAAGCAATCGAACAACTTCCCGGGAAGCCTCGTCATAGTAGTATGGCGGAGATGACATTTCCATGCCAAACTCCCTGTAATATGGATCGACTCGCACAATACCGAGGACGGTCGCATCATGTTTAAGGAGCCAATTAGTTTCAAGTTCATCATCACTTGGCAGATCACCCGTAGCAGAAGTCCAAAGCATTGATGCTAGTATATCATTAGCCTTCAGCTTTTCTAAGATGTCTAAATTAACGTCGTCTATTGTCCCTAGTTTTTTCCCATCATACTCACGAGGATCCCGCGGGTCAGGAGAAGGATGAATGGGGTGAACAGTAGCTAAGAGGTATTCGATCTCGACACCAAATGTGAGCCTGGTCTCGGACTTGACAGCTTTTGGTTGAGTCTTTTGGCGTTGACTCTGCGTCCATATTGGCTGGTCGTAAGATAGAAGCCAGTGTGCTATTGGTTAGAAGTAATTGAGCTGGATATGGGGGAATCTAGAAAGAAAATATCGCAATGTACCAAGGCTCTCAGGACGATATTGGAAAGTAAATATATTCAAACAATGTTATTGTTCCTTGAAGGTTGTGTGTATCAAAGAAATCACCTCTTTCAGAAGTTAAGAAGTCCTTTGAACCAAAACCATTCTTTTTAACTAGACAATAGTTTGCCCAGATCATAGCCCAATATTCATTGCGAGGAATATCCCGCAAGAACTTCCACGAAAATGATACGATAGATTTAAGAACCAATCATAAAAGGCAAAATGCTAAAAGGAGGTAGGGCAAATGCCACCATCAAGAATATGCCGACGACAATTACTTGATCGATTCATCAAAATCTCGTATTTAGCATAAACAAAACTTCCATTCTCGTTGAGCAGTACTGCTGGAATAAAATAACATGTATATTCATTCCTATGGTATTGTGTGCATTTGATATGATATTCAAAATCTCTTCATTTTCATAAATTTCCCCGTGATTAGTCCTAAATCCTTATTTGTTGTCGCGAATGAATGAAACAAATTCATCGTCTAAGACATTGGAGGTTGTGTTAGTGATTGTGTCAAAGCTGAAAGGATCTGAAGAGCATTTAGAGAGGGATTGCCTTACAATCTATGCTTCCATCACCATTTTTATCAACCTCCTTCACCATGCTCTTGATCTCGTCCTCTGACAAATTCTCTCCCAAAGATGCCATCAACTTGTAGATTTCCTCTGGGGAAATTGTACCGCTTCCATCAACATCGAATACTTTAAAAGCACTGCGCATCTCTTGTTCGAAGTCAACACCCTTCGTTTCGGTAGTCATCATCTTGAGGAATTCTGTAATTCGATTTTAAAATGGTTAGAAGAGTCGCATGAAAGTGATGGTAGTACCAAGATGTGGGGTTATCGTGATGTATCGCCGTGTAACTAACCATCGAAGTCGACTGTTCCCGATTGATCAACATCAACCTCATTAATCATATCTTGAATTTCCGCATCGGATGGATTTTGTCCCAAAGATTTCATTGCCTCTGCGAGTTCGGCAGTTGATATGGTTCCTGATTAAAGGGTTGAGAATGTTAGAGAATAACTGCGAAGAAGAGGTGCAGGGTTGTGTCGCGCGTACCATCACCATCTTTGTCCTGTATTGAAAGGAAAGTAAGCGTTTTGCGCAAACATGTATTGAAGAATCCGACTCACGAAGATAGAGAAAGCATCTCTGTATGCTTGAATTTCCTCATTGCTGAGACCCTAAAATAGAGAAAGGGGAGGGTCAGTACAGGTCAGTACGACTGAGGAGGACTCTGTGAAGCTTTGCAGACAGGCTTAGACTCACTTGGGCGTTCTTTAACTCTGCCATTCTGCGTGTAGTGTGTGTGGTGGATAGGGTAAAGTTGATACTTGGCAGAAGGGGATGAATGTGGTGTAGAAGAATATCTTGAATTCGGATGAACTACTTAAGGGGTGAAGGGACCGAACTGGATGAGGGATGAGCGGGGGTTGGTGCAAGTGGTTCGAGACGTTTTGCTAGAACCTGTTTCATAAGATCCGTTTCATAGGGCGACTTCTTTATTTTGAGCGGGACGCAGACCTATCCAACGATTGACCGACAGCCCAAAAAAGCCCCACCATTCGGATGTTTTCGCTTTCTATTGGTAGAAAAGGTTCGGTTAAGAAGGGCGAGAGGGATCTCCGCTGCTTCATCAAAAATCCCTACATAATACATACATACCTACGATAGGTACTTGAGTAATAGACCAAAATTATAAATGATATCAATGTTCTTCAGTGTTTTGCCCCAGAAAAGAAACAAAGGGTTGTTTTATCTATTTTTGGAACATAGAAAACTTTTATTTAAAAAGCTGGGGAAATGATATTGTGGCTGTGTTGGATAAGGTTATGTGGAACCACAACTGTAAGTGGTTAAAGCTGTAAGTAGTTAGATATCCTATATTGCAAGTACGGAGCAGGTACATGGTGTCAACGAACTCTGATTGCCAAGAACAAAATGTCTGTATGGTAAATAGCATCTGGAGACTCTGATTTCATCATCCCATGTCTTTGGTGCAATTCATAGCCGCTAGGCTGTGATGCGACATGCACTCAATGGTCAAAAAATAAACCGCACAGCAAAGTAAGCTTAAAACTATGCATCGGATCATTCCATTGCTCAATCTGGACCTATAAGGACTTCGATATGTGATCTCTTCATCCATTATATGTCATCCGAACTTCCCAAGATACCATACCTAGCGAAAATATCAGCAAATGATGATTCATGAAGGATCAACAGTATGTTGAGCTGACTGCCAATTCTTTTACGTGGAGCCTTTACATGGAGGCTTCGTGGCTGTGCAAGCGGCTTACTGCTTTCCCAGGCTACCTCATCAACATCTCATAATGGCCTTCTATACAACATCACCTCACACTTATAGTTTCTGAAAGATACCGCCGTCCTGGTGGTAATAACCAGAAATCTCTGCGAGACACCATCAACCGACTGAATTCCGAGTCTCGATTTTGAGGACGATAGATCTACATTATGGGGAAAGAAACGCCTCAGCCCTACAAGGCTGATGACCACAGAGTTGCGTTAGAAGCTAGCAATAGTGCTTCTTCGCAATCTACTGCTTTTATCAATCATACGGACCAAGAATACCCCGAGGAAGATCTGCCAAGCTACGAGGAAAGATCTGGATCGGCACCTCTGCTTTCCCATGCTGATCATTATTCACCTTCCAGCGATCCTCAACCTGCCCATGGCGCAAGTTGGTATATGTAGGTATCTCTTGTAAAGCGCGCTTCTTTCAGTAGGCTAACTTTCTTACAGCCCTCCACCCGACCTTCCTTTTTCTTCACACGACTATAGCTCATCTGATTTCTGGACGAGATTCCCAAACTACTCTACAGATTCCCATGCTCTTCATCAAATGATACTCGAACAAGCTCAATATGCTCCATCATATTATGTAGAATTATTAGGGACTCACAAAGAAACCGAGCGTCGGCACAAGAAAGATTCATCAGAAACTATTACGGATTTTCACATACGTCTGAATTTAACACATCTGCTCACAACCGGAATAAGAACTGGTGGAAAGCTAGAGATTTTGCCTGATAACCAGAAAGGATTTCGTGGAGGAATAATCAAATCCTTCGAGCCGTCCCTTTCTAGCTCTGATATAGAGTCAGGCTCAACTGGTGATGAATTACAGGCTTGGTGTCATAAATTTGTTTCTGACCCATCTAGCATGAAATGTTTTATATTCGAGCGCAAGATTATAAATCATGATAAAATTCATCTGGAGTATCTTTTGCGACGTATTGTTACATCTACGAATTACCGTGGTCAAGTCTATGTAAATTTTCCAACTTCACACAAACGGGTAATTGTGTATTCGCCACATATGATTAACGAATGGCGAATGACCACCTGGATTCGTTGGTTTTTCTATCTTACATGCTTATGGGTAGTTTCGTGGCCGGTCCTCGTTTTAATTACTCGTCGCTACGAGATTGTCAAGGGCATATATCAATATGCCGATAGACCTGCGGGTGTAGGTGTCTCGGCACGAAAAGCTACTGTGCAAAGCGAAGATGAGTTTGTCAATCATTGGGAGGCCGCATTGAGGTCTGCAATAATGGGACGGATGGTCAAAAGAGATTGTTGCCTAGATGAAGATTTTAGGGTACAGGTATTGCAAGAGGAGGTTGCAAGAGGTCAAGCGGCTGCTCGTGTTCTACAGGGTACTGGCAACACTTTTGCGGATGGCGCTGTTGGGATTATTTCAGCTGCGACGAATTTGGTTGGCGAGTATAATGATGCAAGAGGTTGGGGTTATGATTCTTAAATACAATCGTAAGATTGGTACGATAGAGGGTACAAATAGGAATGGAATGAAGGTATTATACAGACGTTTGGATGGTTTGTGCCTCAGCAACTGCCAATATGTCAAGTTAGCAAGGCCGAATGGGTACTATGTAGACTCTGTTCATCTAAGGGGAGAGTTTTCCTTGTTTTGAAATGACCTTGGGCAATCAATATACCTATTTAGAATTTCTGACTCTTTGACAGCGGGTTTTCACGAAGAAATAGGAAAGATATCTCGTTATCGAATGCATCGTGGATGAAAAGTTTGAAGAAATTGATTGGCCATATGTCACTCCTCAATGTCCAAATCCCATTTCGATAATGAACTAATCTTCCAAGGGATTTCTTTCGGGTTCAGAAAGTGCAACTGCCTGGTAGAGAAGGTACACGATGAAGATGGTCAAGTGTTTATCGGTAGAAGTGATCATTCCTTCTCCATTTTCATTGACATGGCACGATGCCTATGCACACAATTTTTCTCTCTTCCAATTTCTTCTCTTCTTTCTTTTCTACAACATCATATTTCGTATTATCCACGAACATCGATTTGCTCTCTTCCTTGCTTCATTATCCATCTATCTCATCGTTGAAAATAAAACATCATCAAACCCACCCACCGTCAATATTTAATTCCTTTTATCCAAAGTTACATAGCTTTTTTTATCACGCTTTCTTTTTATCATTCTCATCGTCTACATCGAAATTCACTTGTCATAATGCGTTTAATGCTTTCCAAAGCTGCATTGATTGTGGCAGCCAGTCTTGCTACCGTTACTGCTATTCCTGAGATTGTTGTAAAGGGCTCGAAGTTCTTTGCTGGTGATGAACAATTTTATATTAAAGGTATTCGTTCATTTCACTCTGTCACTAATAACCAAGCTCCTCCCCTTCCCCGTACATCCATACTGTGTTAAAGATTCGACTCATCTCAAAACTTCAAATGAGCTACAAAATGGCCTAACATTACCATCAGGTTTTGCATTCCAAGGCACTGGCAATGATCCTCTTGTCAATATAACTCAATGCACATTCGACATGGGCCTCATGAAATTGTTCGGTACAAACTCTGTCCGTGTCTACCATGTTGATCCGACAAAAGACCACACCGCGTGCATGAATGTTCTTGAGAATGCTGGCATCTACCTTTGGGTCGATCTAGATACATTCGATACAGCGCTCCACTCCATAGACCCAGCTTGGACACTTGACCAATTCCAAAAGTATGCCAAGGTCATGGATGCATTTCAAAGATTCCCAAATACTGCAGGTTTTTTCATCGGCAACGAAGTTATCAATTCGAACTATAATTCCAATGCTGCTCCATATATTAAAGCTGCTACTGCCGATATGAGAGCTTACCGTGATAAAATGGGTTATCGAAAGATCCCAATTGGTTACTCTGCCGCTGATATTGCTGAGCTACGACCTCAATTGCAAAATTATCTTGCTTGTGGTGATCCAAAGACTACCATCGAGTTCTTTGGTCTTAATTCTTATGAATGGTGCGGTAATTCTACCTATGATAGTTCGGGTTATCATAACCTGCAAAACATGGCTGAGAATTACACCATTCCAATCTTCTTTTCCGAGACTGGTTGTATCGTCCCTAGACCAAGGTAAGCACTATACCTTCTCATCCCAGCTCTCTTCTGGTGCATTTAAAGTTTGCCCTTTACCTAGATATTCAGAATTTTCAATTCTGACCTAGACGCAGAACTTTCGGTGATCAATTAGTCATTTTCGGGCCTCAAATGTCAGGAACTTGGTCTGGCGCGATTATTTATGAGTGGGTCAACGAAGGAAACGACTATGGAGTTGTTGATTACAAGAACACTGAATATGGTGGACCTCCGATTCCTATGGATCCTGAGTTTACCACTTTGAGAAACATTTGGAAATCAGCTATTCCAATGGAAGTCAAAAAATCAGATTACAATCCAAACAAGCCAACACCGGCTTGCCCGCCTAGTGTGGAAGGAGCCTGGAAAGTCAATGGTGATGAACCTCTTCCCACGTTGGGAGCTGCCACATTGAAGAATGTTGTAAGTATGAAGAAACGCCGGACTTCTATGCACGCGATACATCCACACGTCTTTTGGGGTGGTAAGAACGGTCCAACAGAACCAAAGTCCACTAGTTTGAAGATTGAAGTAGGTGTGCAGAGTGGCGTTTTGGGACTATTTATGATTGTGGTTGTTACTTTCTTTTCTATGTGAACATAAAGTAGGGCGTCTCTATGAAGATGGACGAGTGGAATAAATGATGCAGCTTATGATTGGACGATTCATGTTGCGTTATGCTAGGGATAAATGATAAGAATTGGGTTATGGTTACAGGAAGAAAGTACTGTTAAAAGTGGCATTAGGGAATCTGGTTATGATTAGAAAAAATGGTAATATTACATTCTGAGCTAGTCTTTTCAAGTGAGTTGTTTGCTGTGTTCCACGTCCTCTCGACTTGATGATAATGATAATGATGAGGGAAGAGGGAAGAGGGAAGAGGGAAGAGGGAAGAGTTTAGTGGTTAGATTGATATCTGGCCTTTTACTTCTGTTTTTATAATTGATATTCGAGGGATGAGGGATGAGGAAGTTGTTATTAGGAATTTGGAATAAACAATGAGGAAGTTACGGAGATGAGCTCTTTTTTGAATTTATGGTTAGGATCTCCTGATATGGGCTGGTGTTGCTGTGTAACTTCTATTTGGATAGTTGTTTATTTAGCTTTTAGAAATTTTTCTTTTTTATTTATTCGGGTTCTTTAGCAGAATCTTCAGAGTGTAGAGTAACATCTTTGACTCGTATATCGATACTTCATATGATTATTCAAGCGGGAACTCGAAGCCTTTGGATTATTCGTTTCTCCCTTCTTCAACAGCGTACAAGAATCAATACCTCCAATTATACTATAAAATGAATACCAATTCCAGCCAAGTCACTACAACAACAGAGTCAGACAACACCACGCTCTCGTAATTCACCATTAAGTCTCGGACGATAATTCTGTATATCATATTTATCTTCAGTAAGGATGGACACTATCTGGGTGAACTGGAGGTGTTCTCATTGTGGTTGGGCGAGTAATCTTGCTCCTCGAGATGCTCCGCGTTTTCGGTGTGATTTTTGTGGGTTTTTTACTTGTGGTGGTGTTACTAAAGAGGGAATTCCTGGGGAAGATAGTCCTCGGGAGGGTAGTGGTCGAGAGGATGGTCCTGAGGGACATAGTGCTGAAGGAGATAGTCCTGAAAGAGATAGTCCTCAAGAAGATACTGGTCAGGAAGGTATTTTGCAAGAAGATACCTTACAAGAAGATCCTACTCAGAAAGACACTGTCGAGAATGATACTGCTCAGAGCAATATTCCCGAGGATACTTCTCAGATGAATAATGCTCAAAAACATACACCGCAAAGAGAGAATCCTCAAGAAACGACTCCTCACAAAAACACCCCAAAGGACACTCCTTCAAAAGACACTGCTCAAAAAGATACCTCGCCCTGACTACCTTTCCAGAGCGACTGTGAGTTTTTATATAGTATATACTACCATGATGAACACTAACAAGACCCAGAAAGCAACGGATGAATAAACAATATCAGGCTGAGTTTATAGAGTTCAAGATCCTCGTCCGGAGTTGTTTGGTTGTAACAGTGGATCGTGTATATGGATGTGGGTGGATCTATTGTGCGGTCACTGCTTAGTTTACGTTATTCTTGACACTCGGAGAACATCCTATGTCTATGGCAAGTTGGAGAATCTCCATATAGTTCTCCATGAATAAAATAGACAAGTCCGTTTTCCGAACTCACATTCCTGGTTTTGTTCGCTTGTGGTTGATGATTGGTCTGTGGTCACAAGTAGACAGCAAAATTCACTAGAAAGATATTTAGAGATTGCATCCCAGTATTTGATCCCCAGGATTTTCCTTATCTTTATGACAGGTTAATCATAATGAAATTGAATAAATTGATATTTTTCTGCTAGAGGATTATTCTTCAAATTGCAAGACTACCATAGCACGGTGTATCTGGGATCCACCACGTTGTCGCCAGGTCAATCAAAAAGAAAAGTTTGTCATAACTTACTGCAATCATTCGATTAATAATAAAGGAAAAACAACTCGAAAGCCACAAGAGAGCATGTCGCAAAAGGCCAGACCGAACCAAAGCATAAATAAGAAAACGGCGGTGCTTGAATGCAATTTCTGACTTAAAGTTAAAATAAGGTTTTTCAAAAAACCTTAACTTATCCTTGCCAACCACATGGAGCCATAAATTACCCCTATTACGCTATAAACCCAGCCACATGCGATACACACCTCCCAACTTGGGATGGAGTTTTGAATTCATCATGCGACGGGGATATGAATCAAAGTCTCGCAGAATTTTGCACATGGAGTCCGGGCTTTGGTGTACCCCGGCAGTGGAGAAAGTGTAGGTGATAAATACTGGACGACGGGACCTACTGGAATTCTTTTGTGAAGGCATTCATTTTCATTAAGATCATACTCTCTTCGAAAGTCTGTCATTTCTCCAAAAATGCCTTCTATTAGCAGCGTCTTTTTGGCGACAGTCAATTTGTCGGTTCTTGTGAATGGCTTGACATGGACATCATGTGGAACCGGTGTACAATGCGCGACTCTTCAAGTCCCCCTTGAGTACGGTTCTACAACCTCAACGGCAAAAGCTAGTATTGCACTTGCTCGTTACCCTGCCACTGTTGCAGCTGGCAAGAGACTCGGATCTCTCTTGATCAATCCTGGTGGACCGGGTGCTTCAGGTGTTGGATTTGTGCAATCTGGTGCTGGAGCTGCTGTCTCCGCATTAAGTGGTGGTTTATATGATGTTATTGGTTGGGATCCTCGAGGAACAGGAGCTTCAAGTCCTATTTTGGAATGCTTTGCAAATGCTAAAGCCGAGTATGACTTCAATAACGCATTTCCATCGGCTCCAAATCTATGGCTTGGTCAATTTTCAAATGCTAGCGCTAATGCTGCTGTTACCGCTGCTATCACATCTTTCGATACTTCTGTCGCTGCTCTTGCAAAGGCTTGTGTAGCTCAAAAGTCGTCCGCTCTCTACACTTCGACTGCAGCATATGTCGCTCGCGATATGGCAGCAATCGTTGATGCAGTGGATGGCACCTCAGCAAAACTCAACTATTGGGGTTTCTCATACGGAACCATTTTCCTTGCTGAGTTTATTCAAACTTTCCCAGCTCGTGTAGGAAGAATCATTGCCGATGGTGTTTTCGACGCAAAAGCAAATGCCCTTACATATGTCAGCCAACTTCCAAACGATCAACTTAGTGTTCGTGCTTCGCTGAACGACTTTGCTGCCTTCTGCACTACTGCTGGAAGCACAGGATGCTCTTTCGCCGCCGCGCCTTCAGGAGTCTCCGGAACTGTGGCCATCAGACTCGACAATATCATGCAGAATCTATTCAACAATCCTATTGTTGCTTCTGGTTTGAGCATCAGCTTAGATATCCTCAGCCCTCTTCTTGCATCGCTTCTTAGAGTCCCAACCACATGGAAGACACTTGCAACTGTCTTATCCGGACTCGAAAAGCGTGATGCCACTGCTCTTATCTCGTTGCTCGGATCATTAGCAGATAGTGCACCAACTGATGGCTCAGCACCAGGTGTTGGAACTCTCGCCACTTATCCTCTCGGATGTGTTGACAATGCTGCTTCAAATGGAATCACCTTGGATACTGTTATCTCCCTCACGAAAAGTATCTCGATCTCTGAAAACACCCCAATCCTAAGCGCTGGACTGATTCCCATTACATTCTGTCGCAACTTCCCCGCCACACGCCCACTCGTCCCAAATTTGGGCGTAAGCGCAATGGCAAAGACAGATACTACGCTCGCAACAGCCAAGACACCAATTCTTATCATTTCAGCCGAGAATGATCCAACAACACCACTGAAGTCTGCGAAAGCACTTCGAGCTTTACTCCCCTCCTCATCTGTCCTTGCATATCGTGGAGGAAGTGGACACACCACTATCTCACACGCATCACTTGGATTGGCCAAAGTGATTTCAAACTTTTTCGTGAGCGGAACCATGCCCCAAGACGGAGCACGCTTTGCCGTAGACCAGAATGTTTTCCCAACAGCTGCAGCTAGTGGGTTAGTTACACCGGCCGCTTTCAACGGAACTTATACTGCGCAAGAGCAAAGTCTCTTAACCGCAACATACAACATTGGTCTTGCCTTTTTAGCAATTGCATAAACAACTCTCACGTCACCATCGGCAGAGAAATTATAACAGGTCGCAATGAAAAAAATTCTATACCATGAACAAAATACAATGAAAATCGGGCCGTATACGTGAATGAAAATTTGGATGATAACCAACAACTCTTTGAATTTGAGCCAAGATGTCAAACTTTATCAAAAGTGTCATTCTTGCATGCATGATAGATACTACATAGTGTTTCACGGCTCTATTAACCTTACCCCAGAAATGCACCCCGGATACCCCTGCACAAGGTCAGCGATCACCAGACACGCCTTTGTAATTTAAGTTATTTAACCGACTCGTCCCCCCTTCATCCGTTAGGCATTTCGGTGCCGGCCAGAAATGTTGCGCTTGGAATTGACCGACTGATGCAAATTTTTGTCCTATCAGTGAATTTTCCAATCATAGTTTGGGGATTTCCCCGGATTTGGTCATTTATGCGGAATGATGTATTAGATTGTTTAGATGAAGTTTTTTATTACGATGAGTAGGAGATATAGTGATAGGAAGGTAATCTTACGATATATTGAGAGAGGGATATATGAATGATATGATACCGATGGAATGGGAATGGGAGCGGGAAATTATGAACATGAGGAGTTAAGGTCATTAGGACTGAGCTGGGCAATGGGAGTGAGAATTTAAAAAGTTGCTCTATCCGCGCTGAGGCAAATTCTAGTCTTGAATGAGAGGATCTAGATTTATGCGTAAGGAGCACATATTATCTTGTCTAGAAGTGATACAAACATCCAGACAAATCATGAACATGTTCAAAAATCTCCCACTCCTCCCCATCTTCCTCGTCCCTCTCCTTGCATCCCCAACTCCTGAACCTCTAACAACAACCACCCTCTCCACCGATTACACATCCCAAGGCTACCTCCTCGCACTCAATGCATCAGCTCCTTATTTCACAGGTGCCGGCCCCATCAGCGGTTGTATAACCTCGCGTTTTACATGGACACTAGATACTACTTCCTGTGGTCTCTTCGACGGTACACGCATTGTATATAATAAAAGTATCGGGATGTGGATGTATGTATTTGGGAGTGAGGAGGGAATATGTGGATTAGTGGAGGGTGGTCGCGTAACGTGTTCGGATACGAAGATTGGGAGTTTGGGGAAGTGGAGCGCGGTATGTGTTCTTTTTTTATGGCGAGGATGGAATGTGTAGGCATGAGAAAAACAGATACTAATGTGATAAATTAGCCGAATTCGACAGTCTCTGGTGTGCCGTTGTATATGATGGGATGGGCTAATTGGCCTGTGGAGAAATGGCCGAGTTATGGGGTTGATGTGGATGTTTGGAATACTTTGGTTGATAATCCTATGCCGGGAGTTTCGTTGGATGGTTTTGCGAAATCTTTTAGTCTGAAGTGGAAGGCTCTGTGACATGTCAATCGTCGGAATTTGGTTGCTTCCGGAGTGGTTAAGTTTTAGGCGTTTCCTGTGGAGTTGTGATGGTGGGAGGTAGACCAAATTAGGTGAATGCTGAATTTCCGCGTTATTAGAGGAGCTTCTCTCTTTACAATGAGTTTTTGTGCTTCAAACCATTGACTGTTATGTTGACTATGGGCCAACCATCCACTATACTTGACATCTTACACTGCTGGAACTTGGGTGTGACTCCAGGAAATAATAGCATAGTTATTTTTGCGCGTTGATGTATATTTCGAGATTCCCTAGTTGGATTGAAGGAATTCGAACCAATGATGACCCAATTTGATTGCAAGTCCCAGTAACATCCACACCTAGGATCTGTGCTACTACTGATTGTTGCTATAACAGACTCGATGTTTACTCTAGCACAAAAGAGCTTCCAGCCGCCATTCGCAAGTTGTCCTGTAGTCTTCAGTGCTTTCTTTTTAGAAAGAATAACTCATAGTTCCTCACTCTACTCACTTCTGAATGCCACTTCGCAGTCAACTTGTGGACATTAACTGCATTGAATCCCGTTAAAATGATGAGAGTATAAGAGACATAAGATCATTTGAGACATTGACTCGGTGTTTATTCTGAATATTAAACCGATTGTATAGAGTTTGTATTACTTAGCATATATCATGAGTTCCGAGACTTCCGAAAATTGAACCTGCTTGGAACATTGAGTTGATTTGAAGTGTTGGATTCATCTGATAGTACAAATGTATGTGAATCAACGAAGTGACCATAAAGCCCGACAACTTTGAACATGAAATACATTTGATAGACAGAATCTATATGGAAACTTAAGTTCATATGCCGGCTCAAACCACTCAGATACTCTCAACACACGAACATTGAATATGTAGGATCTTAACTGTAGTCCAGATTTTAATAGTAATACATAGTAGAGATTTCATAGACTTTAACTATTTTAACCAGATAGCAGAAATGATTACCACTGGGTTTATATGGGTATCGAACGGCGCAAGGCGAATTTTTTTAATTCCCAGCAGACTTCGCCAATTTTGCCTCAACAATTCGCTCCACCATCTTCTCCAATATAGCCATATCTCCATTAGAGCCCTGTGCAAAATACCCCTCTACAGCCTTCTCGACATATTTCCCAATCTGATCCACCTCGACATTAATATACTCCCCCTCCTTCTTGAGCGCCGTCACAATTTTCGTCTGCGTATACGCAATCAACATAATTTCAAACCACTCCCCCTCAACCTTTGTAATCGTCAAGCTCGCCCCATCAAGCGTGACATAACCCTTCTCAACAATATATCTCAAAACATGTTGATCCCTCGGTTTCAACCTCAGCGTTAAAGCCTCACCATCCTCTTCCCTCTTGATCAACTCCGCAACCGTATCCACATGTCCCTGTACGAAATGTCCTCCCATACGTGTATCAGCGGAAACGGCGCGTTCGAGATTAACTTCAGAGTTTACTTGGAGAGAACCGACATTGGTGCGACGGAGAGTTTCTGGCGCGCAACCGACGGTGAAACTATCGCTGGTGAAGGTTGTAACGGTTAGACAGATACCGTTTACGGCTATGCTGTCGCCGAGTTTGCAGTCGCTGAGGATGGAGCTGGCGTTGCTGATGGTGAGGGTCGCACCATATTGACTGTCGAGTTTGATGTCGGAGACAACTGGGGATTGTAAGTGAGATTCAATTTGGATTGGGTAATTCTTTACATACCTCCCTTGATCTCGACAAGACCGGTAAACATGGCTAGGACTGTGAGGTGGTGGATGTGATTGAATGTTGAGAGCTAGGCTGATGCAATGAATTACCCCGCGATGACCAATAATCCCTCGTTGTGCAGATTATTTTGTACTTACGTAATCCATTGATATAGATGTGACTGTCATTGACTGACAATCTTGGGACTTCACCTCAGATTCGTATTTGGAGATTATAAATTAGGAACTTTAGTATTCTATCAATTATCAATTTCCTCCAGTTATTACCTGCGTTTTCATACTTTTTATTAGTTTTCTTTTTCCAACTGTTTCTCTCTTTTCTTCCTAGATACGTGCAGCGATAATACCCCGAACCATCTCCCTTATAAAAATCCTTTGTTTGTATTACATAAGTTCTCGGTGATGTAAGCCGTCTCACAGCTCTGTCGTAGCACCTATCTAGTAGTAGGAGAACAAACTAATCACTCCACGGAAGCCGAAGACATTTCTCTATTTCACCTGTGCCTTTCAGCCCGGTCTGCAGAGAAGAGATCTACTGTTTACTATCTGAGCAATTACATAACTAGGCAGTGCACCAAGAAACGGGGAAGGACAGATCCAAGGCTAATATGGTAGATCATGCTTGGTGCGAAGACCAAAATGATGAGGCGACGCCTAGTGGCATGGATGGATTATATCATCACTTATATTCATCAGATTACAGGTGGGATTCATATAACCTATCTACCTCGATTATCTCTCAAGATGATTTTCATCTTACAGGCGCCAGGCATGGCATTCAGCCTTCACCATGCAATGAATACGCCATTCAAATCACGTACCTGACGTATCCAAGTATGGGGGCAGCTACTGCAAGTTACCGCAAGCTACTGGGAGAGCTACTGCAAGCCACCTCTAGGAGGGACCTCCGGGAGGCTAGAACCTGACGTAGTCCTTCTTATTGCTAACATAATGTATGACGCATCGAGGGAAGGAAACCCAATCATCGACGCAATGGACGCAGAAAACATCTTCATAAGTCTCTGTGATTGAAGGGCTAGGAATTTTATTCGAAGATTTATGACGTCACCATAGTTCTACCACGTTCTCGAGTCTCACGACAAAGAGCTTCCTCATGTAGGGCACAGCTAAGATCAGTACAAGTAGCACTCTCGCCCCCAGTTCCCTTCTCAACTTCTCTTAACAAAACATACACAAGTCTCTCCAGAAAAGAAGCAGCTAACTCAAAAACACCTTACCAAACTCACACCACAAAAACCACCAATTTCATCATGTCAGCTAAGGTAGAAGTTGTTCCAGAGGGAGACTACAGAGACGACAGTTACGTCTCCGGCTCTGGCGATAAGAATGAACCAGTCCAAGTACAGAGTGATGACGCTCCCGTCGAAGGTGAGTAGTTTCCATTCATACTACATAACATTTGAACTGAGCTGATAACGATGTATAGAAACCGCGGAAGACAGGGTCGGTATTGAGGAGAGCAATATTGTAGATGAGAAAACCAGACATGCTAAGCCGGTCGACACTTACCGAGAGCCTGGCGACGAGGAGGGTCTACCTGAGAATAATGGCAGGAGCGCAGTCGCTCAGTAAACTGGAATGAGTGCAATCATAATGTTCCTTGGAGGGATGGAAGGATCGATATAATGGAGTAAGGGAAGAATCTGGTGTAATGGAGGGAGCGAGGAATTGGTTGTAATTGTAGGATATCATGGCAATGAAGCGAAGCTCCGATAAGCGCTTTCTCCACTGGATATGTCTCTTGTGTCGGTGCTGTTATACAAATATATGTGGACAGTATGCTTTATACTACCTTGCAGGTACTATCGAAGCTCAGGCCGTTACCTTGATCCCATTCTCAAGGGTATGGGGCTCGTAGATTCTCGGTATCAATCCTTCAACCATATCAATGGCTCCTTCCATGCTATCTTTGTTGAACACAAAAAGTCCCTGTATAGCAGCCATACTTGTGTGAAGCTCCGGCTCAATCGTTTTACCTTCTTCATTGGCAACAAGGCCCAAACTTTCTAGCTTTTCCAAAAATCGCTTTTTTCCATTTCCATCTTTGTCAATGTCACCATAGAATCTATCCCACATCTCTCCAGCTTGGTATCTCGTAGCTTCGCCAATTCTTTCTATCATATCGACCCGACCAGGTCGAATCAGAGCCGCGTCCAGTCGATCAATATGATTTGTAGTAAGAAAAGCAATTCTTTCTTCGCCAGCTGCCACCCCATCCAGTGCATTTAACAATCCCGAAAATGTAACAGTCGCGCCTGAGTATCCATCGGAATCCACCTGTCTTCTATTCACAAAAGCTGCATCTGCATCTTCCAGCAATACAAAGGTTCTCGGAGGTAACTTGGTGAGGAAATGGACCAATTTGTCGTCTGTCATTCCCCGCTCGCCCAGATTTATCATTGCGACCCCAAAATTCAGTTCCCCAGCTAAGGCCTGTATGAATGAGGTTTTTCCACTCCCAGGTGGACCATACAGGAGGTAACCTCTTCGGTAAGGTATTCCTCGATCCACATACCATTGCTGCCGCCCAAGGAAATCCGTCACATCATCCAGAATTCGTTCCTTGACTCCTTCGTCTAAGATCACAGAGCTCAGTGGTCGTTTCCGTCGCGCATCCCCAAATTGTCTCCATTCCATTCCTGAACTCTTGTAAACTACCGTTTTTCCTTCGCGCTGCGTCGCAGCTAATTGATGTGCTTCTGCAAATATATCTGCGAATATATGTCGATGCGCGTATAATGTTCGTAGAGTAATCGTCTCATGCGGTACACCAGTATTCATATTATGACTGCTTTGCTTCTCTCGCTGAACTAGTATAAACGCATTCTTATGCTGGACAATATGTTTGCCATATCCTGGTTGCGCAAGAAATGTCGCAGATGATGGACCACCTTCTAATTGTTCACCGGTCGTCCGCATAGAATAATCATGAACACGGGTAATTCTCGATGCGATAAACCCTCCAGGTGGTCGAGGGAGACATAGCCATGCTAAGATCCATTGATATGATGGGTCCTCTTTACTGATTTCGAGATTCACCAAAAGACGTCGTTTGATGGTGGAAGCTCCTAGTATCATGAAACGTCGTCCTATGGCGGCAGAAGCCCCAAGTCCTGCAAGACCGATGCCTCCGGCGAAAACAGGATTGTTGAACAGTACATCGAGAGTTGTCAGCGATGTTGTTGGGTCGGGCATTTTTTTGATGGAGGGGATATTGGGATTATCACATCGCTTGAAAAAAGCTCTGAAATGCCCGACAGTAGCCGATGTTTATGTTTGTGGAGTGTGAACTTTATTGAAAGAATGAAGTTCAACATCATTAAAAATTCCCTTAATAACAGACTACAAAAATCGCCACATAATTTTCAAACTCTCAAAATACCACCAGGAAGCTCAAGACAAAGAGAGTGCAATAATCTGGACGTATAGCACAGCAAGCAGTTCATGATTGAGGTACTTGGGAGTGCCCAATCTTAGCTCCATTAAGGTTACATTTCATGCCGACCCCGCGCCTGATGGCGATAGTATACACCAAGTTCAACTAATTACTCTCCATTGTTATTGGTATTCCTCTCATGACAGCGATGTGTACATTGGATTTATCAAGTCTAGATCCGATACATTCAATTGCTATGAACAAGCTTCTGCAAATGGACCAGCCTGCGCCGAAAGAGACCAGCTATGGCTTCACTTCAATTGTCTATGGAGAGGGATAGTTTTCCTTTGATTTTTAGCTACATGCCCTTAAGAGCATCGGTGCACCTACCAATGCGATTTGGGGTAAGTTGTCTAGTTCCTGCATGGCATATGAGGTTATATTCTATTATCGAATAAAACCACGGGTCTCCTTCGTCCATAAAATCAAAAACTCAAAGTTGAGTGTGTTTTATATCCAGCATACATATTGCAATGGTGGACACAGCAGCTTATGAAGCCATCTGTTATAGAATCCGAGTACGAAATTACGCGCATCTTGTGGCTAAGGCCAGTAGATGGCAGTAGCATTTATCGTCCGAGGCGGCGCGGAATAGAAGCATTATAGAATACATGAAACTTAGTAGAAGGTTTTCAGGGTCACGTAGCGCAGTTTAGCGATCCGACGATGCGCGGAAACGAAGGTCTCCATATTCTTGGTTCTGCGGTTTCTGTGCGAATTTTCTCAGCCTTTTTGGTTTTTCGTTGCTTCTGCTTCATTTGAAATGCTCACTATCATGAAACATCGTCAGATCAACGAGAAATCTGTGTGAAAGTCTGCCATAGAAGCCATGGCCACTCGTGTTTCAATGACCTATGCACGCATCTTTGTATATCCGGTACCCCAGATTAAGTGATGATTCCATGTGCTAATCATCCACTGACTGATCACGTCCGTATACAAAGTCTAATCGAAATCCTGCTATGCAACTAAGTTACCACAATATTGAGAGACTGCACATTGCTACATTTTCAATCAATATCACTTGTTACCGGATTTACATGAATCCTTAAATTCCTTCTTGCCATTCTGATGGCACTTTGGAGTGTAATGTGCTACTTAGAAAAATAAATTCGTGAAGATAATTAGTGCCTAGGCCAAGCATTACCACGCCCAGACTTTTTCGATGACTGGGATTATCTTTTTTTACGATTTTTGAAACTAGTATCGTTTGGTGTAAACCTTTTGTTCTATAGTTGTCAAAGACGACCAATCATTCTTATCCTTCCGCGTTTTTTCTTTTTGTATATTCATCTACTGTATACTCTATCCACGCAAAACAGACAGACTCAGATATGACCTACATCCCGAAGGTTAAATTCAGTCAAGACGATGGGATGAAGATAAAACGATTTGTCTACTCTGCTACTCAATGCAAATTCCTGAGCCTGAAGCAGCTCTAACACAATCATGTCCACTCCGATCATTGATTGCCATTTATGGTGCTTTATTAAGAGTTGTGAGGCCGGCCTTTCCATGATTTACTTATTGCAGCTGGACTGAAATCTTCTTTCGCAACAATTACGAACAGTGTTTTACTATGGGCAAAATAGCCAAAAAGTTAAGGGAGATCAAAGAAGGACTTAGGAATGATGAAAACTTGACTCGAGGGAGGAGGGGTATTGTTCGCGGATTCAAAGCATTACCATTATCGACGGGAAAATATCTAATTCAAAAGGTTCCGTTCGTGCAATGGTTTCCGAACTATGCTCCGAGGTGGCTTTTGGACGATGTAATAGCAGGTGTCACAGTTGCATTGGTTTTGGTACCACAGGCCCTGGCATCCGCAGCCCTTGCTGGAGTGCCATTACAACAAGGCTTATTCGCTAGCTGGCTGCCATCAGCTATATACTTCTTCATGGGGACGTCTAAAGGTAACATCTCACACAGTCAAAATTGATTTATACTGAAAATCATAGATATCGCCACGGGACCTACGACATCCCTGAGCCTCCTTACCAACGCTGTTGTGCTGTCTATTACTGCTCAAGGTCTTCCAATACCACCAGCTCTCATCGCATCCGCTCTTTCGTTCTCAATAGGTGCTCTATCTCTACTAATAGGACTTTTAAACCTTGGATGGATTCTAAATTTCGTAACGGTTCCTATGCTGGTTGGATTTCAAATGTCGGCAGCGCTGATCATCATTCAAGGCCAAGTACCCATGATCCTCGGAGAATCGGGCGTAGGTCAGGACTTCACAAAGCAAGGAATGGAAATTCCTAAAAACATTGCAACTACCCAGCCGTTGTCTTTGGCTATTGGTGCGGCGTCAATAGTGCTCATTGCTCTATTGAAGCTGGTGGGCAAGAAATGGGGGCAAAAGAGTGTCATCATCAGGATATTATCGAATTTACGAAACGCTTTTGCAATCGCTATTTCCACCGGAGTATCCTTCGTTATCAATAGGGGGCTTACGGTTCCACGATTCTCTATTGCTGGTACTGTCCCTCCTCAAGGAATTCAATCCCCACAATCTCCGACCGAGATTGTCCTGCTTGTTGCTACTAAATCTTTCCCTGTAAGTAAAGTCAGAATTAGTAAACGTTGGGCTGGATACTTACTTTTTACTATTTGATAGGTTTTTATAGGCGCTGTAGTAGAACATTTGATTTTCGCCAAGTCCTTTGCACGCCAACACAACTATGAGATTGATGAATCTCAAGAGCTTGTATTCCTTGGAACCGCAAACATTGTGAATAGTCTTTTCGGTGGGATGCCAGTATCCGGATCACTTTCCTTATCAGCAGTGAATTCGGCAACTGGAGTAAGGTCGCCGCTGGGTGGGCTATTCTCAGCGGGCATCGTTTTCTTCGCCATCAGCCAATTAACCCAGGCCTTCAAATGGATTCCGACTGCCGCAACCAGCGCCGTTATCCTGGTCTCCGTAGCTGAAATCCTCCCTCCAAATAGTATTCCTCTCGTATATTGGAAAAGATCCTTTGCCGATTTCATAGGCTTTTTCGTTGTCATGAATGTTGCGCTAGTTGCAGGTTTAGAGATCGCTCTTGGTCTTGGAGTAGCCTACATGATTGTATACACTCTTTTACGCACATTATTTTCCTCGATTACTCCACTGAAATCTTTGGATATTGAGAATAGATACAGTTTCAACAACGTGGAAAGAATGCGACCACCACCCTCCGGAGACCGTCTAATACCCCAAGGAACTCAGATTATCACGTTAGAAACACCGCTTTTTTACCTCAACGCCAGGCAAATCAAGAAAGATATACTAGAAGCTATCTGGACTAATCATGAGCCCACTCCGTATGGACCAACAGACCGAAAAGGATGGAGCGATTTTCGCATTCGAAGAACTGCCGCTCTTCGTCGTAGGAGCAATATCAATACGCCAACCCGATTCCTTCCAAAACTTGAAGTTGTCGTACTCAATTTTACTCGAGTTACCTTTATTGACACTACTGGCCTTATCTACCTCCAAGATATCAAGGACGAAATTATGACCTACAGCGGTGATGCCGTAGAATTACGCTTCGTAGGGATGACTTCCGCTGTACAGAAGAAATTCAAGAGAGCAGGTTGGCCACTGGGAACTTATCAAGAATCACAAATTGGCCTAGTAGCAGGGATCGATATTATATTCGAGGATTTATATGATGCCATCGCAGTACCCAGATCAGTAAGAGCATCGATGAATGGGCTAGGATTTGAGTTTGGAAATGCGAAGAATGATATGGAACAGGATAGTGATGAGGAGGCTTTTCAAAAGGGGGCGATGAATGTTATTGTTACGAATGTTATGACGAAGCATGGGAGGGCTTTTAAGGAGAAGTTTTGAATAGGGCTGGGATATTTCAGCGGCGTGATTTACCTGTATGTTATGGGCTGGATAAGAATCACGAGTTTATATTCTGGACATCTTTGTAGAGTTTATGGTATTTCCTTCCCGAATTGCACTATGACGACGACTCCAGTGAACACTGAAGGATGATTAATAATGTCAAGATAGAAAGTAAACTACAGAGGACAACTCGAAAAGTAATACAACTATAAGGCCTTACAGGGTATTAGCACTATAATACACTGTAATTCAATCATTCAAATCGAACTCTGAAAATTAGTGATTGATTAGACTTTAATGAACCATTCCAACTCTATAATTTTATTCAATTAGAATTAGAATTAAATAAAATTTATCATTATTAATTCTTACAAGTTCACTAAATGTTAAATAGTATTAAATAAATAATGCAAATATAAAATTACAGGTCCTTTATAATACTAACAGCCTGTAAAACCCTATAATCGCATTACCTTTCGAGCCGTCCTCCGTAGCTCGTATAGAGATCGTTCAGATCAGGACCAGAGCCTTCAAACCATTTACTTCTAAATATGCGTGCTTATGATATTACAAGCTAGTATTCTTTGAGATGTTAGACTGAATTAGACATTTCCATCAGACTGTATTTCGTTTGATTCTATTAGGCATGAGCTTCTAGAGAGTGAAGTCATGGCCCGTGCGTCATTTTTCCAAAACTGTGGTGATAAATTTCCCCGCATTTGAGCTTCCCAACAAACACAACCACAACTTCATGCTAGGACATCCATCCCAATTGTCGGGCATAGATTTCTCAGAATTTCATGCAAAGGGTAAAACGATCAATTGATTCCTTGGAGCAATTGATTCAACCCATTGTGTGGGAAGATTGTGCAGACTACCCTACCACAGCATCATGGCAAATGCGTTTGCAACGCGTCTGTATGCCCGGCCCAACTCTACCTTATGACGATTCCGTCGCAAATGCCTAAGTATGGCATTACATAAGATCCATTGTCTGCGGAGATACAAACGACCGAGAATTGGCGGAGGCGCAAGGATGCAGCAACAGCAAGCTCCAGCGCATGTCAAAATGTGCGATGCTTGGAAGGGATGAATGCAATTAGAGCAACTTAGTCGATTACCATTACCTTAGGACTTTGTTGCCGTCATGGATCATGGATGAAGCGTCATTGATGGGAAATCACCTCCGACGCTTGATAGCAATATTGAGTGCAGGTGTAACCTCTTGGACATCATTCGAAGCACTGAAAGAACCGTACTTGGATTGGAATGCCGTCCCTAGCCCCGGTTTTGACAGCTTTGCCGCTTCGGCACCCTTATCATATGGGCATGGATTCGAATGGCCGAATTAACACCACTATTATTGTTACACTCGGTGGTTTACTATGGAGGCTAGTTTAGCTGGATTACAACACCATTTCGACTATTCTATGCAGTAGTTGGTGCCTGGCAAGGGGTAGCGCCTCAATAACGCCCTCATGTGAACAGTCTGCATGGACTAAGAGAAAATTTCTGGGAACTTTGTAAGGAAGAAGCGCCGGTAACTCCTTCACTCATTCTTTTCCGGATCAAATCAGAGTATTGGCGGGACCAGCATTACGTCTAGATTCTTGTACATTCCGTCCATGAGCGAAATAATGGCAAACAGGACTTAAAGCGCTTAACTGGATTTCATCTCATCTCAGTTATGACTGAACCAAGGTCGCATCACAAGCCGTGCTTTTCTAGGAAGAATGCTAATGTCCCCGGCTGGGCATTATCTACCGTATTTTGACCCGGGCGACAGGAGAGGATTTGACATTGCTATATTCGCGAAATGCATCCATCACACTGGAACCTGTAACCAATTACATCGTTTCTTTGAACTAGTTACGATGTATCTTCTGGCATCGTGGTTCAGAAGATTCCGCGAGCACCAACCAACAGATAGCGATGTTCATTGTGGAAATGAATCTCGGGACGGTAGTTAAAGTGGAAACATTTTCATTTCCGTCTTGTATATTTTTTTTAGTGCGGCCTCGGCCTAAATTGGAATGTGTCTCAAAGCTGACTACGAATTGCATATGCGGATAATCTTCAGCGGGAAAGTCTAGGATATTTCGGCTAGTGAGGCTCCGATATACGCATCAAGCGATAGCCAGCTTTTCATGTAAACTGGAACCGAGGTCAAGTCATGAAAAGTTTTACTCTCTATCAATCTGCGGGTGGTGGAATGTGATCTGATGAAATTCTCGGGTCCTACTAAAGTTACTGATGCTCAAGGGCTGGGAACCAATGAATTCTAAATTCGGCGGATATCATATCCTGGCACCCTGATGCTTCTATGGCTTCTAGGGGTTCTATGGCTTTCAGGGCCATTCCGAGAAGATTGGCGACATCTCACGAATCTTGTCCAACCTTACAGCAGCATCCATAATACGACTCAGGTTGTAACCCGATTACGGCATAGTTGTCATTTTCGGTGATCACGAGCTTCCCCACAAGCCACCAATCCCAACATTCCCCAGATTCTTACCCCGCAATAAAGAACATGCAGTACATGCAGAATATGCAAAGTCTACATAGTACATGCAAATCACAAGTTTAACCAGGCCCGTGGTAGTTTGTGCGACAATGGGTCGGACCGGAGAACGGCCGTTACCAAATTCAAAATAAAAACCTTCCATGTAAGATTTTCCTCTAAATTATCTTACACGTGGTAAAACAAAAAATCTCCTTCCGTCTTTCTATGGTTCCTTACTCGTGGATCTAGCCGTCAGCATTATCTTAATTCTTCTTGTCATGTTGTCATGGTAAAATTTAAATTTTTATTGTTTGAGATTGATTTTCTTCTTGGCTAAGTTCTGCTCACAAGGCCACTTTTCGGCAGTGATTCGGAGCCTTTTATCCAGAATCCTACATCACTGGGTCCGCTTGTTTGATTATTCCGGTTTCCAGAATTCTTTGGTCAGCATCAAGCACAAGCTAACATCAACTTCATCTCATGTTGGGTGATCATGAGGCGGGATACCCTCACATGTCACTAATAGGGGCCGAGAAGGTACAGAACGCCTCAATCGTACAGACAGTTTTGCATGGAAGCTCGTGATAACATTTTATCAAGAAAGACCGGAGACTAAACGGAAATGTCTGAATCATGCTAATCAAACAGGATTTTTGCCTTTGCAGCATTCTCGTCTTCTCTTTTTGGATAGACCACTGGAATGGTGCATGTAGGAGCATGTAGGTACAATGGAGATTCAGTACATAAGTGATCGATGATTCCCTCGTTGATCATCTTCCACACCTTGTCTACTCAGTGTTGGTTTCCCTACTTTACAAGCAAAACCTTCATCATGGTTTACGTGATCAAAAGCGTGGTTTTACTCTCCTTGGTGCTTCAGTCATCATGTATGCAGCTCCATATACCTCAGGTCGACAAAGTAGTGACGAAGGTCCTTGATAAATTCGCACCTTATGTGCATAACAAGGGCGGCAACCATACCGACGTCGCTGTCATTCCAGCAAACGAGGATATGGCCAAGATAATTCCTCGTGCGACCCCTTATTGGTATGAGCAGATTTCGCATCAGGGCAAATCCGCATTTGGCCCTTCAGGATATAAGGTGTATCGAAATGTGAAAGATTTTGGCGCAAAAGGCAAGTTCATAATTATATTTCAGCGCTCGTTGCTAACAAAATTATCTAGGTGATGGTGTTACCGATGATACTGCTGCTATCAACGCTGCTATCAGCTCTGGTGGAAGATGTGGTCAAGGGTGTTCTTCGACCACAACCACTCCTGCAGTTGTCTACTTCCCATCTGGAACCTATTTGATATCTTCGTCCATAATAGACTATTACTACACCCAGATTATTGGTAATCCAAACAGTTTACCAGTTCTCAAGGCTACGCCCAACTTTTCAGGCTTCGGTCTGATTGATGCAGACCCGTATTATAGTCCCGTTCTCAACTGGGGCTCCACCAATGTGTTCTTAAGACAAATTCGCAACTTGGTCTTTGATATGACTGGCATTCCTGCTGGAACCACAGCAACAGGTCTGCATTGGCCAACTTCTCAAGCGACAAGCTTACAGAATGTTGAATTCCGGATGAGTTCCGCACCAGGAACTCAACACACTGGTCTGTTCTGTGAAAGTGGTGAGTAAAATCGAGTCTTTGGACCGTTCCACACTGACATTTAAAAAAAAAGGTTCTGCTGGACTTTTAGTTGATGTTACCTTCAATGGTGGACTTGTTGGTGCCGCCATTGGCAACCAGCAATTTACCATGAGAAACTTGGTTTTCAACAACTGTGTTACGGCCATTAGCATGTTCTGGGATTGGGGATGGTTGTTCCAAGGTATCAGCATAAACAACTGTCAGAAAGGAATTGATATCTCGGCAGGAGGATCTACCGCTCAGAACGTGGGTTCGGTTATTGTGATCGACAGTTCAATCACTAACACTCCGGTCGGAATTATTACCGCTTATACATCCAATGCATCACCAGATACAGCTGGTAGTCTCATACTTGAAAATGTGGCACTCAATAATGTCCCCACAGCTGTTACTTTGAGTGGCGGAGCGACACAATTAGCTGGTACAAGTGGAAGCACGACCATTGCTGGTTGGGGCCAAGGGCGCAAATATGATCCCAGTGGTCCATCTGATTTCCAAGGTGCCATCACTCCAAATAATCGACCTGCATCTTTACTCAGCGGAAACAAATATTATACTCAGTCGAAACCTCAGTACAATACATTGTCTGTCTCTTCATTTACGAGTGCGAGAACCAATGGTGCGATTGGAGATGGTGTAACCGATGATACTGCTGCTTTGCAACGTGGAATTAATAATGCAGCAAGTTCCGGCCAGGTATTTTTCCTGGATGCAGGTACTTACAAAGTAACAAGCACAATTACTATCCCTCCTGGTTCAAGAATAGTAGGCGAGTCATATTCTACCATCATGTCAAGTGGCAATTTCTTCAACAACATCAATAGTCCTCAACCAGTTGTACGAGTTGGAAACCCTGGTCAAACAGGACATGTCGAATGGAGTGATTGTTTAGTCTCAACACAGGGTCAACAAGCTGGTGCTACGTTGATCGAATGGAACCTCGCCAATTCCGGTTCAACGCCATCTGGAATGTGGGACGTGCACACACGAATTGGTGGTTTCACAGGATCGAATCTACAAGTTGCTCAGTGCGAGAAGAATGCAGCCAGTACAACGGTCAATTCAAACTGTATTGCTGCATACATGGGCATGCATATTACATCAGGTGCCAGCGGCTTGTACATGGAGAATGTGTGGATTTGGACTGCTGATCATGATATCGATGATCAAGGTTTGAGACAACTCGATATCTATGCAGGAAGAGGTCTGTATATTGAAAGTACCGCGGGAACTTTCTGGCTGTGAGTCTGTCTTGTTTCGGATAACATGAAAATAAGCTAACATTTATCAGTGTCGGCACTGGAGTTGAACATTTCACACTGTATCAATACCAATTGTCCAATACCAAGAACATTTTCATGGGTTTCTTGCAGACAGAAACACCGTAAGTTCCTCGGTCAATCTCGTACTGAAAAATTGCTAATCATCCTTAGGTATTATCAACCACAACCAATTGCACCAACCCCCTTCAGCGTTGTCACGTCTCTTAACGATCCTAATTTTAGTACTTCATGCGCAGGCCAATCCGGTAACTGTGCTTCGGCCTGGGGTTTGAGGATCATGAACTCCAACAACATTCTTGTCTATGGAGCGGGACTTTACTCATTCTTCGACAATTATTCTACCAGTATGTTTCTCTTATTATTCACCCTCTCTAATCCTGATAAATTTTGTCGAGATATACTAACACATCAAAGCCTGCTCCAATGCTGGCGGCCCCGAAAATTGCCAGACGAACATCCTCAGTCTCGAGGGCTCAATCTCAAATGTAAATATCTATACCTTGGCTACAGTCGGCGTCACGAATATGATCACGAGAAACGGACAGTCCCAAGCGTTGTATAACGCGAATCTCAATGTATATCCTACTTTGATTACATTGTATAAGTCTGGTTAGAGTAAGGAGTTGGTAGAAGTGGTTTTTGGGAGGTATGCGGGAATCGGATCTGATGGTAGAGCTTGAGATTGGTTCCGTTTGAATTGTGTTGGAGTCTAGGAATTTGGGGTGTGGCAAGGGATTGTGGATGGGATGGGATGGGGTGGTTCTTTGTCTTGGTTTTACTTGCTTCATGGATCTTTTTGCTTTTGGCAAAATTATATATTCTGTCTTTTACGATTAATTTTTTGTTGCATAAATGCATGATGATGTGGTGATGAATTTAAATTTTAATCTTGTCGCCTGATGCGACCGACTAATTTCGTGACTAGTTGGTTAGCTAGCTACTGTGTGTGCTCGTGAGAAAATAGTACCGCTATAATCTATCCCATCTTTGCAAAGTCTCAAGTCAGTCAGCCGGATAAGTATAAGCATAAATTTCGTCATTTATCCGCCCGTAACCTTAACCTTACTCTGCGGCTTTTTCTAAATTCTTTTCCGAGGAGAAAAAGGGAGAGAAAACGGGAGAGAAAAAAAAAATACAGTTCTGAGACAAAAACTGGGCGCTTTTATTTGTAAGATCTTAGCATGTAGCATGTGGTATGTAGTATGATTATTCTTATCCCACTTTCTTTCCTGCTTGAATGAAATAAGCTTATTCCTTATCTGGTTTGATAGAGCATGATAGCCTAATAAGGTATGTCATGTCATGTCATGTTATGTTATACATATGGGTAGGTATGGAGGTAGATAGGTAGGTAAGGAGGTATTAGATCTCGACTGCTGAGTTACCTATTATGTATGTATTTAGGATGTTTTTGGGATTTATGTAGGGTGTTATGTACTGTAGATCTTGTAGATCGTTAGTGGGGGTTATTAGAGGGTGGATGTGTAGATCATGAAGAAGGTGGATCATGGAGGGGTGGGTGTAGGGTAAGGTAGGGCAGATTAGAAACGGTCAGATGATCCTTGTCTGGTGATGGGCGGCATGGGATGGGAGATTGGTGTGGTTTGGTGGCGTGTGGGGTTTGGAATGGGAATGGCAATGAGGGATGGAATGAGGGAATGCGGGAATGGGAGGTTTGAGTGGTTGGGTAAGTTTGTGGAGGGTTTGTAGTATTTATTGGTGGTTCGGTAGTCTGGAGATATGAAGGGATGGGTAGATGAACTGGTAGATCGATCACCTGTGGATGGATGAATGGATAATGGTGGGGTATGGGGTAGGTTATGGGATATGAGGGCAGTTTTTATAAACGGGGGTTATACAGAGGACAGTCTGAATAAATATACAATAGGTTATTTATTATATTTTTAAGTTTTATTTTAAATTTTATAAATAATGATTAAATAATACTTCTGTTAAAAGGAATGACCTTACACAGGAAATAGTGGGAAGCTGATAGGGCAGAACTGAGGCTATATTGGCCTTCTATATAAATCACCCATAATCTTAGTTCTACGGAAGTGCGAAGCTCTCCTACAGAGAGCTTCTCAATCTAGTCCTAATAGGACTAGTGCCCTGTGCACGTGCTACGCAGGAACCATTCACTTTAACAACTTTTAATCTAACTCGGATTAAAACATCCTTTTATATTTACTCTTTTGTTACGAAGTAACAGTCAACATGTCCATATGAGCTTGGACCCTGTAGAAAAGCAAGTCGATTCACATACAAAATTGTATGGCAATTGACTCATAGAGTCACCCCACCTTCAGCAAGCACAGACATATGTTCTGATTGAAATCACATGAGGGATCTAGGGGATCTAGAGGATCTAGAGAGTTAAACTCTAGATCCAGTAGATCCAAGAGATCCAAAGGAATACAGTAGAGTATGAAGTTCTATATAAAGGATAGGTTTCCATTTGTAGAGCTTCGTGCTCAAGATCAATCATTTAGTATACTCTACTATTAGTTACGAATTGTATATCATTATTTGTCATTACTTAAGTCCCTGCTTGACGCCTAGTTATAAACCACCTCGAGAGCCTAGAGCACTTCCACGCGATCTAGACGGCAAACCTCCCAACAGGAAGGTGCTCTGGGCTCTGCAGGGTGGGTTATAACTAAACGTCAAGCAGGGACTTAAGTAATGACAAATAATGATATACAATTCGTAACTAATAGTAGAGTATACTAAATGATTGATCTTAAGCACAAAGCTCTATACAAAGGAAATCCATCACAATTATATAGACCTTCGTACTATACATTCCATTACCTCTCACTATATCCCACTGCCTGTAGTTGAGTGATTCTAGGTGGGACAACATTGGGTCATGTGACCATAAGCTTAGTCACCTGAGTAATTGTTAGGATTGGTCGTAACATTTAAATTTTCAATCATAATATAAATCATATTCACAATCACAATACAAGTCAAAAATCAAATATTTAAAAAAGAAAATATATATATATTTATATAAAGAAATTCTAACTACTGAATAACAAATATCAAGACAATAAGAAAGATAATACAGACTTACTATACCTCTATCGATCGACCAAATCAAAAACTTACCTTTTGATCTGTTACAGTCAATCAATGCTCGGCTGTTCCAATTTAATCAAGTCAAAGCCTAAAAGGGAATAAGAAATACCAAATAAGGAAAATGCTTCCCACTTACCTTTCTTCTTTGGCGCTTCGCTTCTACCCAATCGGATTCTCCATAGACAAGTTCAAAAACCCCTTGAAATCCTCTGCTTAAACCCTTTCTCAGCTTACTCTCCGGGAGTAATAGGTTCCTTCTCGGTATACCTCCACCATACCTCCTCTACGGATTATAAGTCTTATATTTCTGGACATCAACCGGTCTCTTGAGATCACCCGGTTTCTTAACATCACCCGGTCTCTGGGCACCAACCGGTTTCTGGGCACCACCCGGTCTCGGCGGCAAAGGCGGAGGACGTAAATTTGATCGAGGCGGCAAAGGAGGCGGCAAATTCTTCTGCCTCAACCTCTCCATCTCCTCTTCCTTTTGTCTCATCTCCTCCATAATCTTCTCAGTCTGCTCACGCAATGCCTTCCCAATTCTATCCTTCTCCTCCTGTTTTCGCCTATCCTCTTCCTCCTGTTTCAACGCTTCTAAACCTTCCCTAAAGTCCTCTTATGATTGTCCCGGAAAGGGAAAATGTATGCCGGGAAAATCCGCATTCGGACTTACATCCTCCTCGATGGGTTCTTGAGTGCGCGGTTGATTGGCAAAGGGATTTTGTGCTCCCTCGGGCCAATATTCAGAGCCCGTTCCATCCGCGCCACCGATTCGCAGAATCGTTTCGCATGCTTCTTCAGCAATTACATCATCAGCATCCTCTAATTTTTCAAAAAGATCATTCATTGTCATAGCAGCAACTTCCAAACGCCACCAGTCATCATCATTTTTTTCGAATTCCGCAAGCGTTTTCGCGGCAGGAGGAAACAAATGATCTGGATTATTATAGTAATCCTCCCGAGCTTGTAACTGAGATTTATAAAGAAGATGCCCCTTAATAGATGGCGACACATCATGAACTCGCAATCCCTTCAACATCAGACGTAATTTTTCGGATCGTGTACCTGGTTCTCCATGTTGAATATCCCACGTCTCACCCATGGTTCCTTTCCCCCGCCAAATTCCATCGTCAAATTCACCATCAACTTCTTCTTCGTATAAGGCGTCGGCGAGTTGAGCACGTGCTTGAAATAAGGGGAAATTCGGTGTACCGAGCCAGGGGTCCGGACCAGGATAGGGCTTCCGCTTGGGATCCATACGTGCAATTTTGGGAGCTTTTTGGAACCAGGCACTTGAGGGTTCGCGATCACGTCGATGGAAGCGACTGCCGATTGCATTTTCGGTATTGGGTGCTAGAGCGCAGATTTCTTTGGGGTCGGTGCCGTTGAGGAGATGGGAATGTACGCGTTTGCGGTTCGGAAACTGTAGTTTATGTGGCCGGGGAGCGGAGGAAGTTTTTCAGATTGAGGGCTACGAGGTAATCGTAACCGTCTCTTCTTCGGATGCAGAATTCTCTACCCCTTCCTGATGCCTGGGCCGTTCTAATACTGATTCGTCCGTGTCGGAGTCTTCGTCCGCGTTGGCGGCTTCGCCAGTATCCTTCTCTTCCTTTTTCTCCTCCTTTTTCTCCTCCTTTTTCTCCTCCTTTTTCTCCTCCTTTTTCTCCTCCTTTTTCTCCTCCTTTTTCTCCTCCTTTTTCTCCTCCTTTTTCTCCTCCTTTTTCTCCTCCTTTTTCTCCTCCTTTTTCTCTTCCTTTACCTTAACCTCCTCCTTCACCACCCCCTCCTCCTTCACGTCCTCCACCCCAGCACCCTCCCAAGGCACCAAATCCTCCTCCTTCTCATCCCTAGGACCCAAATCCTCAAACCCTAACGACCCACTCCCCACACTCCTTTCACTCATCCCACAACCCTGACTTCCCAAAGCCATACTACTCCTCTGCCTCTTCTTCTCTTCATCTTCTTCTTCCTGTCTCTTAGCTTCTTCTTCCCAAAATTTTCGCAGTACTTCTTTTGCGGCTTGTGCTCCGGCTTCGTATTCTGAGCTTGTTTTATCGGGTTGTTTTGAGGAATCTGATGATTTGGAGTTTGATTCCGCTTGAGATTTCGTTTGTGGTTTGGTAGGCGGCGATAATGACGGGGGAGAAACTCCTGTTTCACCAGGTATTGGTGCTGGCAAAGAATCCTTAGGTACAGGAGGTAAGCTAGGAGTCGGTAAAGCAGGCACGGCTATAGAATCTCCAGGCACGGCTTTAGAATCCCTAGGCGCAGGAGGTAGAGTAGGAGGTAAATTAAACCCTGGCAAATTCGGTACGGGAAAAGTAAATGCAGGTACAGAAGTATCCTTAGGTACAGGAGGTAAATCAGGTGTCGGTAAAGCAGGCACGGCTTTAGAATCCCTAGGCGCAGGAGGTAAAGTAGTAGTCGGTAAAGCAGGCACGGCTTTGGAATCCCCAAACGCAGGAGGTAAAGTAGGAGGTAAGTTAAACCCTGGCAAATTCGGTACGGGAAAAGTAAATGCAGGCACGGCTTCAGAATCCCCAGTAGGCAGTCCCGCATCCCCAGTAGGAAGAGGAGACCCCACAGTTACGGCTTCAGAATCCCCAGGAACAGCAGGCGGAGTCGGATTAGTAAATTCACTTGAATCACTCACCTCACTTCCCGCATCTTTCGAAGATGGGGATCCAAAACGAGGATTGTTAAACGTACTTACTCCCTGTAATTTTTGGGCGCCAGGACGGGCGGGGAATTCTGAGGAGGAGGAGGAGGAGGAGGGTGCTGGTTCGGTTTCTGAGGCTACGGATTTGGTTTCTGAGGGTGGGTTTTCATCTTGACCTTGATCCTGACTTTGATCTTGATCTTGATCTTGACCTTGACCTTGACCTTGACCTTCATCTTGCCCTTCCCCTTTATTACCCCCATCTTTAACATCCGGTTCCAGTTCTGGTTCCAGTTCCGGTCCCGGTTCCCGTTCACCACCAGGTGGCGATCTAAGCGGCACACCCGGCGGAGCAGGTTCTCTAGGCGGAGTCCCCGGATTCGGATTAAAAGGCCTCAAGCCATCCAAAGAAGAATCCCCCGACGAATTATCACGAGAATCATTCTCAGTCTTAGACTCTTCACTATCCTTCTTCTCAGAAGCTCCATCTCCATCTCCCTCATCCCCATCAGCCAATAGCGTATATTCCGCCGGTGCACTACTATACCAATGAGTATACACCCCATTTCCTAGATACTTACCTTTTCTATTCTCATAATGGTTCGCTGGGCGCTCAAGTCCTAGTATTCTAAGAAATTGAACTAATCCGCACCATTTCTCTCCGAAAATAGGTCTGTACATTTTCCCTCCAAGGCCATATCTCTCACCTGTAGCCTTCGCATCCAAAAATTCCTTAACCCATTTCTCCCCCGTAACTCTCTGCAGTAAATTCCCAAATTCAAACATTTCAGGCTCTCTAGTATATTTAACCAACCCCACCAACAACCTCGTCCAACTACACACCGCCTCCGGATCAAGCGATCCCTCATGTCCTCGAAACTCAATCGTATCCTGCACCCAATCGACCTTCGGTCTGGTCTCCGTACCCATCCGATCGAAATTCCACGACGATGTACCATCCCTAAATCCGACCGTTCCGGTGGGACCCTCCGAAGCCACAAACGCGCGAAATTGATCGCGCGTGCGACATGTAAGGACTGTAGATATAGCTTCTAGCACGCGCGGTTCACGATGCTCCTCCTTACGGAATTTCCACTGATAAAAGGTTCCCCGACGAAAAGAGGTACAGTGGGTATTTTGACCATCGATGCGATGGGCAGGATGAATAGAATCGAGTTGCGGTTCAAAGGCTTCGATGAGAGCGCCTAGACGTCTGAGGTGGGGGAGTTCGAATCCCCGTAATCCGTAGCCGATGTGGACGTGAAGACCACAGGAGGCATTAAGAGTAATTAGATAATTCTTGCGCATGATTTTACAGAAATCTGCAACGTCTGTTAATGCATCTTCGCTATAATAGTAGGCGGGAGTACGAACCTCAATGGGATAATACGAATAGGTTCTCCGGTCCTTGTAAGCTTTTTTATTTCTCGTACTATGGGGTTTGGGTCGTTGAATCGAGCCATCAGTGGTGATTTCCCACATGGCGAAATTTGAATGGGCTTTTCCTGGTTCGGTGGGGAGTCTGATTGATGAGAGCGTGCGTTTTATGTGTGCGTAAATGGACCATTCGCTTGCCCAGTTTTCCTTTCCCGGGGTGATTTGGAAAGATGGTGATATATCGTCTTCGGCGATGGAGGGGAAATAGACGGTTCGTGGATCTGAGGGATTAGGGTTTGGGATATCGGGGTTTTTGAGGTAGGCGATGAGAAATTCAAATTCGATGCCGAAGGAGGGTGTGTCGGAGGGGATTGGAGGTCGTTTTATTATGGGTTTATCTTCCATTTTTTTGTTGTTTATATATATGTGTGTGTGTGTGTGTATTCGTGCGTGTTGTGTTGTGTTGTAATATATTATCCCCGTCAATCGATAAAATGATAGTATACCTAAAACAATATAAGCATATGAAAGCAGAGTAAACTTACCAGTACTTGATTGCCAGGTAAAGGTAGACCAGCTACTTGAGACTTTCAGTTTGAAGGTCAATTCTCAGGCTCTTCAATTCTTTCAATTCAATTGATATACGTGTGTTGTTATAATTTTTGGCGAAATATTCCAGAATTTTGATGCGAACGCGGGGGAACAATAGGTGTTTAAGTAATGGTATACGAGATTTTTGATTGTGAGAGATAATAGTTTGTGAACTGAGGGGATAAAGAAGGAATATAAATCAAAGGAATGGGGAGTGGATGTGAAAGAAAAATGAAGTGCATTGTAAATATGTTTGTTGATAGACAAAAGTGTTAAAGGAAAGAAAACATTCTGTTACTACTTCCATCAAAGGGCCTATCAGAAGAACAGCTCCCTTATCCCAAGGAACAACAGACCGTCAATTGAAAACGAGAAACCGGAGGGCAATTGGTTATATGACCATTAGCAGGATGAAAGAGCTCACTAGCTCTATACCCAATCTCCCACTTCACCCTCCACCCCTCACCTACCAAAACCAAAACTCAATTCCCTCACCACACCACCCCACCCCACACCAACACCACCCCAAAGCAACCAAAACCACACTCCCCACAATCCACCAACAAAAGAGACTCAACCTTTCGCCCTCGACTAATAAAACTATACATTCTATACAGTATACACTTAGCACTCTAATCTCAAATCTCAAATCTCAAATCTCAACCCCAAAAACAACCTAATCAACAATCAAAAGCCAATTTATCAATAACTCTCATCATATATCAAAACAAACCAGTTACTACTACTCGATATCTACTAAGATATACATTGTCTAATATATGATGTACTGTGTATAATGTATCATCAGATGTATGATACACTGCATAAATAGTATTCAATACTGCAAAAAGAGCGAGTGATGAAGTTATAAATCTAAAGCTTTTGATAACTTATATGACAATTACATATATACAAGAAAGAATATTTGAGTATGAGTTCCTTCTTCCTGGATAGCACTTGCTTTTAATATGAAAGTCCTTATCAAATATATATTCTCTCGCAGAAGATATAAATAAATGCTGTATATCCATCAAACATTACAACTAAACATTTATATACATACAAACAAGTCAATCACCATTTATTATCACTCATCACCCATCAATAATCAAGAAAATCTGGCATGCACAATCAATTATTTGTATATACTATGCTATGCTACGCCAGTATATAAACATGGTATCAATGACAAGCTTGAAAGGCCAACATTGTCCACTCTCATCACAATCATTAATCATCCCCTTTGACCAGTATTAAAATATCTGTTTCTTATAAACCTAGCAGCTCAGCCACTTCTTCAATGCCTTCGAGGACATCTAATGAAAATAGTTTGATGTAGAAACGTGACAAACCACGAACCATAAACACCAATGCTAATCAGAAAATAATAAACACGCGCTAAAAAAAACAAAAAGACAATGATTATGCACATGATCATCATTGGATGATACGGAGAGTTTCCCATGCTCTTTGCAAAAATACAAAGATTGTTGTATTATTCCCAAATCCATCTTCCGGACACCTTTTTTAAAGAATCAAACCAAAGACACCTGCAATACCTGCAGCAAGAATACCAGTACCATATTCACGACCAATGTTCAAAGCTGAAGCGGCAGCAGTGGAAGTAGCGGCG